AGGGGGTGATGCCTGACCCAGCCAAGGTAGAGGCAGTCCAGGGCTGGCCAGTACCTCGTACTCAGACTGAGACACAGTTTCTTGGGGCTGGCATCCTACTATAGGCGGTTCATTAAAGGGTTTGCACACATTGCCCGCCCACTGCATCAGTTGGTAGAGAAGGGGAAGCGGTTCTGGTGGTCTGAAGACTGTCAAGTGGCATTCGACGAGCTCAAGGCCAGATTGATAGCAGCCCCAGTGCTGGCTTACCCAGACCCCAAGTGATGTGGGAATAGAAGCGGTGTTATCTCAAGTGGAGGAGGATGGGGAGAGGGTGATAGCATATGCAAGTAGGGCTCTCACAAAACAGGAGCGCAAGTACGCCACAACAAAAAAAGAGCTCTTGGGTATGGTTGTTTTTACAAAACACTTTAAGCATTACCTTTTGGGCAGGGAGTTTGTTTTAAGGACTGATCATAATACCCTTAGGTGGCTACATAATTTCCAGGGTTTAGAGGGCCAGTTGGCCAGGTGGGTGGAACAGCTGGCTAGTTTTCAGTACAAGATTGTACATCACCCAGGCAAAGTGCATTGTAATGCTGATGCCCTCTCCAGAATTACTGGTAGGTATAGCCATCATGTGAACTCTGACACTGCAACTCATTTCACTTCGCTGTTTGAACAAGCCTTCTTTGATTTATCACACAAGTCCTCACTGGATGGATTGCTTACTTGTTTTAATGCAGGGGTGTCAAACTCAAACTCACAAGGGGCCGAGATGAAACTCTGGGACGGAGTTGAGGGCCAAACTTAATATTTTTTGAAAAAGTGACGGCAAATTTGCACATTTTCTTTATCAACATATATGCAATTTTGAACCTTTAAATTTGGAAACAAACTTATTTCTGCATTAACACTGAATGTGGAATAACCAAATTACACATGAGCAAGTCAGTTTTAAATAAAAGGCATCAGTGGTATTCATTACATGTGGTATAATCAGCATTTTTTAAATCTATTCAGGATTTATGTTTTCTTGTTTATAAATTTTTCTTATTTTTTATTCTCCTTTCTTCTCCTGTAATACGTGTCATCGCTGCTGTGACGTCTAGCTTTCCCCACTGAGGAACAATAAAGGGATTTTCTATTCTATTCATCTATCTGCAGCCTTTCCACTTCCTGTTTACTGTAGGTTAAATCTTTTCTCACGGACCAACAACAAAATAAAAATATAATTTTATCTTAAATGAAAATGCAACATCTCACCTGTTAACTTTCATGTTTTGGAGCAGAAAACGAGCATCAAACCAACATATTTAAAGCTCAGTTTGCTCCACTGGTTTAGTGTGATGCTCACCTGTTCCAGCCAGATACCTGCATCATGGGGCTGATCTGAGCTGAGGAGGAGACTCCTGTTGTTTTGTTCATCTTCATCATAATAATGACAACATTAGATGACAACAGGTGCTCACATAGGTTTGTGCTGATGAACATGTCTGAGCAGCTTGACCACGTTGTTGTGTGTCGGGGAGGAAACACAACGACAGCAACCACAGAGTCATGCTGGTTTGAGCGTGCCGCTGTTCGCTGGAGTTATATCGGCCCTGTCTGGACGTTAGTTGGAAAACTTTCTCTTTCAGTTGTGAACACATTACTGAGCGGCTAGAATCTCCATTTCTGGGCTTCAACGTCAGAAAACAGCTGAGTGAACTCGGCGCTGAGTGAGAGAAGTGTTTAGTTTGTCCGAGACAGCGGAACTGCAGACACCGGCAGCAGGAGCTGGAAAAAGCACAAAGGAGGGGGCGCGTCATGGGAGTTGAAGTCTTTGCGGTAAAATCGGCCAGCAGGCCAGTTTTAATATAATTTTGATATTTATCTCGCGGGCCACATAAAAATGCTCTGCGGGCCATGTGTCTGACATATGTGTTTTAATGAGACCTGTGAGGCTATCCTTAACACTGTTGCGCCGTTAAGGCCCAGGAGGGGAAAGCATATGGTAAATTTATGGTCAACGGACGCTACTCGTGCCGCAAGAAGGACATGTAGAAGATACGAGAGACAGTGGAAGAAGGATAATCTGTATGTTTCCCTAATTGCTCTACGTGACAGTTGGAAATCATACCAAGAGGCAGTTAGATCTACGAAATTTGCATATTATTCCGATCTCATTTCTTTAAACTCAAACAACCCCAGAGTACTTTATACAGCAATTAACTCAGTTCTGAAATTAAATGATCATCATGTGGTGCAGGCTTCAGCTAAAATGTGTGATGAGTTCTGTGACTTTTTTATTGGGAAAGTTGCTGCGCTCCGGGCTACCATGTCTAGGGCACCGGTATGTGGCCATTCTGTTACTGCCATCAGAGGTTTGGTAGCATTTCAACAAATTAGTCTAAATGATTTGATCAAGATCGCTGGGAAGGCTAAGCCGAGCGGCTCGCCGGATGAAGTGATGCCAACGCGCTTCTTTAAAGAAGTCTTTTCAGTAGTCGCCCCTTTAATATTGCACATAATTAACATGAGTCTCAGTTCTGGTATAGTCCCTGACGATTGCAAAAAGGCGGTTATTCAACCTTTGCTCAAAAAGCCTGGACTGGATGCTTCGCTGGCTGCAAACTACAGACCCATTTTGAAACTTCCATTCTTAAGTAAAGTACTAGAGAAATGTGTTTACCACCAGCTCTTGGTTTTCATGGATGAGAATGCCATTTTTGAGACTTTCCAGTCTGGCTTCAGAGCTCTACACAGCACTGAGACTGCACTGGTTAGAGTGCTCAGTGACATTTATCTAGCGACTGATAGCGGTAATTCTGTGTTGTTACTTCTACTGGACCTCACGGCAGCCTTTGACACGATAGATCATGAAGTGCTGCTTCACCGTCTACATCATTATGTCGGGATTTCAGGGTTAGCCCTGGAATGGTTTAGATCATACCTGACAAATAGAAAAATGTGTGTTAGGATGGGAAGTTATTCCTCAGAGTACTCTGATCTACCCTGGGGGGTACCACAGGGCTCAATATTGGGACCTCTGTTGTTTTCTGTTTACATTCTGCCCTTAGGTGACATCAGTCGTGAGCTTGGAGTTCAATTCCACCTATATGCTGATGATTGTCAGCTGTACCTGCCTCTGAACACGTCAAGTGGTCTATCTATTTCTATTCTTACTAACTGTTTGAGGGAGATCAAGACCTGGATGAGTGAAATTTTTCTGAGTCTAAATGATCACAAAACAGAGGCTATATTGTTTGCTCTAAGCATTCAATGTGACTCTTCCCTAACTGACTGTGGGTCATTTAATAGCCAGCTGACTACATCGGTGACTAATCTAGGTGTTAAACTGGATAGCACCCTTAATTTTGATACCCACATCAATGGAGTGATCTCCTCCTCCTTGTTCCACCTTCATCGGCTGTCAAAGATCAAACCATTTTTGTCACGTTGTGATCTTGAGATGGTAGTCCATGCTTTTATTACGGTGCGATTGGACTACTGCAATTCTGTTTTATTCGGTGTGAGCAAGGGCTCAATAGCCAGTTTGCAAATGGTGCAGAATGCTGTCGCCAGATTTTTAGAGGGCAGGCGCAAGTATGACCACATTACTCCTGTCCTGGCTGAGCTTCATTGGCTGCCCACTGATGTAAGGATTCGTTTTAAAATACTCTTATTGGTTTTTAAAACGTTAAATGGTTTGGCCCCTCCTTACTTGGTGTCACTGCTTTAACCGTACACCCCTGCACGGTCACTCTGCTCGGAGAACCTCATGCTCTTCTCGGTCCCAAGAACACACCTAAAGACACGTGGTGATAGGGCCTTTGCTGTGGCAGGTCCTAAGCTTTGGAACGAGCTTTCTCTCAGCATAAGTGCCTCTACCTCTGTTGCAGTTTTTAAGGCAAGGCTAAAAACCTACTTTTATGATCTGTCTTTTAACCTTTCTAACTAGTTTTATTGTTTTACTTACAGCAATCTGTGTACTCACTGTATTTTTTATCTGTATCTTGTGATACAATGTTTTTATTTTCTGGACTTAATGTTTTATGTTTTTTACTTCATCAGTGTAGCGTCTTGGTGGCATCTTTTTGCCTGCAAGGCGCAATTTACAAATAAAGTTGAGTTGAGTTGAGAAAACAGCCGTGTGCCCCTTTGCAGCCTTCGGTTGTTGGTAGACCTTTCAAACGTGTGGCTGTGGACCTTTTCGGTCCTCTCCCTGAAACGGGGAAGGGGAACAAGTATATTATGGTTGTGGGGGATTATTTTTCAAAATGGACCGAGGTGTTCCCACTCCCTAATCAGGAAGCAAGAACCATTGCCAAGGTCCTGACGGAAGAATGGGTGTGCTGATTTGGGGGTGCCACACAGCCTCCACTCCGATCAGGATCGGAACTTTGAATCCGCATTGTTCAAAGAATTGCGCAGGGTGTTGCAGATTCATTAGTCCCGGATGTCTCCCTACCACCCCCAGTTGGACGGGTTAGTAGAAAGGTTTAATAGGACACTTTTGTCCATGCCAACCTTGTTTGTGGAGGACAGTCAACTTAATTGGGATGCCCTGTTGCCCTGCGTCATGCTAGCCTATCGGAGTAGCACTCATGCAAGTACATTGGTCACCCCATATAAAGTTTTATTTGGGCGGGAGATCGTGTTGCCAGTTGACGTCATGCTGGATGTAGGTAATCAGGCACAATTTTCCTCGGTGGATCAGTATGTGACAAAGTTGCAGGAAACTCTGTCTACAATTGTGGAGGCTGTAAAGCGCCATCAGATGAAGGCCTCTGTGCAGCAAAAGTCATCTTATGATTTCTGAGCCAACTTCCAGTTTTATGCTGAAGGGGAAGAGGTGTGGGTATGGAATAAGGCTAGGAGAAGGGGGGTCTGCCCAAAGTTGCAGCGGCGCTATAAAGATCCGTATAGGGTGGTTGAGTGGGTGACAGAGTTGCTGTATCGGGTCGTGACAGTACAGGGGTATTCGGAATGTGTGATTCACTTTAACAGACTCAAGCCCTGCACTTCTTCCTTGGCAGTTTCAGCTCCGTTGGCTGTGGGGTCCAGAGGTCGAGAGTGGTGACGATCTACACGAACTGGGGCTGCCTGAAGTGGTGACGGGTGGACGAGAGGGAGGCAGGAGCATCAATGCCACCAACCACCGGAGGAGGAACCTTAGGAAGGACCGCCAGAAGGGAAACCAGAGGAGGCATTGCCCAGGAGGAGGTTGGAGGAGCAGAGGACTGAGGAGAGAAGGCTGGCTGGCCTGCCTTCGTCAACTGTGACTAATGTACAGGCACCTGCACCATTGGTCCAGCAGGGGGCTGCAGGCCAGGGTGGAGACATGGGCCATGAGCGTCCTGTGGGACGCCAAAGAAGGCCGCCCGTGTGGACTAGGGACTATAAAATGGATTTGTAGGACTTGGGGACAAGTCCTTTCATACAGAACAGGGGGGAGTGTGATGCGATGTGGGGCGGGGCATGCAGCCCCTGTGTGCAGTTAGACCCAGGTGCAGGCAATGATTGCAGCGATGAGGACACGGTGGAGCTTAAAATGGGTTGTGAGTCAGTCTTTGGATGACCGAGGGAGTGACTGTTTCGAGCTGCTGGACGCGGTACTCAGGTGATGGGGGGAGGGGTCGATCGCAGCTGGTTAGGGCTGCCGGCAACGAAGATAGGTAGTGGGTGAGGTGAGTGTTTCCTCTGACAGGAGGAGGGGAGGCTGGTCGCCTTCTTTAGTCAGTCAGAGGGGCTATTAGACGGGCACCGTGGTCTGTGGCGCTCACTCCCCTTCGCGCTCTGCGCTCCTACTGAGGAACATCAGGTCGGAGGAGCTAACTGGCCCGCCGCCAGCACGTTGATTCCCGGGGCGTTGGAAGCTCAGACCCCGGGCGGGTCACCACGACTGGGCAAGTTAAAGCACTTTTCTTTGTTGTGTAGGAGATCTTAAACGGGGGTTTTAAAGGGAGGGTTGTGGGTTTTAGGCATGTGTGGTTTTTAATATTAACGTTATAAATAAAGGTTGTTGTTGTTGATTAAAACCCTGGGACTCTGTGATTATTGGAATTTCCTGACAAGGAGGACAACATTTTTGTCCCTGCAACCCCCACTCGATTTTACAGCAGCTACCGATTTTCAGTAAACCTGGACATACTGAATCAGCTGTTGAAATGTGCGTTGGTAGGAAAATTCAACGAGGAAGAACGGATACTCAGAACACCGTCTCATCCCTACTCCTTATCACATCCAATCCATCTTGGAGTGCTCATGGTACAAATGGGTGTTAAAAGTCACAGGCTAAAAAAGCAGCAGATGGTAAAACAGGATTAAAATTCTTTTCACAAACACTGGCTCCCAGCGAGTTAAGAAAAAGATCTGAAGCAATTAACCTTTTCTTCTGGGTGCGATGTGTGAGCAACTTAACAGCAATGTTCTTCTCTGCAATTCATTATTCTCCAAAGTTGCCGAGGATTAAAAGTTAATTTAGGGTAAAGTAAAACAGCGACTGCTCCTCTGGAGTCAGACTGAAGATCCTGCAGAACTTCAGGATGTGAGGAAACACGGCGGATGCTCTCAGACTGTCTCCTTATGACGAAGACTGTTTCACGCTGTGCTGCTGCTTGAATTACTGTTTATGAAACCTGACTTATAAATGTTTTAAGTCAAATTTAACCACGTGGAATTTAAGTGACCTAAAAATCTCTTATTGCACACCCAATCTAAAATCATGCAGTAAATGTTGAAATATTATTAAAAATCTATCATAACACACACTTCACTCACATCTGTCCTCATCAATATTTATATATTCATCAATACTCTAGTATGTTGTTATTAGACTATGGAAACGGGCTGCGTTGAACAGCATCCCACAGAAATCCCACAAAGATCAGAAAACAAGATCTCATCTCATCATGTGGCTTGGCTAAATACACATCTAAAGGTTTGTCTTTTGTTAAAGGTGTGATTTTTCTATGAAGTGACAAATATGAATTTTTATAAACACAAACTGAGCCACCCACATGTTGGTGATCTCAGTATCAACATTACTGGAGGCTGAAAGCTCATGAAAGGACCTGAAAAGGGTCATAAAGTGGTTTAATGCATACTGATGCTCCGGCTTTCCTTCAGATAACAGAACGATCCAGCCAGGGGGCTTGTTTTCCTTTTAATGGGAAATAATTACAGTGTTTTTAACTGCTGTGTTTGGAAATGGAAAAACAAAGTTATGCAACTGATGAGCATTTTGGACAAAAGATGGAAAAGTCTAGTTAGTCTAATTGTTTTATTTTCTTTACTTGCTGATGACTGTCAGGTCTAAACCCCCACTAAAGTTCAGGAAACTGCTCCATTGTGCCTTCGTGATGTTAAGGATTGGATGAGCTGTAATTTCTTGCAGATTAATGAGTCTATACAGAGCTAATTATGCTGGCGTGCATGGTTCTCCTGTATTTCCTCAGTCTTTGGTGAATGGCCTTTCAAATGGTGCAAAGGATGTGGTGTCTAATCTGGGTGTTAAGGTTGATTCTCAGATTAGTTTTGATTTATAAGTCAATAATGTTGTTAGATCATGCTTTTATAAGCTGAGAAATCTTTACAAGGTGAAGTCTTTTGCATAAGAATGATTTGGAGAAACTTATTCATGCATTTAACTTCTTGTTTAGACTACTGCAATAGTCTTCACGGTCACGGTCATAGGTTTATTGCAGCTAGTTCAGACTGTCACAGCTCATCTTTTGACTGGCACATGTAGATTTGACCACATGACTCCAGTTCTTGCCACTGCACTGGGTTCCAGTTAGGTTCTGTGTGCAATTTAGGATTTTGGTTCTGGTTTATAAATGTTTAAATGGCCTTGCACCGGTCTCTGAGCTTCTCCTGCATTATGTTCCATCTCGTGGACTGAGGTCAGCTGACCGACTTAGAGTGAATGTCTCTAGGGTGAGGCTACAGAGAAGAGGTTTTAGGTATTTCTCAGTGGCGGCACCTACTCTTTGGAATATGTGACCAGTCACCATTAGGAAGGCATCATCTGTTGTTGTTTTTAAAAAGTTGCTGAAGATTTATTTTTACTCCAAACCTTTCAACACCTTGGACTGATGGGGTGGTCCTGTTTTTCAGGACCCTTTGTGTCTGATTAAATTTTTATGCTTATTTTATGGTTTTAATTGACTGTTGTCATCCATCCATCCATCCATCCATTTTCATCCGCTTATCCAGAGTCGGGTCGCGGGGGCAGTAGCCTAAGGCGAGAGGCCCAGACTTCCCTCTCCCCAGCCACTTGGGCCAGCTTGTCTGGGGGAATCCCAAGGTGTTCCCTGGCCAGGTGAGAGACATAGTCCCTCCACCATGTCCTGGGTCTACCTTTAGGTCTTCTCCCGGTTGGACATGCCTGGAAAACCTCACCAGGGAGGCATCCTGACCAGATGCCCGAGCCACCTCAACTGGCTCCTTTCAATGTGGATGAGCAACGGGTCTACTCCGAGCCCCTCCCAAATGACCGAGCTTCTCACCCTATCTCTAAGGGAGAGCCCAGCCATTCTTCAGAGAAAACTCATTTTGGCCGCTTGTATTCGCGATCTCGTTCTTTTGGTCACCACCCAAAGCTCATGACCATAGGTGAGGGTAGGAACGTAGATCGGCCGGTAAATTGAGAGCTTCGCCTTCTGACTCAGCTCTCTCTTCACCACGACAGACTGGTACAACGCCCTCATCAATGCAGATGCAGCACCAATCCACCTATCGATCTCACGCTCCAGTTTTCCCTCACTCGTGAACAAGACCCCGAGATACTTAAACTCCTCCACTTGGGTCAGGACCTCATCTACCCTTTTCTGAATCACCCTGGACAGAGAGCCAGCCCATTGCAGGGCAACACAGAGACACACAGGACAAACTACCATGCACACACACACACACACACACACACACACACACACACACACCTAAGGACAATTTAGACAGACCAGTCAACCTAACAGTCATGTTTTTGGACTGTGGGAGGAAGCCGGAGAACCCGGAGAGAACCCACGCATGCACAGGGAGAACATGCAAGCTTCATGCAGAAAGATCCCAGGCCGGGAAGCGAACCCAGGACCTTCTTACTACAAGGCAACAGCTCTAACCACTGCACCACTGCGCAGCCTCAACTTGCTCTTTAAGTTTCATTAAATTCCTCTCCACAATAAATAAACCTCCAACTTACCAAGAAAAATGATGGTCTGCTTCCGTGCCATCTTTACAGTTGAGCTTTCATGCTTGGTGGTTCTTTGAGTCCCGTTGACACCTTTATCTGAGGATCCCAAAGTTTTCTGCAACACCATTATCATGGCCCGGCACATAAAGGCCACGCCAGTGAGTACAATCATGTAGAGGATGAATGCCACAAAGATACTGGCCCTGTACATCACCCAGTGCTCCCTTAGATTGGTGCAGAAAGTCAGGTTTTGGGCTGGTTTATTTTCCCTGGCTGGTATGTGCCCCTGGGTTCCTGTGGCAAACAACAGGGGCAGAGCTACCAGCATGGACACCACCCAGACAAAGGTGATCAGGGCAGAGGTACGCTTTCCACCCAAAACTTTAAAATGAAAAGGGTGGCAGATGGCTATGTAGCGCTCAAAGCTAAGGGTGGCCACATTAAGGATGGTGGCATAGCTGCATGCCTCAAACAGGAAGTTGTAGATCTTGCAGGAAGCATTACCTGATGCAGAGGTAAAGGGGAACCAGATGGTGCTGTACAGTTCCACGGGCATGCCAATGAGGAGAACCAGCAGGTCAGAGCTTGCCAAGCTAACCATGTGGTTTGTCACATTCTTGTGCAGGTAGCCGTTGCGCTTTAGGACTTGTGTCACTCTGATGGTGATAGAATTACCCACAATACCTGTCACCAGCATGAGGCTGTAGAGGATTGTCATAAAAATTTTGACAGCATAGTTGGGTTCAAGTTGACTCCAGTCAATTTTCTCATTCCTGTTATCTCCCTCACTCATGATTGCAGGGTGGTGAGCCAGATTTTTCCAGGTATTGATAGCTTATCAGTCCCGCTGAGCACAGTCCCTCTCAGAACCACAGGAGACCAACACTTTCAACGATTATTAGACAATTTTGCATTAAATTGTTTCCAGTTTTCCTAGAAGTGTGCCTCATTCGGATGAAAACGGATCACAAGAAGCCTACCACTGTCAGATGAAACTTTAAAGACTCCCTTCTATTTTCTTCTTCATTGTCTTCGTCTCACTGACTTGACAGATTAGCATTTCCAGTGTTTGGCTGAAAAACACTCTAATCCCGTCTGGATGAAAATGTAAACCACCAGGATCCTCAGAAGTCCTAGTGGGTATCCGACAGGTTTTTCCTCCGTTTGAGCAAAGTGTTGGCCAACATTTAACTCGCACACATTTCCTCCTCCCTCCTGGGAGGGCAGAGCAGTTAAACATTAAACACCACCAGGCAATGAGCACAAGCAGTGGTTTCATTTCTTATCAGCATTAATGGACTTTCTGTTTACTCAAAGTTTCATCAGATGTTACTTCCGTGGTCTGGATTTTGAAAAGGAGCCATGAGGTTTATTGGAAGGCTTTGTGAGGCTATTTAAAAGATAAGAGGGAAAATATTAAAAACTAGCCTTTTTAGGAAGAATACGATAACTTAAAGTTAAGACCTAAATCACATCGGCCACATTTTTAGATAATTTATTAGCTATGGCTTCATGACTAAGTTCAGCTTTATGATAAAAGCTATAAACTACTAACTAGTAATCCTCAGGGTCAACACAACTTAACAGCATGGCTATGCTAATGCACGGTCCTAATGCATGGTGAGTCGATTCTGCTACGTCAGCCATGGTGTAATCCTACAATTTAGTAACTTTCAGCTGGATGTTTTCAATCTAACTTATTTGCTACTAATGGTTAATCATCCATCCATCCATCCATCCATCCATCCATCCACCCATCCATCCATTTTCTTCTGCTTATCTGAAGTCAGCAGCAGCCAAAGTCGAGAGGCCCAGACTTCCCTCTCCCCAGCTACTTGGGCCAGATTTTCCGGGGGAATCCCAATGTGTTCCCTGGCCAACTGAGAGACACAGTCCCTCCAGCGTGTCCTTGGTCTCCCTTTAGGTCTCCTCCCGGTTGGACGTGCCCAGAAAACCTCACCAGGGAGGCGTCCAGGAGGCATGCTGACCAGATGCCCGAGGAGCAGCGAATCTACGACGAGCCCCTCCCGGAAGACCGAGCTTCTCACCCCGTCTCTAAGGGAGAGCCCAGCCACCCTGCTGAGAAAACTCCCTTCAGCCGCTCATATCCGTGATCTCGTTCTTTGAGTCACTACCCAAAGCTCATGACCATAGGTGAGGGTAGGAACGTAGATCGACCGGTAAATCGAGAGCTTCACCTTCTGACTCAGCTCTCTCTTCACGACAGACCGGTACAACGCCCGCATCACTGCAGATGCAGCACCAATCCACCTATCGATCTCACGCTCCAGTTTTCCCTCACTTGTGAACAAGACCCCGAGATACTTAAACTCCTCCACTTGGGGCAGGACCTCATCCCTGACCCGGAGAAGGCAATCTACCCTTTTCCGAATCCAGTAATTAGCATTATTTGTGACTATTTTGCTGCCCCTCCACATTATTCTAGCTTGCTCTAAAACAGTGTCCTTCAAATATTTTCAGGCAAACTGTTAATATTCTAACACAAAAAAGAGGAGAGGATTTGGACCAGTCTTCAGCATGTGCCATAAAAAGGCATTGATAAATCATTCCATAGAATGTGTCGTGGAAATGTATAAAAGTCATTCTATAGCTAACATTTATGATGAAAATGTCATACTAAGGCAACTGCGATAAAAATGAAGAAAAACAGCCATAGCATGTGTCATGAAAAAACATTCAATTCCTATGTTGCTTTTAATTTGTGCACCTTGGTCCAACACTCCACCAAAACCATCCCAAAGCTTAAAGAACTCCACCGCTGAACAGAGATTTAGAAAGATATGTTTTAATCATGGACTGAAATATGAAAACAGACTCAAAATTAAGAGAGCTGGTTAATAAAAGGGTAATTTCTTTAGATTGTTTAGCATCTTTATTAATGACAAATGGAGCTCAGACAACAAAAACAAGACAAAAACCTGAGAAAGAAAATAATCAAATGTGATTCCACGAGCACCATAGACAGAAGATAAAAACCTTTCAAGAAAATAGGAAACATGACCTTTTAGAAATAAACCCCCCAAAACAGTTTATGGACTTTAAACCTCATGTCCGATTGACAAAACGAAGCAAGTGCAAGTTTTTCTTCAGCACTTAAACAGCTCTGCTTGTTCACCGCCACCAGCCTTCACACAGGCAGTTAATCACAAGTGCAATAAAAAGTGTTTGGGTGGCAAAAACGTTAGTTTTTCTCCACTTGTAGTGTTACACAACTCACAATCAGGCCGCTTACAGAAAATGTTTCTGTTGTATGACATATATTTGTATGTGTGTATATATATATATATATGTATGTATAAATTTCTGTCTGTGTTTCAACATAAAAATCAGCCCAGATTTTAAAATCTCATTATGATTTACAGTGATACAAAAAATTGTTTCAGTATATTTCTGCAGTGCTCATGTGGGCTTCACAAATAAACATCAGCACCTTAAGATCTCTTTAAAAATTTTAAAGATGGATTCAAACACAGGGTTGAAATCAAAGGCATCTCATAGCTTATAAGCTTTTTATTCTTCCACTCAGGATCCGACACCGTCCAGAGGAAACAAGCCTAGAGCAGCTTCCAAAGATCAGAGCATGTTTAATTTTAAACGTATGCTGTTGAAACTGGTGCTGAATGTGTTCTACAAAACATCACGTCACAGTCTGGGCTTGGTTTGTGGTGATGAACTTACCAGAGCAGTAAAGTATTTAGTGTACTCACACGACACTGACATGATCCCTAATAACCAGAACTGTGCCGTACCGTAGTTTCCTTAGAGAGACTGTGTGTGTGTGTGCGTGCGTGCGTGCGTGCGTGCGTGCGTGTGTGTGTGTGTGTGTGTGTGTAAAATGTTGTAAGTACATAAATGCAATAGGAGGCACTCGGGTAGATTCTCTGCACGTATCCAGAGTGTCAGCTCAGCTGGGTCAGCATCAGCATCTACGGGGAAGGAAAACACATAATCACAGTTTTTTGGCAAAGCCATGTGCCTACATTACCCAGAATGCCATTCAACAACAGAGACATGCAGAGGAACGCTCCTCTGCGGTGGTGACCACAATCAGTTGGGTAGAACAGGTTTGAGTTACTTTAAACCATCTTTTGAGCAAACATGTCATGTTTTCTCTGCAAACAAAGTGTGATTACTGAGTTTACAAACAAAAACACCCAGTTTGACTGAGTCCAGAACTCAATGAGGTCACAACCTGACCCGTGAGACGAGACGCTAGCAGGGGTGAGGAAGACTGCAGACTTACATTTATTTAGACGACTGGATCACGAACAGAAGCTTCCTTCATTTGGAGAAACTGTGTTTAGAGGAATAAGGCTTTCACACTGCTCACTGTTTTCCGAGAGTCTGGAGTAAAGGGAAGGAGCTGTCAGTCAGCATCAGCATCAGCATCAAAGCCATCATCTTGACAAAGATGATTATTATAACAATCATCGAACGGAAGCCAGAAGAATGGAGCCCAAACTGCTGCAGGGAGGTGATTCAGGCGAACACACTCAGCAGATTACAGACTTAACGTAGCGAGGCTTCAAGTCCATTAACCGTGTGAAAATGCCAAAGAAAAGAAGAAGCGTCTCTAAGTGTGTCACAGGAACGGTCAATTCCTCCTCAACAGCTGCACAAGAAAATTCACTTCAGTGATAACACCTAAAGCTTTAACTAACAAGACCTGGATGAAGCAGAAACCTTCACCTTTTATCTACAAGGACGTGCGCGCGCGTGCGTGTATGCGTGCGTGTGTGTGTGCGTGCGTGTGTGTATGCGTGCGTGTGTGTGTGCGTGCGTGTGTGAGGCTGAATCTTTATCCAATAAGCATGTGGGTCCATTTTCATGCTTTTTGCAGCTGCGTCACAAAAACCATATTAACCACATCTGATGTTAGAGGTCACGTGAATAACAGCGTGCACGATGACTAATAATTACTAACAAGGAAATGACTTCACTGATTGAATGTTTTTTGGATCTGGAAAAGAGCTACTAATTTATAAGTTAGCTGATTATTTACCTTGTTTTGTTTAAATAAAGAATCAGTTTGTACATGTAAACAGAAACGCCTGCACGTGGTCGAAGAGCCGTCACGTTAAGAGTGTCTGTAATCGGCTGATTCATGGTTCTCTGTCTGGGTTCTCATTACCGGTTTTCTTCTGTGTGAAAAAAGCAACAAGCTTTGCTTTTTTCAGCCACATCCTTTGAGATTGATGATTAACAGCTGCTTTTAGTCTGTGTACCTCTGAATGCGATGTTTCCTGGAAATAAACGTGTATAGTCTCCTCAGCCCAAGCAGGACGGGGTCCCAGTTGTTGTAGTGACACAAGAGCGTCGCGATGACGAAGGAAAGAAAGACGGGAACCGCTCCGGCAAAAAATAACCAGGAGAAACGCACCTGTAAGGAAAGGATAGGAGAACAGAGGTCAGCCATCTGCTCAAGGTACAGCAATGTACAGCAGTGAGGGAAAACTCACCTTCTGCATGAAAATATCAGCCAGAATGGAGAGTGGGATGGTGAGGCTCAGAGCCAGAGTCCCAATGAGAGACGATGTGAGGAAACAGCCCCTGAGAGCAGAAAAGCTTATAAATCATTTACCATTCATCAAAACTAAATCAAATGCGAATAAAATAACCAAATCTGTTTGGTCAGCTGCTCACCAGAGCCAGAGGAACTCTGAGAGAACTGTTCCGATGAGGCCGTTTATGAGGATGTAGGTCCAAACCAGCTGGCTGGGAAGCTCGAAGGCCTCGAAGCCCGTGTAGTGAAGCAGGAGGAAACCAGGCCACAACAGCAGCAGGTTGAACAGTCCCACAAACCCTGAAAAACACACAACTTGAGCCTGGATGACCAGAAACTCTCCGAGGTAAAGGTTTCTGGTTCCTTAAAGTTTTAGTACAAATACGACAGAAAATATAAAAAGGTGGATTAGAAGTTTTGCACACCAAAAAACATTGGAATGTCCAGTTTGTCCTCCCGGTCCACCCGCCTCTTGATCATTACGAGGTAGACAGCGTAGAGCATCGCCCCCACCAGTGACCACAGGGAACCTTCAGACCATGACACTCAGATTCAGAAAACAGGTTTTGTGTTTAGGTCCAGCAGGTGAACAGGAGAAGGTGGTCTCCATACCTGAAACCCCTTTCTCATCAGGTTTGTCCATGCTGGAGACACTCACAACAGCAACTCCTCCCATGCTGAACAAAAAGATCGAAACACAAAAATGAAGAACTCTATTTTTAAAACTTGATATTCAGCAAAACAAAACTGATGTAAGTTTTATGCCTGTTAAGGAAGGAATTACGATAAAATGTTTGGTTCTTTCTAGTCATCGTTGGAGCTAAATCACTAAAAAATGTCCAAAAAGCATCAAGTTCATATGAACATGTCGTACCTGAGGGCCACAGCTAACAGCTTGGACAAAGTGAAACGATCGCTGCTGTTGCTGGGAAAGATGGCTGCTAAGATGAGCGTAAAGAGACCTGAAGAGAGAAAAGGTTGAGTCAGGAGAGGAGAGTTTTATTTAAAGAGCAAGTCACCCCCAAATCAACTATTTTTTCTGATAAGCTACATAAATGTGTGTCTAATCGTGCTGCAGACACGTATAGTTTGAATGAATGAATGATCAATTTTATTCAGTCATCATAAAAATAATTAATGTAAACAGTAACATATCATACAAATAGATACATATATTTCCATTCCTCAACATTCATATATTTGTATTTTAGTGTCTCATAACTGAACAGGTTCAGGCAGAAGCAAAAGCTTATAGAATTGCCTAACTTACTTACAAATCAATTCTTCTATTTCCCTCAATGGGCCAATAACCAAAAATAAAAACACAAACCCATCCACCAACATCAAATTAATACTCTTCAATAATATTTTTACTGATAAGTATTTTAAAAACTGGAAGTGAAGTTGCTAATTTTAATTCTATTTAAGCCTCATTCCATAATGTTACTCCCATTACAGAGATGCATCTCCTTTTTATACCCTTTTTAGCTTTTTGTACAACAAACATACATACACCTCTTAAATCATATTTACTTTCCCTCCTTTCAAAAAACATTTGTATATTTTCTGGCAGAAACAATAATTTTTCTCTAAACATAAATTGCATTATTTTATAATAACATAGATCTTCTATTTTCATAATCTTTGATTTTAAAAACACGGATCAGTATGAGCATAAGAATTGCTCTTGTTTATAACTCGAATAGTTTTCTTTTGTATAGTTTTTATTTCATGTATATGTGTTTCAAAAGTTGAACCCCGTATTTCTATACAATATGCCATGTACGGTTGTATTAGTGAGCAGTATATTAGACGTAAGGCCTTATAGTTTAGCCTGTCTTTCACTTTATATAACAGACCCAAAGATTTTGCAATTTTTCCTTTTATATAATTTAAATGATGTTTCCAAGATAAATTAGAGTCAATCACAACACCAAGAAATTTTATTTCAGACACTCTTTCAATGTTAGTATTTGAAATTGTTAAAGTCCCCATTTTTTACCTTCTTATTTCCAAATATCATTAAATAATTATATACTCAGTGATAATTTATTTACATCAAACCAAGATTTGAGGACATTTAACTCTTTTTCGGCCTTCTTTAAAAGTTCTTTTACATCTTTACCTGAACAAACTAAATTTGTATCATCTGCAAACATTATAAATTTGAAAATTTCTGTCATGTTACATATGTCATTTATATTTAAAGTAAATAATATAGGACCTATTACTGACCCTTGTGGAACTCCACAACTTATTTCTCTAAATCCAGATTTTATATCTTTAATTTTTACATACTGTTGTCTGTCTTTTAAGTAACTCTCTATCCAGGACTTTGCTATACCTCGTACACCATAATTCTCCAACTTTTTCAATAATCTCCTGTGGTCAATGGTGTCAAAAGCCTTCTTTAAATGAGCAAATATACTAATAGAGAGTTCTTCCTTTTCACTTGCTTGTGCTATTTCTTCTACCATCTGCATTATTGCATAGTGGTTCTGTTTTTTCTAAATCCATATCGACTATCATTTAATAATTTATTTTTAGTAATATATGTCCAGCAGGGCTGCACAGTGGTGCAGTGGTTAGAGCTGTTGCCTTGCTGCGAGAAGGTCCTGGGTTCGCTTCCCAGCCTGGGATCTTTCTGCATGGAGTTTGCATGTTCTCCCTGTGCATGCGTGGGTTCTCTCCGGGTACTCCAACTTCCTCCCACAGTCCAAAAACATGACTGTTAGGTTAATTGGTCTGTCTAAATTGTCCTTAGGTGTGTGTGTGTGTGTGTGTGTGTGTGTGTGTGTGTGTGTGTGTGTGTGTGTGTGTGTGTGTGTGTGTGTGTGTGTGTGTGTGTGTGTGTGTGTGTGTGTGTGTGTGTGTGCGATTGTTTGTCCTGTGTGTCTCTGTGATGCCCTGCGATGGACTGGCTCTCTGTCCAGGGTGTACCCTGCCTAATTGCCCATTGACCGCTGGAGATAGGCACCAGGCCCCCCCATATATGCGTATATATACATATATATATATATATATATGCGTATAAATACATATATATATATATATATATATATATATATATATATATATATATATATATATATATAATATGGTCTCACTATAGAAAATATAACCTCTTTTATCATTCCTATATCAATTTCATGTATATCTGTAGATTTTTTGTTTGTAAATTTTCTTACTATATTTACAACATCGTTTTCACTTACCTCATGTATAAACATTGAATTGATATTACTATTTATCACATTATTAAATGTATCTGCATCAGGTGGGACTGCTATCTCTTTTGCTAATGTAGCCAATAGTTTTGCACTTTAGTGCATTTTAGTTAAAATTTTAATTTTCTGCCTAAAACTGTCAGTGTTGTGCCGTTGTCAGGTAAAGACTCTGCACTGCATTTGAATTTAAATCTGCCTTCGCTATTGGCTAAGATGTACCCTAGAACGTTAGCTGGTACCATATGATGTCACAATGTCATTGCGAGCCTGTGTGTGTTTATTTGTTAGCGGCTCCGCCCTCTCGGTCTGCATTTTTCAAACAGGAAGTGGAAGTTGAGTAAGAATCTGGTTGGGGGTGACTTGCTCTTTAAAATGATTCAAAGAATAATTTGATACTTCTTTAACACAAGTCCACAGAAGACGGAACAGAAACTGACCTGAAGTGGAAGACAGAATGTTGACTACGGCTACCTGCGTGTCAGAAAGAGCTTCTTGGTAGGACAGATTAGCCAGGAACCACTAGAAGATGAACACAGACAGAAATGTGACATTTAATCTGATGACACGTCTGTCTGCTCAGCCTCTTAAAGTTAGGTCCTGGTTTGGGCCAGGAGTTGCTGCTGCAGTTTCCTCACCACAAAGCAGAAGAAGAAACTGATTTTGGCCACATCTGTGATGGTCAGCTTTCCCACCGTTCGCAGCGTGGCCTCGTGGTCCTTGGCAGCTGGGTAGGACATCCGCGACAGTTTGGCTTCCAGGGCCTGAGTGGACGGTAACTGACGCACCTCCATGATGTTACTGAAACGGACTCGCTGCTTTTTGGCAGCTGTGGGAGGAAGGAAAGAAAATGGGTTAATTCATGTCATAAAACTGAAAACTGGAATGGTGTGCATCAGGTGAATGCTTCTGTGCAGCGAGACACTTCCACAGGTGATTAAAGGGTTTAAAGCTAGAAGCTAATTACATTTATTTCCAAAAACAGAGTTCAAGTATGTAGATCATAATTTATCATTCATTTTTGATTGATTTATTATTTAAAGAGTAGTTCTGAGGACAAAGTTTAATTATTTGTGTATTTTGATTGACTAATGCCTGCCCCCTGCTGGTAAAACCTGAACAGAATCATCCCTATTTCTAATTAAATCTTAACATCAGTTTTACTCGCATGACCCCAAAAGAACAAAAGGCAGAAACCGGTAGAAAAGTGATCTAGTCACTCTCAGAGCCAAGAGGTGAAAAATAACAATAGAAGCACTAAAAACAACAAGGACTTAGAAAACTCAGTAAATGGAAACCACACGTTACAGCATTTGTGAATTAAATAAATGTGCATGAAGGAGTTTTGGGAGGTAGCCCCTGTCTGGAGCCAAAAATGTGACTCATTTAAAAGTAATTTTAATTTCATCCTGACAAAAATAATAAAATAAATTAAAAAGTCCTCTCTGCACCACTAGTTGACCCGAAGTAACAACCTATCAGCAAACAGAGGAAGAATATTTCTGCTGAGATTTTCTCCATTTCAAACAGATTCAATGTTCTGTGACAACAGGTTCAGGTTAACCCTTCCACTGTCTTAATGAGTGACCCCGCCAGGAAAGTTGACCACTCAGCAGGACTGATGGTTTATCCCTTGAGGTCCACGTGGCAGGGGTGAGGTGGTGCTCACTCCTCATTCCTGCCATGTGGACCTCAAGGGATAAACCATCAGTCCTGCTGAGTGGTCAACTTTGCTGGCGGGGTCACTCATTAAGACAGTGGAAGGGTTAAAGTGCGCCTGAAGCACAAAAGCAGGTAGAAATGAATATTTGTTATTTCTACAGCAGGAAGTAACAATGAATGTGCAGCCAGCAGCTTTGTTGTCATTTCAGAAAAACCAAGAGTTTTCATCCACATGTGGGTAAACGGCATTTAAAACCTCCACTTGTGAAGGTGATTTAGGAACACAAAAAAATGGAGTTGTTTACTCTTTACTCTGATTATGTTCTCATAAACACAGGTTTCTTGTATATTTTCACTTCTGGATGATTTTTTCAGCAGTGATGTGACACGAACTCTAAATATGTAAATATGCAACTTTTTCACTCGTCTCAGAGCAAATTCTATTTACTCTAATAATTTTCTGTTTCAATTTCAAAAATGTTCAAAGCCTCAGAAACGCCCCATTAAAATGCAAGCGTTTTCTATTATTTAAAGCCTTAGTAAGAAGAAATAAATAAATCTAAAAAAAGAGACTATGAATTATGTTACCTTGTTTATAATAAAAAAATTAAATTAGCGTCTGTACTCACAAGTTTCACAGTCTCGATTTAAACAATCAGAGAAATCAGTGGGTACATCCTGGAACTTCACTGGGACATACAGGGGTTCACTCTGCAACCATGACAAGAACAATCAGCTCCAAAGCATACCAAGACTACTTGGAGTTCGGCATTAAATGCACAATTATTCAAAATTTTCTCTAAACTACATACCAAACAGTTGTTCACAGTGTTGTCGTTGGTGCAGGGTGCAAAGTAAGCCTCAGCATCTGCAAACTACAGGATAAATAGCATCAGCTTCTACAACAAAATCAAGAATTCCTTCTGTGGCTTTGTGTGATGGAGAATGGATTCTACAGGAATCAATGTGTGATGTGTGAAAAATAAAGTCAGTAACCATAAAAGAAAGTGATTTTTTTATCCTGGTGCAGGTTTATACAAACAATGAAACATTACTGTTGTAGTCTAAGGCAATATCACAAAAACCAAAACACTTCCGATCAAAGGTGTGCTGGTGAAGCTTCTCAGTCATCCAGGTCGTGATAATCCAGAAGAGTTCTAATGAAGGCAACTTGACTTCTTTGGTTTCACGAAGATGTTTGTCACTTCTCATTACAAAGTTCCTCGGATGAGAAGTAAAACGTCTTCATGAAACTGAAGAAGTCCAGTTGCCTTCATTTGAACCCTTCTGGAATATCCACCAAAGGGTTTAACTTACAAATGCAGAGTGTCTGTGTTTAAGCGTGCCAGTACACTGCTGCCTCCAGGGCCGCCACAGCAGGAACCCCAGCAGATACAGCACAAACATGGACGTCTTGGTGAAAGTGCTGAAGAAGGGTTTGTTGTATTCCTGTCGCTTGAAGATGTACTAAAGGGAGATTCAGAGAAACAAAATAATTTGTTTTATGTAAGTAAGTACATTTTATTTATATAGCACTTATCACAGACATAGAATCACAAAGTGCTTCACATAGATCAAAACAAAGTCATAAAATCAAAATGCTCTGAAAACAGAATAAGATTAACATCAGAAAAAATAGTCATAAAATCATAAAATTATATGTTGTTGGAAATCCGACACTTTTCCCACGCCAGGTTTATACTCTCCACATCTCACTTCTGATGCTACAACTAACTTTTTTGACTCCGCCTTTAAAAGCAGTTTCACAAAACTGTTTTGCTCAATCACTGTGAACATGTGTAAAGAAATCCACCCAAAACAGCAGGAGTGAAAACCGGACAAGCTGTGATAAAATCCTTACAGAGGTTAGCTCAGAGGATGCTACCCAGATGACATCCACCAGCAGGAGGATCACCACCCCCAGGACCATCCGCCTCCGCTGTGCTGCAGAGCTGCTCTGAGAGCTCATCCGGTTCATGACGAACACCCACTCCATCAGGACGCTGAAAAACATCCAGGTGTCAACAGGAAGGCTTCCCTCTCTTTGATGTTTATAAATCATATATTTATTTTATATTATGATCCTGACATAAAAGAGATTTTAATTGTTAAAATGTGTTTTTAAAAATTGTATTTGGAAACAAATCTCTAAAACTTAAAAAATGAGTTGAAATACTTAGAAAATGTTTTGATTTTTAATATGACTCAAACTTAAATGAATAAAGAACACAGTTTACGCAGAACTTAGTTAGGTTGAAATGTTTTGTTTTAAAATGTGATGATTTAGGTTTTCATGCAGAAAATTGTGTACGTTTGTTAAAATAAACTGATTTTGTCAGCAATGCATAGAAAATACAACAACATTGTTTATCACAGCCAGAGCATTCAGAGGACAGACTAAAAACTAATTACACTAAATGAGGAATTACATCGAACAAGCAGGAAGCTCTAAAAGAAACTGCTGTTTTCACGTCTTAGCTGTCAAACTCTTACCATCGTTTAAAAAGAATAAGATATATGCCCAAGGTCTGTAATTAAACTTCACTTTTAAACTGAACTTTTGGCCGCATTTCCACCTCATTTGTTTGGGAAAAGGATGTAAACAGAGTCGCTGTTTAGCTGCCTGTTTCACAAGCTAAGCGCTAACAAGCTCGTTGCAGTTATGCGATTAAAAGCGTAAGAAAATGTGATCTTACCTGAAAATGTGACGTAGTCATTTATTTTTTTTTACCACTGTTTGATTGTCAGTTCATATTATGGTGCAATATAAACGAAATCACTGTTGTTGCAATGAAACTGTAGTCAGATCTTGGTTGTAAACATTAGCATACCCACCCCTTATCAGTCAGGTGACATCACTTACTGTGCAAAGATTTCTGGGATTTGAAGTCTTAAAAGAAAAAAACTTTGGGATCTTTGTGCCGCTCTAAATATAAAAAGATGGTCTAATGAAATGTTATTAATAACATCTAAAGGTGATTCGTGTCACTAGATTGTTGAGACTGGGATTTTAAGCATTAGTTAATCTTATGAGGCTTTTTAAAGGGACACATTCAAGTTTTAAAGTCAAACCAAGCAAGTATTTGTGCTTAAAATAGAAAGGCAATATAAAAATAAAACAGAAGATGAATTCCCTGTTTTTCTTTTTAGATTTGACTGAATATTTAATATTTTGTTTTTGCATGCTTTTCACTGTAGGTGGCGACAGTGCGCCAAGAGGTTAGAAAAAGAAGTAGGGGTACGAAGAAGAAGAACAAGAAGAAAGCGGCTTCTTTTCCGCGCTAATAGGTTTTTCCCATTAATGTAATGGAAAATATACTAAGTAAGTGCGTTTCTCTTACGGAACATATATAATTTCTACATGAACACAAAAACAGGTCTGTTAAGTGGCGTACGTTTGTCAAATAATGTTAAAGCTGCTATTGAAGTTAGCAATGCGGTTAGCATGGAGGTGCTCGCTGACTAGCATCACAGAACGAAGCTAGTAATGTTGAAATAATGTCAATTAAAGCCTTATTAATGTGCGTAGGTGGGAGGGAAGCGTTTATTGTTTTACAACTAAGTTTTCTTCTCACCGTCACTGTAATTGGTTTAGCTTAATTCATGTTTTAGTGTAAATAACTATTGCAAACATTTTGTTTCTAGAATCTGACGTTTATTGGAGTTTTTAAAACCTTGCCGTCAGGACTGTGAGACACACAAAGCAGCAACATGGAGCTTTCTTCAGTGGAGGAGGGAACTCCCAGCGTCAACATCACCACAAGTGAAAAGGTAAATTAGACAAACACTCACGAATAGAGCATCCCCGGTACGGCACTGAACATTTCTTCATGCAACATAGTTTAAAGAGGGACACCATAGCACTGAGATCACTGTCTTGATTAATAGTCTGTAATGTCTTTTTTATTATTCAATAAGATTATTTTAATTATATTATTTTCCCCCTTCAGATTATGGGATGTACAAGTTAAATATACATGAATTAATATATTTTCTAATAATTACTGTTTCCATGTTGGTGTCGAGGCTTTAGAAAACTTTCTGTTATGCTGACTGTGATGTGGTTCCAGAATCTTACATACTGTGTTTTCCTCCAAAAGAATTTCATCTTTTCATTTTGTTTTTAATTTAAAGTTTAAATTTGTGAGTTGAATAATTTCCAATAACACCAGACTTTAACCAGCAGTCACTGGTTGTTCAAACTAGTTGTTTGTTGTTGTGTGTGAGAGTGTTTTGCTCTCCTGTACAGCACTTTGGTTAGCTGCCATGCTATTTCTAAATATACTTTATAAATAAACTGCTATGGTCTGGTAAATACATCTAGCTCAGTTTGTATTAATAAAAACAACTATTATTTTTAGGGATTTTGATTGAATTTCCTTTTTAATGAGCCTATAAATGTCAGTTCACTCTAACATACATATTGTAGATGTAGATGACCCCAACATTTAGGAAGGTTCTTCAACAGAGGCTCACATCTGTGGACTGAGGTTTAAGATTGAGTGTCTCATTATTGCCTTTAAAGCCAATGGCTATGACCAGAATCATAGTCACTTGGATGGAAAATTAAAGCAGTTTTACTCCAACTAACCCATGTCACAGTAAAGTCACCTATATCTCAGAGTATGGGGCAACTTTTGTTAAACTGCAAAAATTGTCTTTTCTAATAATAACAACTCAGTTATTTGTTTTAGTCGTGTACCAGTTGTGTTTTTACTTAAAAGTAAATCTGCTTTGAAAGAGAAATTCACTGGGTTTTCTTTTTCCTTTCAGGTTGTGGAGCTGCTGAATCAAGCTGCTCTGATGCCAACTGATGAAAAACTAACAATTCTCAAACAGGTTTGCTGTCTAATTATTGCTGCAAGTACCAACTAAAACACACAAAAATTACAATAACTTAGAACATTCCAGATCTATGATATTTTGAATAAATAATCTGTATTCTAAAGGTTTCTCCTGCTTTTAACATGCTCAACATATAATCTGGCCCTCAATATTAGAGGTGTGAATCTTCACTTGTCTCCCGATTCGATTACGATTATTGGGTCAACGATTCAATTCGATTCGATATCCCGATGCATCACGATTATTTCATATTGATTTGTTTTCATCGATAAATAGAAGATGTCAGATAATTGCTTTTTTTTTAAATCAAAAACGTAATTGATACAACCTGCCATCCCTCAAAATCTCTCCATTCACAACAGGTTAGGACAAAACATTTAAGAAGATTTAACAAAGTAAAACAATCTGTTTCCTCGTTCAACACCACGCCTCAGGCTGAGAAAACATGCTTTACAAAATCTCACAAAATCTAAAAAAGTACTGAAAACCCACAGGACACAACATAATGTAATAATAAAATCCATAATGGGTTCATATATGAGTGTTTAATGTCTCTGAGCAGCTCTAGAGTCAAATATTTATGCTGCAGTTGAAGGGTGTCAGAAATAACACCAAATGAAATGTTTGACTTAGTTTATTTTATTTGAACCCAGTGGTTCGTTTCTGAAATGTTGGAGAATGAATCAAGTTCTGTTTGATGCAGAAAATAATAAAACATAAAACAAATTCTACACTTCCAATAATATTTAAGATGTGTGTTTTATTCTTCCTGATAATAACACCAGCAGAAGGCTGTGGGCTGGATTAGGATTAAAATACCCAGCTGATAGATCTCTTTCACTAACCAGCTAACTACAAACCTTTCCAGTAACCTGTCCTGTGTCACCCTCACCATTTAACCCTCATGTCCATGCTGTCTCTGGAGGAGCAGATAGGAGACAAGTCTCCTGTAACCTAAAATGAACCAAAGCTTCCTCCCAGCTTCTCTTTAAGCTGAAGCTAACATCAGTTTATCATCATGAAACAAAAGAATAAAGTGGAACAAGAACTTCTTTCTTCTATTTCTCTCTCCTTTTAACTTCTCCGTGTCCCTAAATAAAAGAGACAGACGATCACGCTGCAGCCGCCGTCATTGACCCCGCCCCCTCCCCCGAGACCGGATCTCCCAGCATTACAACACTTGGTCTGACTGAGCGCTTCCAGGAGAAAAAAAATTAAATTATGAAAATAATAATGCGTGTTTGGAGCATCGCTTTGGAGGGGCGTCCTCCGATCCTCTCGTGTGAGCGGACAGTCTCTCTCTCTCTCTCAGTCGCTGAGAGAGCGGAGCGCGCCGCGTGACAACCCGCTCAATTAACATAATTCACGGCCCAAATCCAACAGAACCGGTCGGGCTGATTCGGTTCCGGTTCGGTCTCAGGTTACAACTCAAGCGCTCAGCCCTGCAGTACCACATTAATGCGGAACCACTTGGTAAATGTGGAGGACGCTCACTCTGACAGATTTGGATCTGCGCTGGTGCCGCCATTAAAAGAACAAAACTACATTCCACCATAATCGATTATGGCGTACTCTTCTACGATGCAGAATCGTTTATGTCCGCATCCCGATGCATCGATTATTTGATTATTTTCTTCAGCTCTACTCAATATGTGCTGGATTATAATCTATTAATCAAGATCTCTTCAGAAAAAGAAGCTGGAGTAAAACAATTTTGACAATATGAATTTTATTTCAGGTTCAGGAGCTTATCATCAACAAGGATCCTTCTCTTCTTGATAATTTTTTGGATGTAAGTATGGGCACATTTAGGATTCCTCATTAAATATAACAAGACAAAAAAAGGATTATTTACTCTCCCTGAGTGAGTCTCAAAACCAAGCTGTCATGTCTCTGGATATTAGAACATGTTATATTTCAGCACACATTGTCTTTTTAACTTACTCTTATTCCCGTGTTTTAAACTGTAGGAGATCATCGCTTTCCAGACCGACAAGTCTATTGAAGTGAGAAAGTTTGTCATTGGGTTTATAGAGGAGGCCTGGTGAGTAATGAAACATCCAACATGTCCAAGCTTAACATTGATCAAAAGAAAAGCAGAACTTTCTCAACCTTTTTTTCCTGTTACTGATTTTTCCAGTAAAAGGGACAACGAGCTCCTGGTCCGACTGATCGCCAACCTGAACATGCTGCTGAAGGATGAGAGCGTTAATGTGGTGAAGAAGGCCATCCTCACCCTCACTCAGCTGTACAAAGTTACGCTACAGGTCAGCGTTCCTGTCCCTGAATTCACCAGCTCGCTCCTTACATCCTCGAGATTCTGATTTCTTTCCTCTTGACTTTCACGCCAGTGGTTGGTGCGTGTCAAAACCATATCGGATATGCAGGAGGCATGCTGGAATTTGGTTACACAAATGACCGGGGACGTTTTGATCCTACTCGACTCTGAGAATGATGGTGTTCGCACGCATGCAATCAAGTTCACAGAATCTTTAATCATCACCTTGTCACCGCGAACAGCTGAGTCTGACGTCCCCAAGCAACAGGAAGGGGGCATCAGCCTGGACAGAGTTCCCAAAGACCATTCCTACATTCGCTACGGTACACATCTTAGGATCTTACTGAGACAAAATGTAATGTTTAAAGCAATTTTGATCACTTTTGAAAGTGTCTTTTGCTGTGTGATCAAATGTACAGATACTTTGTGTGAGGAGGGGAAGACTGCACTTGAGAAGCTGCTGACGTTCATGATCCATCCAGCTATTTCCAGCATCAACCTCACCACAGCGCTGGGCTCGCTGGCAACAATCGCCCGACGGAGACCGATGTTCATGTCCAAAGTGGTCCAGGCGTTTGAGACGCTGCACGGTGAGTCTGGTTCCCAGATCCTTCCCAGGATTAGATATCTGTACGAAAACATGATCGGGTTCTCCTTTTCTTTAGATTTTTCTTCTGAGGAAACCTCAGAAGTTTTTCTTTGGAGTTTGTTTCCTTTAGTCAGTCATTTTCATTACCTTTGACCAATGAAACCCTTCAGGTATAAAAACAGCCCTAAACTCTGATGTTTTCAGACGCAACATATAATTGAATAGGTTCTCGATAGTGGAGGATGTTTTTATCATCAAACTGCAGAATATAATCGATTTATTCTTTTTTTAGCTAATCTACCTCCGACTTTGGCCAAGTCTCAAGTCAGCAGCGTTCGAAAGAATCTGAAGCTGCAGTTGTTGGCGGTCCTCAAGCATCCCTGCAGCCTGGAGTTCCAGGGTCAGATCAGCACTCTGCTGCTGGATTTAGGAATGCCTCAGAGTGAAATAACCCGCTGCACGCCCACACCACGGGAGCAGCGCAAAAGACCTCGTTACGAACAATACACAGAGGGAAAGAAGGTCAAGATAGGTGGGTCACAACCACAGACACTGAATTTTTGGAGGTCAATAGAAAATATTTGACTGGAACAGTTGTGATTGCATCATTCTTCATGAGGACTGTCTGTCTGTACTCAGAGCCAGCTCTCATTGAGGATGACGAGGACAAAGAAGAACCAGCTCCCATCCCTGTCTCAAAGCCAGTTGCTGTTCCAGTTGCACAGTCTGCCATTGACCTCACAGCTGAGTTTCTGCGCCCACTGCTGAACCCCGAGAATGTAGCAAACCTAGTGAGCAACCGCTGCCTTTTTCTGTCTGTTCTCCATCACGTTGTTATCCTGTCTCACAGCTCCTCCCTTTATTCTTCCTCAATCAGGTGCTCATTAGCATGGTGTACCTGCCTGATGTCATGCCAGCATCCTTCCAGGCCACATACACACCTGTAGAGTCAGCAGGCACTGATGCTCAAATCAAACATCTGGCTCGGCTGATGGCAACGCAGATGACAGCAGCTGGAATCGGTCCAGGTTAGCAACAAAATTATGCACCAGAAAACTCCTTTAAGCAGCTGTAGGTAACCAGAGTCTGTGAAAACCACATTTATACAGGAGGTGGATGTGTTTGCAGTTCTGGTCCATTATTGTTCATAATAATGACATTTAATATTTAGAATATTCCATATTTGCTGTTCTTGAATTCTAGATCTCAGCAGCCCAACAGTTAGTTATCATTCCAAAAAAAACTAGAATCTCTCTTATTTAAAGAGCAAGTCACCCCCAAATCAACTTTATTTTTCTGGTAAACCATATACATACCTGCAAACTTGTCGCTTTTTGGCAAAAATCACCGTTTTAGAATCCAAATGTGGCGTTCACGTGAATTGTGTAGATCCAAAGGGTTTTTTTTTTTTTGAGAGGAGGGGTCTTCTGTCGGGTTTCAGTCCCTCTTCTGAAAGTCAATCATAGAAAAGAAAGGGGACTCCTCTTGTTCACAAGCAATCTTTGTTCTAGTGTGTTAGTCACATGTCATCATTTGACCAATCGCAGTCAGACAGCATGCTGCAGCCGATGAGACAGAGCGGCGCTCACAATGAGTGCTGTTGCTCTAACTTCTCACAGCGGTTTTGAGCATAAAATTTGTCAAATGGAACAAAATCACCACTGAAAAACAGTTTTCTGTCGAGGACTTTAGCAGATTTACCTTTTTAGATTTTCCCCAAGGCTGGTCGTGTTTTTTTTTGTTTGTTTGTTTTGTTTGTTTTGGGAGTTGAGTTGGGAGTAAACACCGGCAGTAATATTAGTAACATAAATATAATTTCTGGTAAGAAGTGGCCACCAGCATGCTACAGCCTTACTCGTTTAAAACAAACCCCAGTAAATGGATCTGGGCACCAGAAGATTTAAGGACGCTGGAGGTAATATTGTAACATTTCTGCTGCATTAAAGAGTCGGATCAGCTTTTGCCCTTAGCTGTGGTTTATTAAAGTATTCAAGCAAAAAGCTGAGATAAAGTTACGTTTGCCTGCAGCTGCAGCTCTTTCTAAACATTTAATCACAACAAACTCATCAGAGCAGCTGCACTTATGACCCAAAACCGTTACCTTTAGGGATGATTACTGTATTCTGGAATATTGGAATATTTTCAGATGTGTCCATGTTTGGTGTTGTGAGTGTGAAATAGTCTCATAATAATTCAAAAAATATTTGATGATCCCTAATAATTCTTGATCATTGTTGTGAGGGATATTTTTTTCTTTTCTCTGAGCAGAGACTGCTAAACCTCATGGTAGAAAAAAGGGTCGCATCTAGCAAAAAATCATGTTGTTGAGTTTATTTTAATTATTCCAACAAGAAGAATATAAATGTCAGAGCAAGCCACTACAAACCCCACAGACGGTGTGTGTGTGTGTGTGTGTGTGTGTGTGGGGGGGGGGGGGCGTGGGGGGGGGTCACCTTTTTCACACCCTCTGAGTATGCAGGTATGTATATAAATGAGTGTCTCATTGTGCTGTAAACACATGTAGTCAATAATTTGGCATTTTAGTGCATCTTAGTTCAAGTTTAAATATTCTGCTTAAAGCCTAATTTATACTTCTCCGTCAGCTCCACCAGGGAGAGACACGCACACATAGATGGAGACAATTTGCCCTCATGCTTCTCCGTCTCCTGGGGAGCGTTGCAAAGCAATTCCCTGCCAGGGCACCGGAGGGCATAGCGCTGTGGTATCCTGTCTTGTATCCGGTCCAAGATGGTGGTTTTTTTTTTTTTTTTGTATTTAAGAGACTTTTTAACACGGACAAATTTGTCCCTCATCCTCCTCCGCCTCTTCATGTGCTCGCCACCTCTAAACTAGGGCCCGACCGATATATCGGCCGGCCGATATTATCGGCCGATATACGGGTCATTAACTATCGGCTATCGGCCAAAAAGACGGCCGATATGGCCGATATAGCGCTACCTATCCAGCAGATGGCGCCAGCTTTATGAACTCATGTTGTGGGCTCCACTCCTCGGGGTGGGGGTGAGGGGTGGAGCCACCATCACAGCACACATGCAGCGGAGCGGCGGAGTCAAGCAGAGACGAGACGGTGATGAGGAAGTAGGAGGTAAGTCTTCAGTTTTAAGCATATTTTTTGTGTCAGTGGTAAGTTGAACGGTAAAATAAACAGTGATAAACGTATGTTTCCCCTCATCATGCTTCCTAAGTTGGGTTAGGCGGCAACAAAGCAATGAAACGCTGTGCAGGGAGTCCCCCCTCCTCTCCCTAGCTGGGAGAGGAGTAGGGGCGGTAATACGAGAAAATAAACATTCCTCTGCAATAGAATAAATCTATTGTATTTTTCAGCCTTATATTTTACATAAGGCTTATACATTGCCACATACTAATCTAACGTATCTTATTTTTATTTTCCTAATACTGTCGGCTTTGGAAAGGATCAAAACACAAAAGTGTAAAACTCAAAAGTATTTTAATGCCAAAAATCACGTAGCTAGGATGCTGAAACCAGCAGAGTATGACTGAACCGCACTGAGGAGTGAGAGATGACAGAGGACTAGTTATGAGGAGGAGCTATGAGTGGGAGCAGAGGACAGCAGGGGAACATAGGAGGAACTATAAATGAAAATAATTTTAAAGAAGAAAGAATCCTAAAAGGGAAAGAAGAATAACTAGAAAAAAACCTGACAACAAACGGAAGATGAATACTAAATGAGAAACCCTTAACAGCTGGGTAACCAAACAAAAACAGAGCCATTGGTTTTGAGCCACAATGTCTAATATCATTTATTTACATGATAATTTTTTAACTTTTAAGTATAAAAATGCCACATTTAATGTATTTTACTTTGTCTTAGTATCAACAGATATATAACTGTACTTTTATGCTGATTATTTTATTACAGATGGAAAAAGAGGGTCGTAGTAAGGTGTGGGCCTACTTCACTAAAGATCCATCTGGTGATGTCATCTGCAGCATCTGCTCTTCTTCAGTAGTAGTTTGTGTGTTCTGTTGTTTTTGAGATTGCAAAATAAATCTTATTTGCATTACTTAGATACCCTACTGAGTTTTTGAGACAGTTCTTTGGTGTGTAATATAGAAACAAAATAGCATCAAAAAGGCAGATAATGAAGGGTTTAATCTTAAGAACATTTGTATCTATTTTTTGTGAGGGAGATTTATCGGCCATTATATCGGCTATCGGCCTTTGTTAAAAGTTTTATATCGGTATCGGTATCGGCCCCAAAAAAAAAAAGCATATCGGTCGGGCCCTACTCTAAACCCACGTTTCCGTCAATGAATAAAACGCTAGCTGCGCATCTTTTCACTCCTTCAGTCATGGGAAATAAAACGTTCATATTTTTAGAGTTTTTCTGCTATGTATTCTTCAAGCTGCTCCGTGTCTGCCGCTAGATATGCACGGCTCTCTTTATGTTTTTGAGGGCGCAATGGCGGAGCTGTAGACGACAGAGGCGTCCTGACCAATCACAAGCTTGCGTCCGCCCTTGTGAGGGCTCTCCAGCAGGCTTGCAAGGACGGATAATGGCGTTGCGTGTGTCCATCCTGACAGAGACGTATAAATTAGGCTTAAAACTGTCAGTGTTGTACCATCTTTGGTTAAAAACTCTGCACTGCATTTGAATTTAAATCCTCTACACTATGATGTTGGCTGGTACATTGTGATGTCACACAATTAGATGTTTACTCTAATCTCCCTCTGGGATTAATAAAGTATCATTGAATTGTGTGTGTGTGTGTGTGTGTGTGTGTGTGTGTGTGTGTGTGTGTGTGTGTGTGTGTGTGTGTGTGTGTGTGTGTGTGTGTGTGTGTGTGTGTGTGTGTGTGTGTGTGTGTGTGTGTGTGTGTGTGTGTGTGTGATAGCGATAGCGACTCCGCCCTCTCGGTCTGCCAGACAGCAGCATTTGTTGCATTTTTTAAACAGGAAGTGGGAGTGGAGTAAGACAGGTGGGGGGTGACTTACTCTTTAATAAATCACTGAGTTGGAGAAACGACATGCAATCAGTTCTAGGTCCAAGATTCATTATTTGCCATTAGTGTGAAATCTACAGGCCAGGCACATTGCATGTTTTGTGCAGAGTTCTCGTTGATGACAGTTAAAGGAAAGAAAACAAATCAAATCTAATAATGAAATGTTTCGAGGTACAGTATGATTAAAGACTGTATCAGCACAAGTTTAGATACTGGGTACCTCGGGGGGTGGACTACTGGCGGTTGTGAGTGGGGCCCTTTGGGGGTCTTGGCGGTGGCCATGGGTTGCGGCCTGGCGGCTGCAATGCCCCTGAGTAGTTCTGGGTGGGGGCTAGGGGTGTGGAGTTGGCCGGCCCCGTGTGGGGATCTGGGCAGGGCTTTGGGGGTCAGGTCCTGACATTTATGCTGCCAGGAAGAAGGTGGGAACATACGGCAGTGCCTGGCCCGGGCTCAGCGGCCTCGGGTAGACCTTGGCTCCTCTGCTGTTCCATCACAGGGGAGGGGGAGGACCCAACCTTACCTGGATGTCCTATGTCTTATATGTTCTGGAAGCTGTGCAAATGCAGGGATGGGAGTAGATATTCTGCTGGGGTGGGGCTGCGTTGGTTCCCTCGGACTCCATGAAGCTCTGCAATGCTGCTGCTTTGGCCTTGGCAAGATGGGCTGGGGTCTCCATGCCCTGGGTGGCATTTTGGCAATGGAAGTGCCTATTGGGGCCAGTGGGAGCTGGCGCCCTGGAGGGCTTAGGCCAACCAGCCATTCCTCCCCATCCCCACACATTTTTCTCCTCCTGCTCCCTCACATCATCACACAAACATGCACATAGGACTTTGAGGGGTGGACAAGTCAGGGGTGCAGGTATGGACCCCATTTCTGCATTCCTGTGGCTGCCTGCCCCCCAATTTTATTTGCAAATTAACACTTCCACCAACGACATTCCACGCAAACACACACTTAGGGCCTTGGGAGTAAGCACATTCAACGGCATTTGGCAAGGGGATCTTTCAGCCTCATCCCATGTGCCAGTGCCCACTTCCAATTTTAAACTGCACTTAGACACAGAGGGCTGTGGGGGGAAGAGGGGCGGTGTGGTGGCTAGGGCTGTCACGGTAACCGCAAAAATGAAATATCGCAATATGAAGAAACCCACCGCGCTGCATCATGGGCCACCGCGATTACTGAACTTGATTCAACTCAATGATGCATGTTGAGAAGGATGGCTGCACTGGTATCAAAACGAAACGTTACTTCGCTCCTTTGGGAGCACTTTGGTTTTCAGTATGTGAGCTGCTGCGCAGCCAGAGTCCTTGGCTGAGACAGAGCTGCCACCAGCGGCAAAAAAATAATAATAAACGCTCGGAGACCTGCTGAAGTCCCGGACAAGCACTGCTTCTGCAACCGTCCCGAAGAGAGTTTGAGCCGAGCTGGAGCTCACTCGCTACCTGCAGGAGGAATGCATCCACCCTAAAGAAACCCCCCTGACATGGTGGAGCAACAACCGGGAGAGATTCCCTTTGCTCGCCAGTCGCACGCAAGTACGTGTGCGTTAGTGCAACGAGCGCACCATCCGAGAGGGTTTTCAGTGTTGCTGCAAATATTGCCACCCCTCTCAGATCCTCTCTCAAAGCGTATATAGTTATCATGCTGGTTTTCCTTGTGGGTAACAAGGACGTGACCGAGCTATAAAGCACCGTCATTCGTGTGTGTGAAAGTGAAATGATAGTGCCCCGCGCCCGGTACATGTAATTTTTATGCTTGATTTTAAACAGCTAAACAAAATGGGGACTTGTTTCTTATTTGTTAGATGCTGCAGCCAAATTTGCATTTAAAAGTTTAACCTCCTGAATTTTGTTGTTTTTAAGTTCAGTCGGACTCCGACTGTCGGAGAAACAAACGTTACTGCGATCTGTGTTGTTACTGCCCTTTGATCTGCATTCAGTAAAGTGTTATAAAAGAAGGCACGGCAATTTTTAACCTTTTTTAAATGTGTAAACATTATGTTTAGATAGTACTGCAATAAAAAGAAAATGCTGCAATAATATCGCACACCGCAATATTAAGCCACCCTGAATCACCGCAGGGGGAATTCCTCAACCGTGACAGCCCTAGTGCAGGCATCAGCTGGCGTAGGCCAGACGATGCCTGCACTGCCCGCTCACCACAGCCACAAATACACCTCATCAACACGCACCAACACTATACTGGAGCAGGCAGAGTGAGACTAGGGGTCTTAGCACACCTCTGTTGTCGCTTGGCTTCCTGGGGCTGGAGGCTAGGAGGGAGATCTGGCCGTCTGGCTGGGGTCTGGGGTGGTGGGTTGCTGTGCTCAGCGTTGGGCGGGGGAGCCTGCTCATCAGCACCCCAGCAGAAAGGGTCAAACTCTGGTAACCGGTGATGGTTGTACCCCCTGTGCAGCAGTACCGGGACCAGAGTGAATAGGGTGTGTATGGGGAGCATGAGTGGGTGTCTGGCATGCATTTTTGTGAGTCTTAGGTTGTATGTGCATGTGTGAGCATGAAGGAGGGAGTGTGTGACTGTGTTTGTGTATGACTGTATATGTCAGGTGGGGCTTTTGACTCCTCCCCTCTCCTGGGACTTCTGCGTCTGCCTGACCAATCCCGGTGGCTGCCTGGTGGGATCTGGGTCCCTGGACTCTGTTGGGTCCCCAGCGGGGCTGGTCACCCCTGGGTCCCGGGACACTGGGTTCCGGGCTCGGCCGGCTAGGGGGTGGGAGGTTGCGGGCGGGCCTGAGGGCTTGCCGCTGATATCTCCCGGGACTCAGCCAGCTACTGGTTGTGGCCCCCCGGGGCGATCCTCTGCTCCTCTCGAGGGGGCAGGGGCTTTTCTGGTCTCAGTCTCCTTGGGGTCCCTGTGCTCTGGGGCAGTACCTGAATCTCTGGGACTTGGAGCTCCCTCCGTCTCCTACACATCTTTGGGGGGCAGATCTGTGGCCCCTCACACTCTGTTGGACGCTCCTATAGAGAAACCTTACATGGGTACACACGACGCACACAGGTGCTCACATGGTGCTCTCATAAGTATGGACTTGGGCACGTTCAACACATATCATCTGTGGTTGGCACTAAATGCACTGTGATGTATGTGTGATTGTTCAGTTAAACAATGTTGACTTTATATTTCTTCATCAGGTTGACGCGGTGATAGCTTGCTCCTGTTGTATGTGTGTCCCTTTTCTTTTTTTCTTTTTTTTCCTCCTGCAGGTCTAGAAGCTCTTGTTCATCATTGATTGATTGTTTTTGTGGAACCTCCCCCCCCCACACACACACACACACACACACCTTTTGTCTTTTCCTTTCTCTTTCACCTCTGTCTCCGTGTCTGGTAGGAATAACAAAGCATTCAAAAACAATAACAATAAAGTTTTAAGTATCAGGCGTGACATTAAAAGCAAACGCTTTGATGCTCCACCTGAGAGTAAATCTGTAAGGCTTGTCACCAGCATTCAGACATCAATTCTGTTTACTTCACAGCCAGACAGGACAGGGGGAAAAATAAATTTAAAAAAAGGAATACTGGGTACTGCTGAGTTCTATGGTTTTATTCTCTTTCTGACCATTTCTCATACCTGAAATGTTCTGTTGTAGGTCTGGAACAGTGCAAATCCAGAGATGATGAAGGGGGTAGAGAGGAAGAAGAGGACTCTGATACAAAAGACCATGCTGTCAAGCATAAAATTCCTTCTGAGATGGTGGGTCAGGCCATTTCTGTAGTGGGGAGTTACACTGGGAAACCCCTCAGCACAGAAGCTCCAGCTGTCAAAAAGCTTCCTGAACCCATTCTCCCCTCGGCACAAACCAAGTGAGGCTGCAGCTCAGAGAAAACGTCACAGTCAGAAACATCTGCAGCACCTGTAATTTGATTTTATTGTTTTTCTGCAGGATGAGCGGGGCAGGTGGGAGGAAAAAGGTGTTTCGACTGTCCGACGTTGTTCAGCCTTTTTCAGACTCCCAGATTGAGGTGTTAACTTCCAAAGCGGTGAAGCGCATTTTGCTCTCAGAAAAGGCGATTTCTCAAAGTGGAATGTCCCATGTGAGTGATGGTTAGGTTTTATCACCAGGTTTATGCTCGTGTGGGTTCCCCTGCATCCTGTGGGATTTTTGACTGTTTCTTTATGAATCAAACTGTGATGATCAGTAAAGGAATGGTTTAGGCTCTAACTGGAGATCTCAACCAATCAGGTTTGAGCAAATAATAATAATAATAATAATAATAATACATTTTATTTAAAAGCACCTTTCATGACACCCAAGGGCATTTCACAGCAATAGAGATAAAATCAAACACAGCACAAAAAACATCTAAAACACTAATGAGAACATTTAAAAACAATAGTTAAAATAACTATTTAACTAGGTGGTAAAATCTTGTCTGCAGAGCTGGGTTTTCAGTTTGGATTTAAAAAGAGGGAGAGAATGAGTGGTGCGGAGGTCAGGGGGAAGAGCATTCCAGAGGTGGGGAGCAGAGCGACTGAATGCTCTTCTCCCCATGGTGACGAGGCGAGCTGAGGGAGCCGAGAGTTGAGGAGCAGAAGAGGAACAGTGAGCGGACGGGGGTGGAGATGTGAAGGAGATCAGACATGTAGGATGGAGCAAGGTTGTTGGGAGCTTTGAATGCGATGAGCAGAATTTTGAAATTGATTCTCTGATGGGTAACCAATAAAGTTGTTGCAGGATGGGCGTGATGTGGTGAGAGATGAGAGTCCTAGCGATGACACATGCTGCAGCGTTCTGTAGAAGCTGCAGTTTATGGAGGGATTTGTTGGGGAGACCAAAGAGAAGCGAGTTGCTGTAGTCTGTCCTGGGAGGCTAGGTTAGGATGGCAGTAGAGTGAGGGGTAAGTGATGGACAGAGACCGGAGGTGCTACGTAGGGGTGCACCGATACCGATACTGAAATCTGTATCAGTGCCGATATGATACTGATTTCAGTATCGGTAAAAGTTAACCGATACCAGGAACCGATACCAATGCAGTTGCTTGAAAGTGGCTTCACTGTAAATTGTTGTTTCTGTTCACTTAATATTTTAGTTTTGTGATGATTTCTATTCATATATTTTACTTTTTATCTACCTCACAGTATTTTCCTGTTGAAAGCAGAGAAGAAAGTTTCATCTGTATTCCAAATCATTGCATTGTTTTGTGTGGGAGAGGTATCGGCGAGTACTGAGATCCAAGTATCGGTATCGTATTGGTTTGAAAAAAAGGGGTATCGTTGCATCCCTAGTGCTACGCAGGTGAAAATAGGCAGACCCGGTAATATTGTTGATGTGAGTTTGAAAAGAAAATGTGCTGTTGAGAATGAGACAGAAGGTCAGGGAGGAGGACCGAAGTGAAGTTGTGGGTTTGGTTGAGAGGTAGAGCTGGGTGTCGTCGGCGTAGCAATGGAAGTTAATTTTGTGTTTACGGAAGAGGTAAACTAGCGGGTGAAGGTAAGTTAAGAGAAGGGGCCCCAGGACAGAGCCCTGGGACACACCAGCGGAGACAGGAACGCTAGTGGATTTAAAAGATCTCAGCTGAACAACCTGTGTGCGGTCAGAGAACCAAACAAGAGCAGTGTGCTTGATGCCTTTAGATGACAGTCTGCTGAGGAGGGGGCTGTGGGAAATGGTGTCAAATGCTGCTGTGAGATCAACAAGTATGAGAATGGACAATATACCAGAGTCAGAGGCAGTGAGAAGGTCGTTGGGGGTTTTCCGAAGGGTTGTTTCAGTGCTGTGGAGAGGACAGAAGCCAGATTGAAACTGTTCGTAGATGATATTGGTGATGAGGTGGTTGTGAAGTTGAGATGCAACAGAATTTTCAAGAACTTTAGAGATGATGGGTAGATTGAGATAGGATGTAACAGCAGTAGCTCAACAGGTTGAGCGGGTTGTCCAGTAATCGGAAGGTTGCAGATCCGATCCCGGCTCCGGACAGAGAATTCTGCTGTTGTGTCCTTGGGCAAGACACTTAACCCACCTCTTGCCTGCTGGTGGTGGTCGGAGGGACCGGTGGCGCCTGTGCTCGGCAGCCTCGCCTCTGTCAGTGCACCCCAGGGCAGCTGTGGCTACATCGTAGCTCATCCCCACCAGTGTGTGAATGTGTGTGAATGGATGAATGATACACTGTAGTGTAAAGCGCTTTGGAGTCCTTACTCTGAGAGGCGCTATACAAGTGTGGCTCATTTATCATTTATCATTTAAGTTATTGAAGTTTGTGGGGTCTGGGCCAGGTTTCTTCAGAATGGGTGTGACTGTTGCTGTTTTGGAAGTGAGGGGGCAATCCCAGATCTTAGGGAATGTTGAATGATATCAGTGATGAGAGGGACAAGAGAAGAAATGCAGATTTTGACAAGAGCTGTGGGGATGGGATCGAGCCCACCGGAGGATGGTTTGGATTTGAGGATGGGGGGGAGAGAGTTTATAAATAGTTGTTTTGATTAGAATTAATAAAATCAGAATAATGAGCAGATTTAGTAGATGAGAGGTGGTCCTTGTAGAGCATTTTGTGAGCCGAGTACGTTTCTACGTGTATGGTTAGTCCAGTTTTCTTTGACGTCCTTGGGCTTTGAGCTGGCGGAGGGCAGGGGTGAACCATGGTGACGAGCAGATGGATGAAACGGGTCTGGTCTTTAGGGGAGCGTGGGTATTCAGAATAGAGAAATTATTTTTAAAAGCCGATTAAAAAAATAAAATTAAATCGGTCACCTGTGTGGCCAACTGCCGCCACTACTAGACTGAGGAAAGGACCCAGTTTTTTATTTTATTTTTAAATGTTTTGAGTTTGTTTTATATTTGAAGTTCAATAAATATTAAGAGATTTATTGACTTATTTCATTTATATTGCACACAGTGAGTGTTCATTTGACTTTCACAGTTAAAGTGGTGCTAAAACGAATATATATCGGCCTTAATAATCAGATTTAGATATCTGCTGCAAATTTCTTTAAAAATCGGTATTGGCATCAGCCTTAAAAAAACAAAAACCATATCGGTCGGCCTCTTAATTCAGAAGGTGGAGAGGTTGCTGGTGTAGCTGGAGACCAGGTCATCGGGTGAACTGTTGCTTTTGGGACTGGGAAGAGTTTTTGCTGGAAGAAAAGGTGTCAGCGTTTATTTTTTAATGTTGTGGAATAAAATAGTCCGAGGAACAATCATTTTGAACAGAGGGAGGTTGATATCAAAGGTGGCGAGTAAATGATCAGAGTACGGACAAGGTGAGAGTATGGGGGTGATACCAGAGCAGCAGACCAGATCCAGGATATGACCTTTACAAAACAAACCACAATTCCCTTTTCTATCAGCGCCCGTGTGGCACCATTTAACATGTCTCTGCTTGAATGAAACCAAAGAAACGATTAAGGCCAGAATGAATGTCTCCAGCTGATTAACTTTCAGAGTAGATGTCTTTAACCAGGTGAGTCTTACAGATAGCTAAAGTCTGAGGTGTTGGTCGACGAGTCGTCATGAAGTCTGAGCGATGACAGCGTGAGGTGTGTGCCTGGTGCAGGTCAGGGTGAAGCTGCTCTCCAGGCTCGTCACACAGTTTGACGGGATGATGAAGGGAGACGTCCTGGAGTTCATTCTGGATGACATCAGAACAAGAAGCGACCTGGCGTTTTCTCTCCTCTACCAAGAGTACAACACATACCTGAGCCAGCTGCCGTCAGGTCTGCTGGACAGCTACGACCACTGTCTCTACACGCTGCTGTCGGGCCTGCAGGAGAAGCCTGAGCAGAAGGACGGGTGAGAAAATGGATCCCTTCTGCTTTTAGCCATTTAGCTGTTGGAACAGAAGGATTATGAGGTCGTCTGTCTTTCAGGCTGTTTACAAAGTTGGTTTTGGAGGCTCCCATCATCACAGAATCGGCTCTGGAAGTGATACGACGTTACTGTGAGGACGAGGTAAGACAACAAAAAACACGCTGCTGCTCAGATTCTGATTCCTGTAACTGCTCACCAGCCGTTTGTTCAGTCTCGTGTTTATTTAGGCATGACGACGCTGAAGGAGCTCATCATCAAACGACCGTCCAGACAGTTTCAGTACCTTCATGTCCTTCTGGATCTCAGCTCACATGAAAAGGAAAAGGTGATGCTCCACACAGACAGCTGAAGAGCACGCCCGTTCCTGAGGAAGTTCTGTGCTGAAGCAGCTGTTGATTCTTTCAGGTGCGCACCACCGCACTGGCTTTCCTGAAACGCATGTATGAGAAGGACCATCTCAGAGACTACATCGAGAAGTTTGCCCTGAACTACCTGCAGCTACTGGTTCACCCCAACCCTCCCTCTCTGCTGTTTGGAGCCGATAAGGACACAGGTTCACACCACTGGGAAAGCGTCGATTTCACTGCAAACTGATGTTTTCTTTTCTTTTGGGGTTTTATGCGTTTTTCTCCAGTTTAGATATTTTGGAACCAGATGATGAAAAGTTTTAGGTCTTATATGGTCCACTACTTCCTGTTATGTTTCATTCAGTAGTGAAACTGGAGTTCCTGAAGGCCTCCTCTGTGCTGTTTTTGGTACCAAATCACATGAAAATCTCCTCTGTGACTTTCTGAGTGCTCTCCTGTTTCCACTAACAGAGGTGGCTGCTCCCTGGACCGAAGAAGACGTCAGACAGTGTCTCTTACTCTACTTGTCTCTGCTTCCTCTGAACCACCGGCTCGTCCACGAACTGGCTTCTGTTTACACCGAGGCCATAGCTGACATCAAACGTAGTGTGCTCCGCGCCATCGAGCAGCCCGTAAGTAGCTCTGATCGCATCTCTGTTCCGTTTGTTTTGCTTTTTGTTTCAATTCTGTTTATTCAACAATTTCCTTCAAACCAAGTTTAGATGGAAACTTGCATAAAAAATGCCGATTATCTGTATGTGTTTTGGGTAGATCCGTGGAATGGGGATGAACTCTCCTGAGCTGCTGCTTTTGGTTGAAAACTGCCCAAAAGGAGCAGAGACTCTGGTCACTCGCTGCCTGCACATTTTAACAGATAAAGGTGAAATGAAAGGCTGCTGCTGTGTGTTCTTCTGCACTTGTTTAACCAGAAGCACAAACTGACTCTTTTTTTTTTTTTTCTTTCTTTTAGTGGCTCCATCACCAGAGCTGGTGGAGAGGGTCCGGGATCTGTACCACAAACGGGTCGCAGATGTTCGCTTCCTGATTCCGGTCATAAATGGTCTAGAAAAGGTGACGTTTTCTGTGCGTTTTGTCTTTATTATTCTTTTTGTCTACATTTCAGTAATATTTTTTTCCGTTTTTGCTCCTCAGGCTGAAGTCATTCAGGCTTTACCGAAACTGATCAAACTCAACCCGATCGTAGTGAAGGAGGTGTTCAACAGACTCCTGGGAACGCAGCACAGTACGAGCAGCTTTGTCCTTCAGTCTCGCACCATTTTTATTTAACCATCACTTCCTGTGGATGAAATATTCTAACTTTTGCTGCAGGTGAAGGAAGCTCGTCGGTGTCTCCTCTGACTCCAGGAGATCTGCTCATTGCTCTCCATAACATAGACTCGAGCAAACGTGACATGAGGTCAATCATTAAAGGTCTGTGTTGATGAAAGAAGAGGCTGAAAGTTTTCTATGTTGAACTTAAACCCGTCGTCGCTTCACATCAGCTCTGCTGTTTGATGTTTTTTCCAACAGCAACTAACCTTTGCTTTGCGGAGAAGAACGTGTACACATCGGAGGTTTTGGCGGTGGTGATGCAGCAGCTGATGGAGCAGAATCCACTCCCCATACTCCTCATGCGCACCGTCATCCAGTCGCTCACCATGTACCCCCGACTGATTTTATTTGTCATGAACATCCTGTCCCGCCTCATTGTCAAACAGGTCAGCCCGTCCATGAATACGTTTACAGAACTGCAGAAACTCACTCAGTAAAAGTGTTTATATACCTGTTAAATGATGTTCTGCCCTGCAGGTGTGGAAGTATCCGAAGGTGTGGGAGGGCTTTGTGAAGTGCTGCCAGAGGACCAAGCCTCAGTCTTTCGCTGTGCTCCTCCAGCTGCCTTCTGCTCAGCTAGAAAGTGTTTTTGAACGCTGCCCAGAGATGAGAGCTCCTCTTCTGCAGCACGTCCACTCCTTCAATCCTCACCAGGTCAGAGCTCAACCTTGTTTCTGTCTGAGCTTTTCACCTTCATGAACAGTTCCTCGTCATCCGATCGCTCTTTTTTCTACAACAGCAAGCTCACATACCCGCCTCCATTGTGGCCGTGTTGGAGGCAAATAAAACCCCAGAGCCAAAGCCAGAGGAACCAGCTGTGGAGGAAGAGGTAGCCTGTGGAGTTTCGTCTTCCTGTGGTAATGTCTGAGCGTTTAAATTCAGAAAGAGTTTTTTTATGTTCTGTTCGATGTTTCAGACGGACCAGGCTTTGGATACGCTGGTTGTTGAGGAGCCTGTTGTCAGGACACCAACAGACCCAGACATCCCTTCACAACAAAATCTAATGATTACAAAAGTTGACGAGGAACCGATGGAGCAGGAAGAGGCCGACCACATAGCTCAGGAAAAAGCTCTTCGTGAAATATTACAGGTAACATGAACCTTCATGGAGCCACATGTAAAAGTAGATATTTTTTTCTCTGCTTTCTCAAAACTTGATAATTGCTTTATATTGATAATGTGCTGATATATCAGTTCTGTTATTGACAAACAATGCAGAAGTGATCAATTCTTATCTATGAAAACGAGATGCCTAAACACGGTTTGGTTTGTTTTTAATATCACTAAAACTGTGATTTTTACAGGTGGAATTGGAAAAGGCATCCGAAACATCTCACCCTGATCCAGACTCGGCTGAGGAACCGATGGAGGAAACCCAACCTGAACCTGATTACCAGAAATCAGTCAAGGATCCTGAAAGCAGCATCACAGAAGCTGAACCTGGAAGTGACAGCGAGGAAGTGGTGTGAACAAACATTTCTTTCCTCTGCAAATCTCACAGAATTTCAAACACATTTTCTTTCCTTTGTTAAACAGATTGTTGAGACACTTTTAAAGTATTTTGTCTTTATGTTGGAAATGAGTTGGAAAATTAAATAAAGACAGTGATTTGTGTGAATCTGAGTTTTATCCACCTTTATAACATGCAACAGATTTTTTAAAATCATGACTATTCTATTAACTTATTGTTTCAATTTCACTGTGCTGCTTAGTTTTAGTTAGAACCAATGAAATTATCTGCAATACCACGAAACCCCATTAAAACATCAAAATGTCCCAAGTAACTTTTATACAATAAATTTAGTGTTCAGCTGGAATCATATCAGCTAAACTTAGATCATTTCAATCTAATCAGTTGCTTGTTTAACAAAGAAAGACTGCCTGTTTTCTTTAAACAAAGTAATTATTAATCTAAACAAGATTAACATGGTGGAAACAGTTTGTTTTATGTAATGTCCAGTAGGGGGCAGCGTGGTTCCGCTACAGCCCAGTAGAAGGCACTGTAGTTTGTCTAGAAACCAATAGGCGGCAGTAACGCGCCTTTTAGCGGATGGAACCCAACAGAGAGCCTCAAAAGAAGAAGAACAACGTTGGAACAGCTGGTGGATTTCTGATTTCTCTGGTGTTTTTGAATTTTTTTATAATCTGAATTTAAATGAAAGCTGTAATCCTCGCCGCCGGATACGGAACCAGACTGCAGAGGGATGTCGCCTCCGACCGCAGCGGGAGGTTTGTTCACCTGGCGGGGATACCGAAGCCGCTGCTGCCCGTGGGCCGCTCGGCTCTCATATCCCTCTGGGTCCGGGCTCTGACACGCTCCGGTTCTGTGGACCGCATCTATGTGGTGGTACGGTCAGCAGTGACTGTTGCATTTATCTTCTGTTAGAACGTTTATTTAGTCGTGAACCGTTATAATTGGTAGGTTTCAAAGTTCGTCATAAAAAATGTTCGCTTAAACGAAGTTTGTCCAAAGTAGCTTACAATCAGTTTTTGTCAAAAACGTGAGTAAACACGTGGAGTATGGTAGCTGCTGATTGTTTTACTCTTTATGTAAATATGTAGCCGAACATGTTGCAGAGCGTTTGAGGTTAATGGTGGATTACTGCTGAAGACGAGGCTGAAGTTCGCTTCCGATTCGGGCTTTGGCTAAAGGGCAATTACACCAATTTTTTCCTCCCTTTTTCACCCTTTGCACGTGACGTCTCGCCACACATGTGACCGCCCCCTTCGCCATGATGGACGGCAAAAAGACCGTTTACACCCGTAGAAACTGAAATCATGTTTTCTGTAATCTGCTATTAGTCTAGAATAATCCAGTACAGCTGTTGTAGTTTTTGAGCTAGAGCAGATTAAAGATGGTCAGAGTAAAAGAAGATTTGGGTGTAATTGCTCCATTTGCTAAACTTCAGCCTCATTGCTTCTTGTAGAAAACACCAACCTAGAACAACAGTAGCAAAATATTTCTCTATGCAACCATCTGATATGATTACATGTATGTACAGGATGGCTTGCTAGGCTGACTATCATCATTCGTAAACATTGTTTTCCTACACAATAACGCTAAATGGAGTTTAGGTTACTTTATAAACTGTTAGTTTCCGGTGTGTGTAAAGGCATTTAGGTTGTTTGCGCTGAAAGTGCCTTATTTAATCAGGAAGATTAAACATGTTAAAGTCTTTTTCCGGAGTACTTCTCTTATCCGATGGGACCATCTAGTGGCTGACAAGCATATCACATAAAAAGTTTGTCACTCAGTTTTTTAACCCTCCCACTGTCCTAATGGGTGTGACCCTGTGAGGAAAGTTGATCATTGAGCAGGGTTGATGGTTTATCCCTTGGGTCCATGTGGCAGGGGTGAGGAGTGAGCACCACCTCACCCCTGCCAAGTGGACCTCACGTGGCAGGGGTGAGATCAGCCAAACCAGCTAAGATAAGGATAAGGAAACGCCATCAGGGGAGCCGTCCGCCCCGACAGCAGCAGCCGAGGCACCGACACAGAGCGCCCAGAGCAGGGACCCCCACCTCCACCCAGGCACACCTGGAAAGCATCCAGGCTGCCACAGCCGACCACCGCCCCCGGGGCAGAGGGCACCCACAGAGGAAGCACTGGAAAAAGGTTAAATTAAGATTAAAATAAGAGCTACAATGAGAGATGTAATTTAAAAAGTTATATAGATATTAAAATAATGTTGATCATAAATCTATGGTAAAAAAAACGGTTTAAAAATTGCACGTATAAAGAAAGAATACATAAAATAACCTAATTATTTTTTTAAGTGATAGTAAAAGCTAAGCTAAAAAGACAGGTCTTGAGCCTGTTTCTGAAAACATGAACGCTCTCTGCGGCCCTGAGGTCTCCTGGCAGCTCGTTCCAGAGGCGAGGACTGTAGTCCTGGAAGGACGCCTCGCCGTGAAATGAACCTGACTTTAGGGAAGACAAGGAGACGGCTGCCAGAGGAGCGCAGAGACCACCTGGGTTCATACGGTATAAGCAGTTCTGGAAGATAAGAAGGCCCAAGACCGTTAAGACACTTAAAATCCGTTAAGTGTTTTCCTGAAACATGCGGGAAGCCAATGCAGTGATTCTGAAACTGGAGTGATGTGCTCCCGCCTCCTGGTCTTCATCAGGACGCGTGCTGCTGAGTTCTGTAGAAGTTGTAGACCTGAGGCGCTCTTTTTAGGAAGAGCAGAAAAATTCTGTTTCTCCTCCACAGACCAACGCTCTTTACCTGGAGGCGTTTGAAGAATGGGCCTCAGATTTTACAAACGTTCAGATTCTCAGCGACCAAACAAAAACCAATGAGGTAAATAAAACTTTGACCTCCACTAGTTCTCCAGATCAGCCTGTAAATAACCTCCATGAGAGACCTTTAGTGTTTCCACATTTTGGGTCAGGATGAGTTTGACCTTTAACCTGTGTTCATCTCAGGAGCGTCTCGGCGCCGTCGCCTGCCTGCAGCTGGCCGTCAAACACTTTAGCATCCAGGACCATGTGGTTGTTGTTGGAGGGTGAGTTGCTGATGGTAACCTCTGAGCATCACATGTACTCGGATGACGTAAGTCCTTTTTTACCAGTGACACGCTCTTCAAGGAGGATTTCAGCCTAACTGAAGTCCAAAAGATATTTTGTGATGTGCAAACAAAGTGTGAGGACAGCTGTCTGGTTCTGTCGTACCAGTGCCGAGATGAAGGTGAGACTTTTATGAATCCCTCAGACTTGGTTCCAGTTAATCATTAACCGTTTGTTTTTCTGCAGAAACCCAAAAATATGGAATACTGGAAGTAGAAGAGGAGCTTCGTGTCGTCTGCATGAAGGAGAAGCCTCTTCCTTCAGAGACGGAGTCGAGGAGAGCAGTAAGTGATGATCCAACAGAAGTTCTGCTTGGTTATCTTCTGACCTTTGGACATCTCCCACAGGGTCCTGTTTTATCTCCAGGGTTTATTTCCTGCTCAGGTCTCTGCAGGTCCCACCAGAGCATCTCAGTTGGGATGAGCCTGGACCGCTGCAGAACCATGGTTCTGAGTTTTAGGTGTTCTGTAGATGAGCTACTGCTTGGGTTCTGTCCTACTTCTACCTTTTGTTTTTGTTAATTATTGACATGTTATTGTCTTGTTCTGCTCTAGTTACTCTAGTTTATGACTTGGCAACCAGATGATTATGTTCTGACACCCGAAACCTCGTTAATCAGGTCGAAGTGAGTTTTGACAGCTCAGTCTTTAGTTGGTCTTAGCCCAGTGATCTTTCTGTTCCAGTGCCCTTGTTTCTATGTGTTTTCTGAGAGAAGCCTTCCTCTGCTGGATGCTTTCCTCGAAGAAAAGAAGGTGAGTTACACAGTTGGGGAAATGTGGTTTATTTCAAATCTAAAAGTCACATCTAAGCAGAACGGTCTTGTCCCCACAGGATGCTCCTATTGAAGAAAAAGACGCTCCTGGAAACTTTGTGTCGTGGCTCATTCTAAGGTAACTTCTGGTTTCACTCTCAGAACATCTGAGAATAACTAATTAACTTCTCTCCTAAAGACAGATTTTCTTTTCTCCTGTTAGGAAACCAGTTTACATTCATCAGATTTCTGGGCGTTTCGATGTAGGAAACTTGCCTTCGTACATCGAATGTGACCTTTACTTCAGAGAGAAACTCAAGGATGTTGAGTCTTACATGGTTTAGGAAAAAAAACAGTAAAATACTCAATTCATGGATCCAAACATGTCTGAATCATTGACTGACTGTTTAACTTTAACCCAAAACCACGTACAGGATTACTGTAACGTGCATGTTGATGACTAAATGATTAAAACTGAATGTTTTCTAATTAAATAACCTATTCTGTGAGGAGTCTTCTGCATCTATCAGAGCCCTTTTCACAGCCGTTCTCCATCTTTGCGATCCGGGAGCCAAACTGCATGGCCCTCTTAGGCAGGACAGCCGACTGGCAGAGCCCCAGCTGCCTTGCCACCAGCCTCAGGAGGAGCTTCTCTCCAACGCCTCGAGGAAGTGACAGATCTGCTTTCTCCCATACAGGAAGAGAGTTCAGGAGACTCACAACATCCTCATCCAGGTAAGGAAACCTGCAGCCAGACATGGATCTATGTAAATCCACACACCAGGTAGATGGATCTACCCAGCTCTATTGGGTGGACCATTTATATGGATATGCCCTAATAAAATGGGAATGGTTGGGGATATTAACAAAACCACCGCTATTGGTCTGACACTAACCCACATTGGATAGATCCCTCCAAAAGAGATTTTCTGATGTGCAAACGGAGTGTGAGGACAGCTGTCTGGTTCTGTCGTACCAGTGCAGAGATTCATTAATCCATCAAACTTTGTTCCAGTTAATGATTAACTGTTTGTTTTTCTGCAGAAACCCAAAAATATGGAATACTGGAATATTCCTACTGCATGAAGGAGAAACCTCCTCCTTCAGAGACGAGTCGAGGAGAGCAGTAAGTGATGATCCAACAGAACCTCATCTACCAACAGAAGTTCTGCTTAGTTATCTTCTGACCTTTAAACATTTCCACAGGGTTCTGGTTTATTTTCTGCTCAGGTCGACTTTGAGGGTCCCACCAGAGCATCTCAGTTAGGATGAAGTATGGAACAGTCTCTGAGATCCCTCCAAGACTGTTGGAACAACAAGTGATGGCGTGGCGTGGTGTATGGGGTACAAAGATGGTGAAGCCATTCTTCATCAATGGAAACTTCAAGGCCACTGGATAATTGAAGTTGCTACATGATGAAGTGTTTCCCTCTTTATGCACTGAAGCTGGCACGTTCCTTGAGTTTTTCCAGCCCGATGGTGCACCACCACATTAAGGCTGTCCGGTCCGAGCATTCCTAGATGAACAGTTTCTTGGAAAGTGGATTGGTCATCGTGGGCCAGTTGAATGGCCCCAAAGGTCTCCTGATCTGACCCCCTTACCCCCAAATTCCACTTCCTCCACTCCGGCACGAACGCCGGAGCAAAATCGGTCCCGTTGTAGTCAATCAGAGCAATTCCACTACTGCGGCCGTGCTCTGGCAGTGCAGCGCCCTCTGTTCCGGCAAAAATAGAATCGATCCTATTTTTGCCGGACGCCGGAGCACCTCCGCAGTAAATGGACAGAAATCACAACTGCCCAACAGGAGAAGGAGCAAGCACAACTTCCGTTTTTCACAATAAATCGATAAACAAAAGGCGTTTTTTGTTTCATATGCACAGGTTTAACAACTTTTAACAACTATCAATGGTGGCTGAAGTTTAAATGCACAAAAATAAGCCATAAATACAATTTCTACTATCAAAGTGGTCACACTTTGTTGATCCAAACACTGCTGATCTCTCAACACAAATGATGGGCAGATTAAACAGCTCATGCCGATGCTTCTCTCACACAACGGGTGTTTGGATCTAACTTCCGTGTTTATTGCTCGGACTGTATCGCAAGATCTCGAAAGTCCCGCGCATGCTTGTTTGCCCCCTCAGGTCTCCGCACCGGAGCGGAGCCGTTGTAGAGCGGGTACCAGTAAAAATTGAGTTTGGAAGCGAGCGGCTGCGGAAGGCGGGGGCGGACCGGAGGTAGTGGAATTTGAGGGTTACTCATGTTTGGGGTCATCTGAAGACACGAGATGTGCAACACCTGAAACTACGGCTACTGGAAGCCTGTGCTGGCATTTCTCCTGCAGCGTTCCCATCAGTGTGTGAAGAGTGGGCACTGACAATCCAACACAATGGGCAGCACATTGAACACATTTTCTAAGTGGCCAGAAACTTGTAAATATCTCGTTAAAGAATAAAGTTACGTTCAAACCAAGCACACCATTGTTTTTCTTGTGTCACATGACCTTTTTCCTATTGAAAAAACAAAAGTTGGATCCAAGATGGCCTATCTTGAAAAGTTTGCCCCCTCACATTTATAATATCACCAACCATTCCCATTTTATCAAGGTGTATCCATATAAATGGTCCACCCTGTAGATAAACATTAAAACATGCTCCTACCTGGCTTCCTTCCCGTGGTCTCCTATCACTCTGTCATCCCTGCCTAGGTTCCTGGAGGAGATCCGGCTCAGCTCCATAGCCAGTTCCTGGATCAGTCCTTCGTGTCCTGATGTTTTAAATCGAACTCTGTGTCTGGAGTAACCTGCCAGCTGCTCGTCGGCTCCTAGTCCTGTTAGAATTACCTGCAGGTATCAAACGAAAAACGTATTCTGGGTGTCACATTGGTGGTAAAACAATCCGAATGTTCCAGGTTCAGGTCAATATAAAAAGGACGAGTTACACTTATGGAGGCGGTAGTTTGTCTCACCTTTGCTGCTGATGAGAAGGGTCGCTGGCCCTCGACCTCCGGGATGACCCCTCGACCTCTCGCTGCAAACCAAACCGCACATCCGATGCTATCGTCCAGAACTGTATCCAGCGGGTGCACTAAATGACAAATGCGCGCCTGACGCATCTGTTGCAGCTCCTCTTGTGTTACGTTGATCTCAACAAAGTTCCACCGTCTTTCAGGATTCAGGTCTTGTAATTCCTTCAGCCCGGCTCGTCCAGTGAGCCGGTCAGGAACATCGAAGTGGCTGAACGCTGGGACACAGTCATTCCTGGAATCTCTGTTTTTGTGCTTTTTCTGTTTCTTTACAGACTCGTTCTGCCTTTTTGGTTCCTGCTGCCTAAACGCGACGTTAAGAAGATCAATTGGTTGATGAGAAGGAATGTGCTGGTCCGCTAAAGCGGCCAAAATCATTGAATCAATCCCTCCTGAGAAGAGGATGGCGACACTCGCACCATCACTAACAGGGGAGGAGTCTTGTGGCCTGAGAGGAAGACACTGAACTCGCCTCCTCACCGCTTCACTAAGGACATCCATCAGTCTGTTGACCTCAGCGGGGTTCTCTCTGCTCCGCAGCAGCTCCACCAGGTCACCGACAGATGGATGTGAGTCTGGATGCTTCTCCGCTTCATTCGGTTCATGTGGAAGTGAGACATTCAAAGAGCAAACAGGAGAGGGGAGTTCAAGGCCAGCTTGGTTTAGAACAACACTGCAGCCAATGGGAACAGATGTGTTTTCATTTGTAGGAGAGGTGAAACGAGTTCCTGCCCAAGGAAATATCTCAAAGCACACAGAGCCAGTACGTTCAACCTCCTTTAGATCGACCCAAAACACACCAGCTGCTGGGATTTCTGTCCAATTAGAGCGATCAGGCGCAGGAATCTGAGCTGCAACTGAAGTCAGGGTCAATGTCTCTCCATCAAACTTCCACAACAAGCTCCGCCGTCCGAAGAAGTCTCTGCCGAACCAGAGGAAATCTCCTGCCTTCTGGTAGTACACAAACCCCCACGGGCCCTGGACGGCAGACAGGACAGCGAGGATCTCTGAGGGAGCTGTGCACGACGACAACTTCCGGCAGATAACAAGAGTGTCGTTCTCCTCGGGCATCACCGGAAGACCTCCAAAAATCTCTCCGTTCCACATCAGGACATTTCCCACATCGTCCTGCAGTGGCTGGGTGGTGAGGGGGCCTCTCATGTGGAGAACATGGGCTGAAAATAAACAGTGGTAGCTGGAAGGAGCCCCGGTGATGGTGATGTCCCGGTTCGAGTCGGGTCCTCTTCTCTGCAGGTATTCACACAGCGTTTTGTCCCGCTCACATCGAGCTCCGGTCAGACTCAGCTGGCAGAAGATCCCGCACATTGCTGATGTCTTACAGCTCCTGAACTTCCTGTTTCATATAATCCAGCTCCTCTGGAGAAAGGAAACAGACCCGTTACATTCTTGCTCTACATGGTCAGCGGTTTGTTACGGTGACTTACTTCTACGTGAACTCAGAGTCTGACTTCGGTCGGACAGGAAGAAGATGTTGCTGTTCCTCTGCTGGATGTAGACTTTCTAAAGGAAATTAAATTAACGGACAAAACTAAACTTATTTCACAAAACAAGGTTAGGAAAGAAATCCTGATGTGATGCACACAGCAGTGGATAGCTGCAGCTCAGGTTTATATCTGAATCTGGAGTTTTATAAGAGCAGAAACACTTCACTCATTCCAGTAAACAAGGAGTGATCTAAGCTGAGCCAATCAGATCCACCAGCAAATAACGACGGGAAATTAACCGGCTGCTTTTCCGGACATCTGATCTATTAAAGCCAAACTGGAATAAAAAACCTGACGTGCTTTTAACCTTTTGGTAAAAGGAGCTACGGAAATAACTTTACTAATAAACCTGACCAGAGGCCTCATGTGTCGAACGTTCGTAGGAAAAGTCCTAAATTCATTCCTATGAAGGAAATTTAGAGTCAAAATCCTGATGTTCCAAACATGCGATGGCCTCGTACACATGTTCCTTTGCCCTAATCTGCTGATAAATCCCACCTGTGTGTACACAAGTGCTCCTTCTCAGTCATTTACACACAGAAACGCCCTCAATTAACCATCAAAAATAATAAGTTGCGAGATCGAGACACTTTCTGCAAAAGAACCAAACAAGTTACAGAGGTTGTAAACGCGGTCGGGACAAAGGAGAGGTTCCTGTCAGGAATACATCAGAACTTTAATCTGATAACGTAATGGGTTGTCATTTACATTTAAGGAGTCGTTCTGGATCCTTTTGTTTTATTTGGAAATGTCTGAGATCAGCCTCTTCTAGTTACCATGACAACGTGTGTGTGATCAGGGAGCAGAGGAGGTTCTCGTAGTTGTAAAATAGAAAATCTAATCAACTTTATTTATAAAGCGCTTTCACATGCCCAAAACGAACAAACACCAACAACAACAATAAAACAGACATCTAAGAAATCCCGAGTACAAGTTTGCAATCCATATCGGTCCTTTTTCCAGAATCAGATCCAGAAACATTCACAGTGATGCTGCCCACGCAATCCCAACTTCAGTGTCCAAACGCCAACGAGAACAGATGTGCTTTCAGAGGTCTCCAATGACTTGGCCTGCTTTACGTCGGCTGGCAGCTCGTTCCAAAGACTTGGTCCGAGCGCTGAAAAGGCACGACTCCCACAAGACTTCAGGCTGTACCTGGGCACAGTTAATAGTCTCTGGTCAGGTGACCTAAGGGAACGCACCGGGGCATGTTGGTGGATGATGTCAGAAAGGTATTTAGGTGCCCCTGAGTTTAACGCCTTAAACACAAACAGGATGACCTTAAATGAACTGGAATCGGATTTGGGAGGTTTGTCTGTAGCTCCACAAAGGATCCCAGATCCCAACAGCGTTCCAGACGGATCTGCTGTCAGCGCCTCACGGAAACGTGTTTACTCCAGAGAGCTTCGACAGATCCTTAATAATGACATGGAAACAATCTTTTATCCAGCACATCTAAAGCAAATCCACAAGGCGTTTCACAAGGACTAAAATATAATTAAATTATTTAAAAAATAATATTAATCAATTAAAAAGATTTAAAACATAAAAATGGAGGAGAAAAAAATTGTGATTACAAAAAACACAAAATCCATTCTACGGCGTAGATTCCCGTCGGCTCAGGGTGTGTGCTCAGATGTTTTTCCACAAGAAATAATTATTTATTGGGTAAAATAATTTAGGGATGAGGAACGTGTGTGGATGACTGAGCTCTTCGATGGTGCGGTTCCCCTGTTCTACCATTAGATGCTGTTCCTACACATGGTCTGAAGTTTTCTGATGGTTAGGAACATTTCCAGCACAGGTACAAAAGGATGAAATCCACACAGTGCATGTAATAGTTCCCACTCACCACACATACACAGATCTGTTTGTAAGTACAGCTGACACATGAGGCCCCTGGGCCATGCACACCTTCATTGCTAAAAAGCACAATGGCACCTTCACATCTTACGGAGGCTATAGGGAGCCTAAATCGCGACCACCTACTTCCGGACCACGGGTCCCCAGAAGAAGGAAAAACTGAATGCAAACCAACGGGGCTAAAAACTCTACGTTCTAATTCCACTTGTTTTGTGCCATGGATGTCACACATGATGTCTGTGAATTTTAAAGACATATTTTGGTTCTAATAAAGCACTTATTTTACAACGGGGGGAACGCTATTTTAGGTTTTGTGTGAAAATAAGTCCAGGACTACAAATGAGCTTCACCAGAGATGTCATCGAAGCAGACACGAGGAAAAACAGAGACAATGGCTGTAAGTTCAGCAAACTTTCAATCCTTCCTTCAGGAGGAAAGAAACACCAAAAATATGTCACCATGTGGTAAGTAGCAACTACGCTGGGGGGGGGGGGATTCTGATGCGACGTACCCAGCTGGGGCAGCAGTAACTCAGGAGGTAGAGCGGGTTGCCTCATGGGTTCGATTCCAGCTCCCGCCAGGGGTATCCCGCTGTTGTGTCCTTGGGCAAGACACTTCACCCAACTTGCCTGTGTTAGTGGTGGTCAGAGGGGCCGGCAGCGCCAAATGGCAGCCTCGCCTCTGCCGGACCTCCCCAGGGCGGCTGTGGCTACAAGTAGCTTACCATCACTAGCAGTGTGTGAATGTGAGAGTGTGTGAAAGCGTCTTTGGGTGTCTAGAAAAGCGCTATATAAGTTCAATACATTATTATTATTATTATTATTATTATTACCCATCTCTGATTTGTAGTCATGCTGATTACAAACTTTTACAAGCTGATGAATCTCAAAGCATGTGACTGGCGTGGTAGAAACACCCAACATGACTTTTCATTTAAGGGCCTCGTGTGTGAAATCCATTGAAATCATGATGAAAAAATGCGACTCTTTAGCACCGTGCAGTTCAGAGAAAGTATTGCCGCTACAGTGGCTCACTCATGAGTTTGAGTGTATAATGGATTTCCAGTCTAGCCTAACCCACACAAAGCTTAAAACTAGCAACTCGACCACTTTGAAGCATTTATAATTATAACTGTTTATCAACCTACCAGTCCTGAAGGAAGCAAGCTAGTTCTGTTAGATCTGGAAGCTGTCACGATTCACACACGGGGGAGGGATGATGTCAGCTGGGAGGTCAGGTGTTGTGGGGAAATTGTGTTCCCCTGACATATTCTGTCCCCTCGTGTCGGGAGATTGCACTTCTGGCTGTTTTCACAACATCTGTGATCAACTTTAATGGTAAAATGATGTAATGTAATGTAATAATGTTGTGCTTGTGAGTTTTATCTACATTTCCTCCTAAAAACAATAAAGACAGTAAAAACATTCTTGACCACTCTTTTGCAGCAAGCTTATTTATCATTTAGAAAGTTATGTAAAAGGATGTAATCTCACTCAGTTTAACATCTTTTATTTGAGGTAGTTTAGTCCTCATGATGGACAAGACGTTCTGTGGATTTGGAAATATGTGTTCTTGACTGCCTTAGGAGAAACTGAATATTTTAGGGGAACATAATTTCCCACAACACCCGTTTCACGTGGATCATGGTGCGCTCGGTGTGAACCAACTGGCTGTCGCTACAATCTATGGAGCGATCACTGGCTGCTCGTTAGCCACAGCTGGTGAAGGAGGGTTGGCAAGCTGGGGACACGCTGTGGGGATCAAGTAACCCGTGCTGACTTATCCACCAGCTTATGGTGGCTCACGGCTGGATGGTGGAGATGGATGTCACTAGCTGCTTGTTGGCCATAGCTAGAGCGGGGGGACACGCTGTGTATGCTGCGCGTAAACTCCCACCGATTACCAGCCAAAGGAGACGCATGTCTAAAGGTCACGTTTGAGGAGTCAGAGAAGAGCGTCATCTCTGTAACGTGTGGAGAACTACATCGCTGTTAGTAAGCGGTGTGGAGATAAGGTAAACAACGCTGATCTAGCCACTGGCTAGCGGGCGAGTGTGTTGGGAGACGGCAGGCTGCAGGAAGAGAGGAGACTTGAGTAGAAGGATTTTGGAACGGACACGTTGGGACCGGATCGGGAGTTCTGGTACTAGGAAAAGATGAATGAACATCTTGAGGTGAGTTTGGGAGTCAGACACTAATCAAAGGCTGGCGTCCCGATAATAGCGGGTGGAGGTCTGAACATATGCAGCTTCCTTGTGTTTTATCTGTATTTTGATTTAATTGTTTATTATTCAAACTAACAAGTACAGCAACGGTGTAGCTATTCTTTTCTATTTCTTAGCTGAATTAGCAGACTTCATGCTTCCAGGGCACACTGCTGCCCTCTGCTGGTTCTTTCAGGTTACAGGTTACTTCAACCTAGCTTATACCACATAATTATGAACCTCACTTACATCTGCACTGTTTAAAAATGGACTCCACAATTATCGACTTCCGTACTATTGAGGTTCTTTTTTAAAATGTTTGTCTAATTTTTTATTCTCCCTGTGTCTTATTGATTTTTAGCTGTTATTTTTGGGAATTTTGTTGTATTTCTTTTTTATCTTTTATCTGTGTTCGACATGTTTGTATAACGCCGGTTTAATTAACTTACATTTTTAGTGTACAGCGCCTTGTTTGGTTGTAATGCCTTGTGAATGCGCTTTATAAATAAACTTGGATTGGATTATAGTCATAGTCCAAAGCATAACATGGAGCTCGTATGTCCCTCAACAGCTACTGTATTTTAAGATAGTGGATGACCGTAGAGCCTCAACCACAGTTTACGTATTTAAAAATGTCAAATTTCAAGTTGAGAGAAATATTTAGAATTGATGTTGGTGATAAATATTAGTGAAAAGGACAAGTTTGTGAACTGGTAATACAAGATTTATAGTAAGCAGGTAAAAATATCACACCCTGGGGCTTTAAACTGCAGTTAGTGTGATCCAGGCCCTAAGGCAAAGTGGATTAGAAAAATAACTCTTTTCATTCCTTTTTTCGTCTTTCGAGAGACCAGAAAGGGAGGAGACTTAAGGTTGGTTTATGCTTGATGCGTCCGCGAGGTCCGCACGGCTCCGCGCGGAAAAGTTGCGTCATTTTGCGTCATTTTAACAACCACGCCCCTCCACCGCGTCTCCGCACGGCCCAAGATTTCCGCAACGCGCACCTCGGAAAATTTCTAACCACGCGGACGGTCGGACGCGGAAAAACATGGCGGACCGGCACGGCAGAGGTTCGTAAATAGACATTTGTATGATTCAGCTCTCAGAGATCACCGTGATCAACATGTTGTTAATAATTCTTGGAGAGAAATAGCTCGCACTGTCGGAAAAGACAAGGACACTGTTAAAAATGCTGGAATGCCATGTTGTAAACAGTGATTTCTACTTCTACTATGGTGTAGTGTTGGATGCATGCTGTAGAGCTCCATGCTGCCCCGTTCAGTTTGGGAGAATATTGGCTCACCGCAGAGACGAGCCGCACGAACCATAAACGCTGCGAGTTATGAAGCGTGTTCCAGCCGCGAGCCGCATCACCGCGCGGAAAGTGAATGTGTCAAGCATAAACCAAGCTTTAGGCTCCCTATAAAGCCTCACACTAACCCATCTGTCCTCGCCACCTTCTCCAGTGGCACCACAGCGTGCGGACTAACAAACATCTCCCTGAGCCGTGAGAGCAGCAGCGACCCAGACAGAAAGGCTCTGGAGAGTTTTGAGAATGGCAGAGATCAGAGATCCGACTGCCATCAGCAGAGGACCTGGTCCAACAACATCAGGACCACAGGCTGTTCTCGCTCCTGCCCTCTGACCAAGGTTCATGTTCTAGAGATGTTTCTACTCTGTCACCATCAGACCACCTATATGAAACATAAACCTCAGTCCAAAGAAATCTGAATCTGAAGATAGTTCAGTTTGATCAATAATGGTGCTTGTGATTTGTACATTTGTGAAAATGTCAAATACTTTGCAGGTGTTTTGGTATTTGGATCTTCTTGGACCAGTAAAAATTCTGATTGTTTCACCCACTCCTTTGGTGGCAGCTTTACCTCTTTACTAGCCAGATATTTGATTTTGTTTAAATGAAGGCAGGGTTCCCCCAGAAAGGACTCCACTCCTCCATCACAACACCACTGGAGCAGAGACGTTATGCAAATCGTTAAACTGGGAATCAGATGTGCCCAAAACGGCTCCATCAACAAACCCCACAAAACTTGGGACCCCTTTAAGAACCTATGTGGATTATTTAGCTGCCCCCACATCAATCTTGTAACAACTAATGTTTAGTTTTTGTTTTCTTTCTTCGTTGTTTGGTCTGTTTGTTATTTTCTGTGGTGGTTTTTGAAGAAAGAATGATTGTTTTGACAATTTTAAAAACTACAAAAAAGAGTTCAAAAACAAAATGGAAACATATAATTTTATCTCTAAATTAAAAGGTTTAAAGTCGCATAATAAAGCTCTATTTAACCCAACCGCCTTTTTATTTCCTACTTTATCTTCATTTTACCGTTTTTTTTTTGTTCATTTTGAGGATGTTATAAATATGGAATAAATGGGCTTCTGCGTCAACCAATTCCACTTTCAATTCAACTACTTCACAATCGATAAATGTTCATTAAAAATACAAATCTAAGTAACTCATTTCTGACTTCTTACCCTGTTTTTCCTCAGATTTGAGAGCTCGTCCACGATAACCTTCTGCTCTTTGATCTGTGAAGCGGGAAATAACGCAGTTTATTAATTCATTAATAAATCGTATACCGTATTTTAATGTTGATATGAGATTACAAAGAAACGTGGACTATGTGGCTATCTGTTAGCCACTTTAGCATTAGCAACCGGAGACATGTTTGACAAACCTTTTGATTGAGTTCCTCTTTTAACGCAGATTGTTCGTTCAAACTGTCGCTGCTGTTTGTATTTGAAGACATTTTGATCGAAAACAACAAAACTAGTTTTACCAATTTTTTCTTAAACTGACGCCAGAGAAGTACCAGTTTAGACCGCTGTGCGTGAGGTGTGTGTGAGGATTAAAACGGAAGCTGATTCTGGTGACACTGCCCTCTAAGGGCGGGGGGTGTTACTGCCCCCTAAAGGGGGCAACCGTTGCCCTTTTGTGGTAATGTGGTGGTGACATTGCACCTTATGCAATAAAGAAGAAAATAAATTATTCTAGTTATGGACATTGAACGTAATCGGGTTAAATTAAAAACAAACAAGTACTGAATGTGATAATTGTAGAATGTAGTAAATTTAATTACATAAAAAAGGTTCATTTCCATTGATAAACAAGCCAACCAGAATTACATCTCGGACTGCAACAGTCATTGATAATATATTCACTAACAATAAGGATGATGTCAGGAAAACAGGGATATTAATGACGGACATTAGTGACCACCTACCTATTTTCGCAGTCTTCAAACATTCCATCAAACAAAACATAACCATGAACTACAGAAGAGATAAATCAGTTAAAGCCATGGAGGCATTAAACAAAGATCTTAATAAACAAAACTGGAAGGAGGTATACGTCAGTGATGTCAACGCTGCATACACATCCAGTATTTTATGAAAATACTGTTGAAATCATATAATGATAACTGCAAATTAATCAAATCTACAGGTAAAAGGGAAAACCAACCTTGGATGACTAAGGGTTTAAAGAATGTTTGTGCAAAAAATAATAATTTATATAGGAGTTTTTTCAAATTGCAAACAAGGGAAGCAGAAGATAGATATAAAAAATATGAAAATAAATTGATGATAATTAGGAAGCAAAAAAATATTATTATGGTAATCTGTTGAATCAGAATAAAATAACACAAAAGCTACTTGGGGAATAATAAACAGTGTGACTAATGGAGAGAAAACAAAATCCAGTATTCCAAATCACTTTGTCAAGGACAAAAAAGATATTTATGATGATAAATAAATCACTGATGAGTTTAAAGGGGCATTATGGAAGTGTGACAGCCAAACCATGTATAGAAATAATAAATGTCTTCTTCATACATTCTCCTGCAATGCCCTGGTCCTGTAGAATGAGCCCTGGCATTTTTACTGTGATTGCCTGTTTTTCTGTAAAATCGCAGAAAAAGAGAGATGCTCGGGTCGAGCAGGCTGCTTCATGCGCGTTCACGGATGTAGATCTTTACGGTTCATAGAGGAATCTTCTTGCTCATTTAAGTATCGACAGCTATCTAAAATTATTTTGTTTTGCGAATAAGATTGTATTACATAAAGATCTTTTTTGTTTTGTAAAGTTGTTTTCTTTCATTAAATAGCTCAGCACCCATTTAAAAAATCAATTTGTTTCCAGCAATCGTGAATCTGCTTCTAGTCTCTGGGTCTGCAGCCACACCCTTCTCACTAACCAGCACGTATGGTAATGTCAATCAGTTGCCACTGGAGGGCGACAGAGTTCCCAAATGAGCTTAAACCAAAGATTAAAATTACAAGAAAACTGTTTTCGTCATAGCTAAATAAACTGTTGCAACTCGTTCTCAGATATCAAGCCTACTAAATAAATAAATAAATGTATTTCCTTGTGACGAGCCTGCAAAGGTTACGAAGAGATTTAATTTGGACCTGCTATTTGGCAACAGTTTATAATTTAGGCCTTCTGGGGTTGCCAATGATTTTTAGCCCTTTACAAATAACTGAAACTCAACTTTTTCATCAGAACTAATGCAGCAATTATAAAAGGATAGTTTTATATTTTTTACATAAATATGATTAAATATTCACATAGAAACAGAGACAGTAGGGAAATAGCAGCAGCATTTTGGATCAACCGGAGGATGAGATTATGATAGAGATGAAAAAGACCTGGACAAACGTTTAATGTTGGAGTTAAAAGACAAACGGTTAAGAGGGAGACTCCAAGGTCTCTAGCAGCAGCAGAGTCAAGTTATCTAAATTACTGATGTGATCTTGAAATGAGGCTCTGGGTGTTTTGGTCGTACAATAAATGATGTGTCCAGTTGTCTCAGCCACTCTGACAGAGTTTCCGTCTGAAACAGACCTAAATAGTTTTTTTCCTAAACGGGATAAAAGACTCTTATCACCTCCAGTTAGTCATTAAGTTCATATGAAAGCCTGGTGGAAAAGTTTGCTGTTTCCACGAAAATAAAACAGCGTAGTCAGAGGAGAAAAGAAATAAACAGTCATGACTGCAAAATGTTGGACCGCAACAAGATAAAGATAATTGATTCAGAGAAACATAAACAGCTCTTTGATCCCCTCTTGAGATCTGGTAAACACTCTGATTTTAGGACATCTTTGATGCTTTATTGCATTTTAAAATTATTCACTGATTTTATGTAAAATATTTTAGTTGGAAAGAAAATGGGCTGGTGACCTCCTCTATCTAAACTCTGTGGTGCAGATAGAAAATGAGCCACTCAGCACTTGGGGATTCAAACCGACAACATTCCTCTGAAAAGCGCCCTTCAGCCTGTTTTTGCTCGGTTTGCAGGTGCCTTGCCAGATGTTGATAAGCTGTGGCAGCTGGTCAAACACCTGTGTTTGCAGCTGCAGAGGTACTAGATGTCAGATGTTTGCTGTTTCTTGTCCGGACAACCAGGGCTGTCATTTTGGCAAAGGCCAGACAGTGACCTTTGGTGTTTATTGTTCTCAGGCAGCGTTGGTAGGCCCATATCAAAGTCTTATGCCCCAGGCAAGCGGTAGATATCCGCAGGAACAATAAGACCGCAGCACTGTTATGTCTCAAAAATGGGTAAAGGTCATAATCACTGTTTCTGCTGCTCTTTGGTCACTCACATGCCCACGGTCAGATTTGTGGGAACCTCAAGAGCTTCAGCTCATTTTTAATTAAATAAATCAGAAAGTTCTGTTTTTAAATATCCTTTCATCAAGTGCATGAAGAACAGATGAATGATCTGCTGTAAACGGTTCAGATGAGATTCTACATCCACCTCTATCCTTTCTTTAGCCGTGGGCTGTGAGCGAGAGGCCACAGGAGGACAGTCATTCTCATATTTTTATCCCTCAGGTACAAATTTAGCCAACGCAAACACAACTTGTTGTCACGGAGTCGGGCTGCAAAAGGAGCAGACATACCTGCAGCTCACACGGCCACAAAATAACAGAGCAGCTGTCTGACCACGGATGACAACTACCTGGCTGACACACACCACCCACTAATCTGTTTGCACCAGCTCAATGTGTGCTGGTTTTCACACGGCTTACAGCTCTGTGAGATCCCTGAATAGATCACAAAGGAAAAGATGTGCCTATTGTTACCTTATGGCTCAAAATATGTGCTTATCTTACTTTAGTTTTGCTCCCTCATGCCATGAGACAGCACTGAGGAGTCCTCAGCTGCTGCTCCCAGTCACACTTTGATCTACCACCCATTAAACCCACAATGTCTGTGGTTACAATAACACATCAGATTTGATCAATTATGCTTGACAAATAACTTAGTGAATAAAACAAATTTGTTGCTGGATGTTTTCACAAATAGATTTTCTCAGAAATTATAATTTTTTTTATTTAGATGGAAGAAAATCAAATCAGGATGCACTAAAAAGTGCCTTCAGTTTCTAAAAAATAGATCTGAAATATTGATTTCTACAGTTTCTAAAGGGAATAAGGTAAAAAAAAAGTTTGTATCTCTTGTGCACCAGATATCATCACCAGATAGCATCGCTTGTGCACCAGATAGTATCTCTTAAGCACCAGCTAGGATCTCTTGTGCACCAGATAGTATCGCTTGTGCACCAGAAAGCACCCCGTGTGCACCAGAAAGCACCCCGTGTGCACTAGTTAGTATCTCTTGTGCACCAGATAGCATCCCGTGTGCACCAGAAAGCATCCCTTGTGCACCAGATAGCATCGCTTGTGCACCTGATAGCATCCCGTGTGCACCAGAAAGCATCCCATGTGCACCAGAAAGCATCCCATGTGCACCAGAAAGCATCCCATGTGCACCAGAAAGCATCCCGTGTGCACTAGATAGTATCTCTTGTGCACCAGATAGCATCGCTTGTGCACCAGATAGCATCCCGTGTGCACCAGAAAGCATCCCGTGTGCACCAGATTGCATCCCTTGTGCACCAGATAGCATCGCTTGTGCACCAGATAGCATCGCTTGTGCACCAGATAGCATCCCGTGTGCACCAGAAAGCATCCCGTGTGCACCAGAAAGCACCCCGTGTGCACCAGAAAGCACCCCGTGTGCACCAGAAAGCACCCCGTGTGCACTAGGTAGCATCTCGTGTGCATATTATCTTATGTCCCTTTAGGGAGTCAGTGGACTTCTTGGAATGAAATCTGAACTGAAGCTACAGGATGGGTTTCAGACACTGACAATGTCAGAAACTTCAGGAAACCTGACCTCAGAATTTGGACTCCACACAGCAGGAAAGAGTACACAATCAAGCACTCAAAACAAAGAAGTTTTACAAACATAAAAAACTCAAGTCAAACTGGAATTTAGCGCCAATGAGGTCATTTCAAATCAAGTGATCTGACCTTCACTCTGAGAAAAGTTGAAATAAACATAAAACCTTAAAATCTCTCTATGGCAGACAAAAACTGAATACCGAGAAACATTTTTGAAAGTTACATGAAACAATTGTCTACTTTAAAATTACTTTAACAGCTTCCTGTAAGATCTATCAGTCTCTGCACAGGTGAGGTTTTCTGCTAATTAGTTCAATCACAGAAACATGAATCTCAATCCTCTGATCCTATGAAAGCCTTTAATAGAAAAATGTTTGTTTTAGTATAATAGGGATGCAGAAGACTGCAAACAAGACACAAGTGTTCACATTTTACATGCAAGAATATTACTGTGCTGTGCATAATGCACAATCTGCACTTTATTGTTTGTACGATTGTGCAACAGGGTTGAATTTAGTAACAAATCCTGGATCAACAACAAAACTACTTTAGATTTAATTCTTTTGGGCCTGAAAAAGAACTTTAACGTGGCAGAAAACATTTGTCTTAAGCTGTCGTAACACCAGAGTGACCAGTAAGGAGTGTTTGTGAGTTTTATCATCGCTGTAAAAACAACAGGATTGTATGTGTAACTCATTAAAAAGTCAAAAACCTTCTTCTCTGTGACGTGAAAACCACACAGAACCTGCTGAACCACAGGATGAAACACGACTCTTCTCTGAGTATTCATCATGCTTCGTTGAAAAACATGCCACTAGAGAACTGAAATGAGGTTTAAAGTAAAGACGTGCCACAACGGGAGTCCCACTCAGCTGATTAGACGTGTCTAAGGTTACTTTTCCTTCTGAATGGGACATCGATACGTCTTTATCACAGTTTATGGACGAGAGTTTCTTCCTGCAGCCTGTAAATATAGTTCTGATTCTGCTCTGTTGACAAAAGAAATGCAAGTCATCCTAATGGGAAACACACACACACACACACAAGGCACACACAAGTAAAATATGTTTCTTTCGACTACAACTAATAAATATTTCAGCTAGTTTGCAATAATTTATCCTGTGAACAGTTTTTCTATTGTTATCTAATAATTATGGGAAAATCAATAAAACTATATAAAAATCTAAAATCCTGCATTTTAAAATATTTCAACTAAGCTGAAAACTCAAGAGCCCAGCACTTGAAGCTGGAGAGTTGTTCTGTATTTTACCCAAAAAATGCAGAGTCTGAAAAGTATTTCACAGCTCTTAGAGAAATTACATCAAATGCAAATTTAAAAGCTTGAAACAGCTTTGTGACAAAACTGCAAAAACTTTGCCGTTAATTCACGTTTTTACCCAACATGACCTCGACACGTCCTGAAGTTTAATAATATTTTGAATTATTAACAGTCAGCCCAGAGGGATTCTGCCTTTACTGGACACATTTCTGACACCGTTAGTTACACAAAATAAATTCAAACTACTTTCATATGCAAGGAAACTTTTCGAGTCGACCTTATGTTCTGAACTTCTGAGGCAAAACCCAGCCCTGCTGTTGTTTGTGTCATTTCCTTTCTGATAATTCCTGTCTGGTTGTAAAGCTGTGATTTTATAAACATACGTATATGTATTCATGAAATAGGGTATAAATCTGCTGAAATTACCACTTTTTGGAAAATGTTTTCTAAATAAGGAGAAAAACTAAGACTGAAAAACCTTAAAAATATTTATATTTTACATAATAAAACTGTAAAATTTTAAATTTATTTAAAAGATACATAACTCTGTGGAAAATATGTGTATTATAATATTTTTTCTCTATGTATTTGTGTTTAATTTATGCAGATAGATGTGGAAGCAGAAGTCAATTTATTTAACCATGACAACCACATGAACACCATATTATTGGAGGAGCAAAAACACTGGTCACAGTCATTTGTAACCACAGAAATGTCAGAAGGCTGCACATTTCCCTTCCTACATAATAAAAAGCTAGCACCTTGTGGCCTTGAAGATTGCCATTAAAGATTTCTGCAAAGATTACGCAGCAATGTTTTCCCTCCAATTTTACAAGAAAATGCCAGAGAAAAATATAAGTCAGCACTTCAAACAAAACGTTATTCTGTTGTCAGATTTCGAGCATAGTTATTGTAAATTTCATATTAAATTTAATATCTACACAAAAGGACAATGTTTGAAAATGCGGAAAATCAATCAATCAAAGCTTTATTTATTTATAAAGCGCCTTCTGCGACCCTGTTGGGAAGCCCAAGGCGCTGAACACGGTACATGAGAGAAAGAGGTAAAAACATTAAAGTAGAAAACAAATGGGTAAAACAAGAGATAAAGAGACCGAAGAATGCAGGGAATTAAAATCAACATGAATGAAGGCCTAACTCATACACATTTAGGGAATGCCAAGCGGAGGAGGTGCGTTTTTAGGCGACTCTTAAAGGCTGGCAGAGATGGGGATAGCATGACTGAGGGTGGCAACTGAGTCCAGAGTGACGGGGCTAGGACTGAGAAAGCCCGGTCCCCATGAGTACGACACCTAGAACGAGGGGCAGCGAGCAGGCCTTGGTCAGAGGAGCGCAGAGCGCATGATGGGGAATGTCTGTTCAGGAGTGTGGCCAGATAGGGGGGAGCACTACCCAGGAAGAAATTGTAAACAAAGACAAGTAATTTAAAGTGTGAATGATAACAGACCAGAAGCCAGTGCAGGGAGGCCAGAACCGGACTGACGTGGTCCCATTTCCTGGTCCCAGTCAGGAACCTGGCTGCACTATTCTGCACAACCAGTAGGCGACACAGTGATGACTGACACAACCCTGCATATAGAGAGTTGCAGTAATCAAGTCTAGAAATTACAAAAGCATGGAGTACCCGCTCCAGGTGGGCTATCGACAGCATAGGCTTGATTTTTGCAAGGCGTCTCAGATGAAAGAAACTGGACCGGATCACAAAGTTGATGCGAGCATCAAATTTAAGTCCAGCGTCAATTTTCACCCCCAAACTGGTGACAACTGGTTTTGAGTAGGGAGAAAGAGGGCCAAGATCAACATAACGACCCACATTCCTGCTGTTGGGGTGAAAAACAATGAGCTCTGTCTTTCCCTCATTCAGATGTAAAACGTTAGCCAAGACTTCACCTCATTAATACAGGACACAAAGGACTGGATAGAGTGACCTTTCTCCTGATACAATGGAGAGTAAATCTGGCAATCGTCAGCATAGAGATGGAATGATAGGCCATGTTTACGAAAGATTGACCCCAGAGGTAGCAGATAAATGGCAAACAAAAGAGGACCAAGGATCGATCCCTGGGGGACCCCCCCAGTGGAGCCCCTCCCAAGAAGAAAAAACATCACCCAGTTAAACACAGAATGTCCTGTTGTGGAGATACGATCTAAACCAGTCCAGAGCTGACCCTTTGATCCCAACCCATCGTTCCAAGCGATCGAGTAGAATTGCGTGGTCAACTGTGTCAGATCTAACAACAGAAGCACCACAGAAGTTCCCTGATAGATATCATTTAAGACCTTCAGTAGAGCTGACTCTGTGCTATGGCCAGACCTGAACTCTGATTGGAAAACCTCAAACAGATCAGAGTCAGCTAAATGTGAGACCAGCTGCTGATAAACGACTTTCTCAAGCAGTTTTGATGTAAAAGGCAGGGTAGAGATAGGCCTGTAATTTGCGATCACAGAGACATCAGCACCAGGTTTCTTCAGGGTCGGCCAAATAACTGCTGCTTTCAAAGCAGCTGGGACCACACCTGTGCTGAGGCTCCCATTGATAATCTGACCAAGTGAAGGGCCAAGGCACGGAAAGGCAGCCTTCCAGAGGCGAGGCGGCAGAACGTCAAGTGGAGAGCCAGATGGCTTCTGCCTCTCAACAAGCTTACTCAGCTCAGAATAAGAAACTGTACTGAGGGAGCTCAGGGTGGGTGGTGATTGAGGAACTGGAACAGGGTCAACAGAGTTACCAGAAATAGCTGCTCTAATGCCTGATACTTTATCAACAAGGAATCTGTGAAAAGCTTCAGAGTTTCCAGCAGCTGTAGGAGACATTAAGCTAGGCTCCTGATACACCAGAACAGAGTTTAGTGTTTTGTAGAGAATCTTGGGATTTTTGGAGTTTGTTTCAATGATGTCGGCAAAATAGGCCGTTCTGGCAGCCCTCTCAGCATCCTGATAAGCAACCAGAGATGCTCTGAACAACTCACGCGAGACCTGTAGGCCATCCTTTTTCCACTTTCTCTCAGAGGATCTACACGTCCGCCTAAAAGCCCGTGTGACATCAGAGAGCCAAGGCTCCCTCCTAGGCCTAGACTTGCAAAGCTTGGGAGGGGCAACCACGTCCAGGACCTGATTACATAGTAAATCAAAGTGATGTAAAGTAAATCAAAGTGTTGCGAGTAATGATCAATGTTAGATGGATCTGGGTTAAAGGTCTCTAACCTTACAGACATACAGTCCACAAACTTTGCAACAGTTTCTGCATCCAGGGCTCTGAACCTAGTAGCTGGAGCTTCACGCACAGGGACAGGACATGGCAACGTAACATCACAGAGTATTGGAGAGTGGTCAGAGAACACAGGAGGCAAAGTCTCGAGGTTCATGACAGGGAGACCAAAAGAGAGAACCAGGTCCAGGATGTGACCCCTGGCATGAGTTAGGGACGACACCCATTGAGTTAAATTGATTGAATCTAGCAAATTCAAAAAGCCTTTAGCAAGCACATTGTCAGGACAGCAGATATGGATGTTAAAATCACCAAAAAATAGGACATGGTCAAATTTTAGGATACAGTTGCCCACAAGATCATAGAAATCATTTAGGAAGTTAGAATCAGTCTTTGGAGGGTGATAAATCAGCACAACGAGCAGGCGGGGGGAGATGCGCAGTTCAAACTGGCACAGTTCAAAGGAAGAAAATGACATAATGGGTGTAAGCTCTTTACAAGGAAAGCTGGATTTAAGAGTTTAAGAGAAATTCCTCTGATTTAAATACTTAATTTTTAAATTTCTAAATTAAACATTAATAACGTCTGATCTTTCTCACAAACTAAACCAGAGGATGAATAAAGCTGTTTTCCTGCTAGCTTTAGCTCTGGTAAAGCCCGCCCTTTTCAGCCAGGCTTTCTGAGCGCGCGCGGTGGGAGGCGATACCGTGACGTCATGTTGCAGCGTGGGTATTTAAGAGAAGGGACGTAAACAGAGAGCAGTAGAGGGGATTGAAGCGTCCATCGGTGTGGGGCAGACTGGACTCTCTTCCGGTTCTGTTCATGTGTTTTGTGGGACCGAACCGACTTTTAGTTCATAAGATTATTTCTTTCCAACTTCAGCTACAGTGATAGCTAAGTTTGGAAGGGAGGAAAGGGGAGAAACGCCGAGTATTCTTTTGTTTTTATCAGTTTCTGTCCGAAGGTTGAACGCGGAGGTAGCCGAGCTGCCCCTCTCCACGGTCACAAAGAAGGAAGATTAAAAAGCCCCCTGGTTGTTTTTAGTTTGACCCATTTCGGAATGGCTACTACTGCAGCTAAGAGAACATGCTGGGGTGAGTTATTAATGATAATGTGTTATTAATTACCAAATGTACCGAAAGGGTTATTTGTAAGATATTTTCTCTACAGAAACCCTCCAAGATTTCTTCTCTTCAGCCAAGTTTCTTATTTACATGGGCCATGCTCTGTCCACATGGGTAAGTACGGCTCTATTACGACATCATTCTGTAAACCTGAATTATATATATGTCTGTTTCTAATTTTACTAAATAAATACTAAATAATATTAACGTTGGTAAGTGACATGTATTAAGAGTTCTACAACCCCATTGTTACATGGCATTGCAACATCAACCATCAGCTCCAGCTGCTCAGAGCTGCTGCAGCAGGAGCAGTCTGGTTATTTATGCAGCCACCACCACCTGGACGTGTTGAGGTGTCATCCAGCCTGTAAGATAATCACAATAAACCTTTGCAGGGTGACCGCATGTGGAACTTTGCAGTGGCAGTTTTCCTGGTGGAGCTGTATGGGAACAGCCTGCTCCTGACTGCCGTGTATGGGCTGGTGGTGGCCGGCTCTGTGCTCCTGCTGGGGGCCAACATTGGCAACTGGGTGGACAGAAACCCTAGACTCAAAGGTAAAGCAGCCTTACACCTTGTGGGTTAAATAACAAATGAGTTGGACTTGTGTCCTTCATGCTGCTCGTCTTTCCACAGTGGCCCAGACCTCACTACTGGTCCAGAACAGCTGTGTCATTGTGTGTGGGGTCCTCCTCATGCTTGTGTTCCAGTACAAAGAGCAGCTCACTGAGCTCTACGATGGGTGGATCCTGGTAAGATCCTCTCCTGCACACGGCCCGTCTCTCTGAAACTGTTTCTGTCACTATCTGGTCTCAGACCTGATGGTCCAGACATACTTCACTCTACTGATACAAGCTCCCACATCAATATGATTTATGACTGCTCCAGCAGAGTCTTTAAAGAGTGAGTGGGTCATTGCCAGAAGACCGTTAACCAAATGAAACTAAAAGCGCTCATGTGTAATTTAGGCTATTTTCACTATTTTGTGGTTGTTAAAAACTTGATTATTTCTGAATCATAGAAAGAGAAAGTTTTAAAAGGAAACGTGAGTTTTGAACAGTAATTACACAGATTTCAGAACGTTAGTCCAAAGGAAGAGCTAACCACATTGTTTTTATTTGTTGAGCTGTGAACTTTACAGGTTGTGTCTGTCAGGATAGAGAACTTGCGTTGAAACGAGAAAAGCCGGTCCACCAGCTGTCTGGGTGTTTGTGAGGTGGAGAGAGCTCGATGAAGCGGAGGGTCGAGGGTATTGTCCAAATCAGCAGGCTGAGGATTGACATGTGACTCAAACAAAAAAGGTTTCAGGGAAAACGTGGCTGGTCCTGTTGGAGCATTCCTGTAGCTATGCTGAGCACAGATCGATACCGGCTCTAGCACACTTATTTCACAAGTGCAACGAGCTTAGCCTTTGAGCTGCCTTATGTTTTATTTACTGCCGTCGACATGTAGAGTACTTTATTAGCCGTTTCTGTGAAGTGGTAATGATTTACTGGGTGTTATAGATCTTTTCAAAAGTAGTTTTTAATTTATTTTTTTAGTTTACAGATGATAACAGGACGTAACCTTTGAGTTAAAGGGTGAAAATATTTTTGTCTCCAATATTAGTTTTTACCTCCATTAGACAGCTGTTTGGGTTTGAGTTTTAATGGCGCTTAAATACATGAAAAACAAAAATCCTGAGACTATTTCTCAAGATACAGTCTTATAAAATGTAGCCCAAAAGGGCTCAACATGTTCTAATTTCAGATTCACAAGTAAAGTCTGATGCAGATTAGCTATTGTATGTAGGGATGCACCGATACGATACTGGTATTGGTATCAGCACCGATACCAATACCAGTATCGGTAAAAGTGAACCGATACCATGCAGTTGCTTGAAAATGGCTTCACTGTAACTTGTCAGGAATGATTTCCATTCCTATATTTCACTTTTTATCTACCTCACAGTCTTTTCCTGTTGAAAGCAGAGAAGAAAATAAGATCTGTATTCCAAATCATTGCATTTTTTTGGTGTGGTAGAAGTATCGGTAATGAGTATCGACGAGTACCCAGATCCAAGTATCGGTATCGTATCGGTTTGGAAAAAAGTGGTATCGTCGCATCCCTAATTGGATGATGTACTTTTAGGGATTTTCCTCCTGAAAAGGACATGAAACATTTCACAGATCTGCTCGTGTACGTTTGCTGTTTCGGTGTCTGCATTTACTTTTCTTCCTCCTGTAGAAAATATCAACATATTGTCTTTATGGTGGAAAGTAAATACATTTATGACGAGGTTGTTTTCTTTCCCAGACCACCTGCTACATTCTGGTCATCACCGTCGCCAACATCGCTAACCTGGCGAGCACGGCGACCTCCATCACCATCCAGAGGGACTGGGTGGTGGTTGTAGCAGGCCAGGACAGCAGCAGCCTGGCAGGTTAGTGGTTCCTACCAACCCTGGGTTCACATGACACGTTATCAGATCTCTTCTGACGGGGAGACTTTGAACTGTGGCTGCTGACTCGGTCTCATTTTCCATGTTTTATATCCCTGCTGTTTCCACCTGATTGTTATAAGCCATTTAAAAGATTTACTCGTGTGCAGAGCAGTGAACTCGTTGACCCCAAAACCTCAAATCTGAATCCACTTCAGTAAAAGTGGCTGACAAATTCATGATCTGTATTGTTTCCTCTTCAGATATGAATGCCACGGTTCGGATTATCGACCAGCTGACCAACATCCTGGCTCCTATGTTAGTGGGTCAGATCATGTCCTTCGGCTCCCATTTCATCGGCTGTGGCTTCATCTCGGGCTGGAACCTGTGCTCCATGTGCGTGGAGTACGCTCTGCTGTGGAAGGTGTATCAGAAGACGCCGGCTCTGGCAGTGAAAGCAGGACAGAAAGAGCAGCAGCAGGAGCTCAAGCAGCTCAGCCCCACCAAAGGTACAGGATCATCACAAACTACCATTCAGAACCTGAAACCGATCGGCATTCATCTCCATCAATCTGCAATTTTACTCCTTCTAATAGATCTGGAGAGTGGTCAGAGTCCTGAGGAGTCATCTCAACCTCTGATGAATGAAACTGTGAACACTCCCAACCCCCCCGAACCGCAGGGCTGCTGCTACCGTGTGACGGAGCCCTTGTGCACCTTTAAGGCTGGATGGGTGGCCTACTACAACCAGAACATCTTCTTCGCTGGGATGTCCCTGGCCTTCCTCTTCATGACGGTACTCGGCTTTGACTGCATCACCACGGGCTACGCCTACACACAGGGCCTGAATGGGTCCATGCTCAGTCTGCTGATGGGAGCGTCGGCCGTCTCGGGCATCTGCGGCACCGTCGCCTTCACCTGGATTCGCAAGAAGTGTGGCCTGATCCGTACAGGCTTCATCTCCGGCATGGTCCAGCTCTCCTGCCTTACGCTGTGCGTTATCTCTGTCTTTGCTCCTGGAAGCCCCTTCGACCTCAGTGTCTCACCCTTCCAGGACCTGTACACCCACCTGGTTGGGCAGCAGAGCCTTCCAGAGGCGGACCACAGCCTCACCAGTGGGAACGCCACAACGATGGAACCAGCTGAAGAGTTCCCTCCTCTACAGTCCTACATGTCCGTTGGGCTGCTGTTTGCTGGGGTCATTGCTGCTAGAATTGGTGAGTGAAAATGTTGCCGTTCTGAGACAGAAGTCTTGATTCAGTCCTCCTTCTTCCTCCAAGCAGCCAGCCTTTCTTTTGGTTTTGATGAATAAATTAGATTTTGTTTTGGAGTCAAACAAAAGCTCAAAGTACAAAAGATCCCTGAGCTGCGATGTTCTATTGCAGAAGGTTCACTTCCTTCAGACCGTATAACTTCATAAACACGACTTCCTGAAGATAACCTTTGATGCCAATAATGTTGCCCGATACTTTGACATTAATGTAGCTGTAAACCTCTTCCGTCCTGCAGGTCTGTGGTCGTTTGACCTGACTGTGACCCAGCTCATCCAGGAAAATGTGATTGAGTCAGAACGAGGTGTGATCAACGGCGTCCAGAACTCCATGAATTACCTCCTAGACCTGCTACACTTCATCATGGTGATTCTGGCTCCAAACCCAGAGGCCTTTGGCCTGCTGGTCATCATCTCCGTCTCCTTCGTGGCCATGGGTCACATGATGTACTTCAGATTTGCCTTCAAGAGCCTCGGCAGCCGCCTCTTCCTTTGCTGCTCACCGGAGCAGAAGGTGGAGACGGAGGACAGCCCCTCACTTCCGACCACCGTCTAACCCTGTTAAAGAGACTCTGTGCTGGGTACTAACCCCACCCCACCCTGCATCTTATTTCTCCAACTAACACCACAGCTTGTAGCTGGTAGAGCGCTGATGCTAACCAGTGTTGCCATGGTTATTAACAAAGCATTTGCAGAGGGAGCGTAGACGGCTTTTAGTCACTAGTGTAGTTTTAGATCAGGTCAGGTTCCTGTTAGAGCTTCTGCTCCTTAACTCAGACATGTAGTCCCATCGAGGGTCCATCATGGCCCCTCCTTGTGACCTCATGGTGGTGGTGGGCAGAGCTCTGTAGAACCTTCTCCCGTTAGCTCAGCTCGAGCAGTAACAGCTCTCAAATGGTGCTTCAGCTACGAGCTGGTAAAAGAGGAAGAAGCCGGCGCTCCCGACGGCGGCACCGGCGTCAGCTCCGCCTGTACATAAACACGAGCAGGTCGGAAACGTTTTACTAACCAAACACATAACTAGTCTCTTTGTGGTGATGAGGGTTACACGTTTAGCTGTATTTACTCAAGACGGTGGTTTTTATAAGAACTTTATCATCAGTATTGTGTTTTTTTTACTGTTGTGCCAATTGAAACACTCGAGCGTCTACGCACCGTTACGACCAAAGTCTATCAGCGTTGTGGTTCAAAAGGAAGTGAGGGAAACGGTTCTCTGAAGCGTCCCGGTGTGTTCTACATCCGGTTTCTTTACCTGCTGGGAGACAAAATTTAGCTTTTCTGTTTAAATTGTTTTCATGTTGAGTTCTCCAGTGATTTGATGTTGTGATTGTCTTTACTCAGGCACTTTAAGTGATTGACACCTGTCATTACACACGGCTAATGCGTGATCAGGCACTAGTTCAATATGTTTTTGCACAAGTTCCTACTCCTGACCCCCCTCCACTAACCCAGCCAACACATTCTCCTCTCCCTCACGTGTCGTCTGAGAGGATTGTGGTTTTAAACAAAAAGGCACATATTGTAACGCTCAGCACCGCATGTGCAGGTGGAAAAACCTCAATGGGTGAGTTTACCTTGGAAACCACATTTCCTCAAAAATCAGTCAGTCAGCAAACCAGCCGACAACTCGCAGAACGCCGACCACAGTCGGGTTTTTGTTCTGCAGCAAAAATCTGGACTCAGTCCTGCTTTCTTCACATTTTCTTCCACTTATTCAGACTTTCTTGTGATTTTTTTAACTTAACTGGCAGGTCAGTATTCCAGTACAGAACATTTGAATAAAAAAAATGCAAAGAGAAAAATAATCTTATTCCTGGATGATATTCTGGTTTGAAAACAATCTAAAACACTTCCTGCCATTTTTCTGTTTTCAGTGAGAAGAAAATGTTTGTTATGTTGCAACACTGGTTCATCTTTTGAGTTCAGAAGCATTTTGGTGCCTGAATGACTCAAAGGTCAGAGTTTAAGTAGCTTAACAAACAAAATCATCAATCAGGCAAACTTTAACAGATGACCAGAAAGTCTGGCTGCTTGAAGGGGAAATGTAAAGAGCACCAAATCAGACCTTTACCTAATGGAAAGTCATCCAATCCAGACCAAATCTCTGCTTTTCATTTTTCCTCTCATGTCTGTTTATATCTAATTTTATTGTTCTACCAGGAGTATCTGATGTAGCTTTATCTTCTTTAATGAAAACGTGTCTTGACGGCTGTTTAACGCACACATGACCAGCCATTGTGTCCTTAAACCTTAAATAATTCAGATACATGTAACTTTTACTGTTTTAAATGAAACCTTGGAATCTAATTCAGGAATTTCACTCATAGCCATTAAACACATTTAGACTGACTATTGTAGGATAAGGAAATATATTAAAAGGTGTGTTATTGTTTGCCTTGAAACTTTTTGAAGTGGTTTTATATTTCTTATTGAGTATTTTTGTGGAAATTTGTTCATGAAGCTCATCTGCTATAATCTGACGAACGTTTCTTTACATTTATACATGTTTAAATATAAATATATATATATATATATATATATATATACATACAGTATTGTAGTTTGATAAGTAAAGCTTGCAATCGTGAAGAAAACCTATTTGCTTTTGTGTAAAAAAACAAATCACACTCCAGGAGAAAGGACGTGGTACTGCATGTTAAGTCTGGAATAAAGAATTTGCAACAAGGCATCATCGATGTGGTGTGTGTGTGTGTGTACTGCCCTGTGAGGTCACATACCACAGCAGCTCATGACCCCCCCCCCGACTCTTTTCTTTAGGCATTCAGAGCCCGAATTACAGCCAGGTCTAGACCTGCAGACAAATGTGACCTGGATCTGTTTGCTACATTTATTCATTTGTGTTTATTCCTACATGAAAACATTCAGGATCCAGCTGCTCCTTCAGCAGCCGCTGGTCTTCTTTTGGGACCTCACCGATCCCTTGCATGGTTCTGGTGGAGTTCTGGTCCACTTTTCACAGTGCAATCAGCTCTCTTCAGGTCCCAGTCTGGTTCTAGTCTGGATTCTTGATCCTGTAAATCTGCTGCCAGACTTGGATCATGGTTCTGTCTCGTGACCCGGTTCGGTCCAAGCTTTAGACAGATGGACTCTCAGACATTCCTGCCCACCAGCCCTCCACCCTCATGCTGACAGCTGGGTTCAGCTCATTGTGCTGCAGTGCATTATGGGTAACCAGCTCCATTTCAGTTCCATTGTCCCAGAAGCTCCGTGGTTCAGATGAAACTACCAACCCGATATGGCCTTTAAAGCGCAAGTCACCCCAAATCAACATTTTTCTGCTGATAAACTATACAAACGAGTGTCTGATGGTGCTGTAGACAGATGTAGTCAATAATTCAGCACTTTAGTGAATCTTAAGTCAAATTTAAATATTCTGCCTAAAACTGTCAGTGTTGCATCCTCTTCAGCTAAAAACTCTGCACTGCATTTGAATTTAAATTTGCCATCGCTGTTGGCTAAGAGGTACACTATGATGTTAGCTGGTACATTATGATGTCACAATGTCGTGTGTGTATTTGTTAGCGGCTCCACCCTCTCGTTCTGCTAGGCAACAGCATTTGTTGCATTTTTCAAACAGGAAGTGGGAGTTGAGCAAGAATTTGGTAGGGGGTGACTTGCTCTTTAACCTTTCACTGAGACCTTTGGCGAGTTAGATGACGTTTTCCTTGAGCGCTGACCCCTGACCTTTAAGTAAGCCTGCTGGGATGCCCACTCCTTCAGAAGTCATAAGCAGTGTAAAATGTTTTCACTTGTAAATATGTTTCCCTCTAGACTCCAAATGACCTTTGACCTTCTTAACTCATTCACTGCCAGCGTTTCTCGCCGTTTTTACTGTTTTTTTAAGAGTCACAGAACGTTGAGCGCTAGGATGATGTCAACACCAAAACAACCAAAACAAAGCAGAGACGTACCTCTTACATCAGGAAGAATCCGCGTGTTTCAAGCGTTATCCGTTCTTTCATAATCTGTTGTCGAATTGTGATCGGTAGACGCTTTTCCGGTTTGCGCCTCGGGGGGGGGGAGGGGGTGGGGGGGGGGGCGGGGGGGGGCACTGTTGCTTTGCAGCAAATAGGTTTCAGGTTCAAAACCCATCTTCTGTCTTTCTGCATGGAGTTAGCATGTTCTCCTTATTGATGCATGGGATTTCTCCAGTTTCCTCCACAGATCAAATACTAATTCACTGCTTTTCTATATTTATAGTTAATAGGAATAATTAAACATTTAACTATAATTTTTGACAATTTTTATGACTTTGACCTTAAATAGCTTTTGACACAACCCATTTCACACCAGACCTGCAGAAACCAGTGTCATAATTTCTGCCACATGTGACCCCAAAAACCAACTACGAGTGCTTGATTCAGGACCTTCTTCATGCTTGCTGTGCAAACCATGATGGAAACCATCCTGCTGACTACAGCGAAAGTAGAACGTCTACAGGCAGAGCTGAGACTAGAGACAAGTTAACACAGGAGAAATCATCATACTTTTTTTACAGCAAGCAACACATAATTATTTTATGATAAAATTGATCATTTAAAGCAGGATTATAATCCTCAGAAGTCAATAAAAGAGGACATGCACGGGCGACCCCGTCTGAAACCAAAGAGGAAAACTTAAAGCACCCAGTCGAGATGGGAAGTGAAATATGCTGACATGGAAAGCTGCCGTTCCTGGGAACTAAAAAGGGATTTTATGAAATAAGCTTATTATGAAATTCAGAATTCTGCTGGTGTGAAATGCTTTTTTACTGAAAAGAAGAATAACCTAAAACAAAAACCAGGAACTAAACATGCAGCCTCTAATACCACAAAGTTAGAAAGTTCAACAGGATCTTTAATGCTTGGAGTTCTGAACCACGCAATGCTGAAATGTAACCCGACTCGACTGTGGAATAAACCAAAAGCTGATGCCTTTTTTATTAAATCTTCGTAATAAAACAACTAAAATGCACACATAGTGACGTTTTAAACCTAAAAAAGAAGTGTCTTAATTCTCCAAATCTCAGTCCAACCGAGAACGTCCTGGACCTCCTGCAGCTTCTCAGGGGAGATCCCCACACCAGAGATGGTGCAGAACCTCTCCAGCAGGCTCAGAGGTCTTCTTCTGGCCACATCCCAAAACTAAAACCCATTTCAGCGCAGCTGATTTATTATTACCTGCAGGAATTAACTCAACTAGCCTAAAAATTATGAGGAAATAAAGGATTTGATTTTATAAGCAGGATGAAAGACTGAGGCAGGAAAACTTGAAAATGTATTTAAAAATAAATCTGCAAACAAAGGTGAAACAGATTAAAGTCTCAGAAGCAGGCAGAATGGACCTCAGCTCAGTCCACACGTCTAACATCAGAAACAAACAACGTTTAGCAGGTTCGCTCCTAACTAAACGTTTGTTTCATCGGTTTAGATAATAAAACAGAAAGAGTCTTGTTGTGTTCAGGAATCCAGAAGTCCCGTGATCCAGCTGAGGTCCTGTTTTCTCACCCTCCTCAGTTCCCTAACTTGGGTCTTTGTTAGGGTGGGGGCAGTGCTCTCCCCCCCCTGAACTCCCTTTGCCTCCTGCTCTGGTCTTGAGATCTTGGTTTCCACTTCTTCATCTGAGTCCTCTTCCTCTTTTTCGCTCTCCATTTCCTCATCGACGTGTTTGTTTTCCTCCCTGAACCCATGAGAGCACACATCGGAGAAAAAAAAAAGGTTTGCATGACTCAGCATGTTCTTAGTTGACATGACTCAGCATGTTCTTAGTTGACATGACTCTGCATGTTTAGAGATAAACAACGTGGCTGGCCTCTTCTCGTGTGTTTCAGCTGAATCACACGAAGCTCTGGTTTCCGCAGTCTTTAATCCGGTCACGCTGACGGCGTTAAACCTGCGGCTCGTGACGTTCAAACAAAAACCAGAGTGGCTGCATTAGCTGCTACGAGGAAAACGTCTTTTTCCTGATTGTTTGTTCTTGTTTTACTATAAACAGACATTTTTCTTCGTATTTTCCTCCTAAGCGTCCAGACGTGGTTTAAATAGTTTTATTCTGTGAATGTTAGCAGCCTTCATCCCTTTTATTTATTCAGAGCCCAGAGTTGGTGTTTCCACCACAACGAGGCAAGTTTCTGTGTAAAAGTTCCCATCTCACCTACTACAGACATCAATCAGGGGTGATGAGCTAACGGCTAGTTAGGGTTGGGCATCGAGCATCGACTGGAACCAGTTCTGTTAGTTTTTCCCGGAATCGTTCAAAGTTTTTTTTCCGATTCCTAGAATGCCGATGGAAGAGGAAACCGCGGCTGATCTCCGCAAAAAATTAAAGTGATCTGCAAAGTGTGATCAATGCTTTTCAGAGCTGATCACACCAGCTGTCTGTGTGCAGCAGTCCCCCCCCCCCCCCCCCCCCCCCCCCCCCCGGCACACAGCGGCCGAGAATAAACAAACGCGTCTGCCGAACTTTTACCCCGTAATGTAAACTAGTTTCTGCAGCGCAGAGGAAACGTGTTAAATACGTCAACACGGAGGATTTAATAGAAGCTTTAAAGAACAAACTCTGAATGGTGTGAGGTGAGTTTGTCTCACTGCAGAAATAAAAACACACACGGAGCATCAGCAGTCAGACGCAGCAGCTCACCAACACTCGTGTGTGTGTGTGTGAACGTCAGAAGGCTGAACAATAACCTGTAGAATAATTAAAGTCATCATGCTAGAGCAGCTTCTCTGTGGTGGACCACACCAGCTTCTGCCACAATAAATAATAATAATAATAATAATAAATCACACACAAAGTTGTGAACATTTTAATTTCCTTTCTGAACTATTTCTGTTGAAAGTTTTAATGTTTAAACCTGTTAGCTTGTTACTGACAGCAGCTACGTTTAAGTTCCATTTCCTGTTGTGACTGAAGCTGCTGCAGCATGGAGGTGTAGTTCTCAGTCATCCTGGACATGATCATCCTGAGAGTTGTAGCTGAAAACAGCTGGACGTGTCTGGATATGTTGGAGACATTTAGCCTCTCATCCCAGAGGCTGCTTCCAGACTCTGGTTGTGGTCAGAAACAAACACACTGGTTGTGCTGCAAGTCTTTTTCTTTTTTAATCCAAAACATGTTTTAGTCTAAATGAAGGTGATGTTGTTGTTCATAGTTAAAATTCATGTTGAAGTTAAGATTATTTCATCAAGTAGGACCTGTGGTTAGCTGGCTCGTGTAAAACATGTCATGTCTTCAAAGAATCGGAACCGAAACGAGGAATTGGAATCTGAATCGGAATTGTTCAAAATCAAACGATGCCCAACCCTACGGCTAGTCATAGCTTAACAGCAACAGCACTGAGAACAGCTGTAAGCCCATCACCACTACAGGAAGTAAGCTATTTCTCTGAACAGAGGCTGTTCATGAAGCTATCTTTAATGGGTAAAATTTGAATTCTTTATAACTTTTACACCAAAAAACACCTGAAAATGTCAAAGATAGAGCTCCTCTGTAAAGAGAATGGCTGATCTGGACCACTGAAACGCTAGAAGACAGGAAGCAGTGGTGGCTAGATGAAGACTCGCAGTAGGGATCAGGTTACTGACCTGGTTTCTGTGACGGAGATCAGCAGAGATTTGGCAAACATGGAGCAGAGGAAGGAGGTAGCAGGAAGGACGTGGGCTGGGGTCTGCAGGAGCTACAATGTGGATAAAGTACATCAAACCAGTGTTGTGTACTTTTACTGATTCGCTGTTGGTTGAAGCACAAACCTCTTTGATGGCTACAGAGCTCTGAGGAAGAGGAGTTCTCTCAGCAGACTCCTCATTCCCTAAGTGTTCGTGTCGATGTTTCCCCAGCAACAGGTAGAAAGGTGTCATGGCAACAGTGTCATCTATTACAAGCTTAGAAAGGAACAAAAAACCATCTGGGTCAATAAAACAAGAAATATCTCACAGTAAGAACAACATAGAAACAGACTATAAATAAGTCCTTCTTGTGTTAAATGAGAAAAAAGACGTTTAGAGAAGTTGAAGTGATTTTCTGAGCCTTCTGTAACTTACCGGCGAGGCGTCCCTCGCCTCTGGAACGGGCTGCCGGAGGATCTCAGCATCGCAGAGAACGCTCATGTGTTTAAGATCAGGTTCAAGACCCACCTCTTTAGTTTAGCTCTTAACTCAGGGGTCCTCAATTATAACGGTCCGAGGGCCACTCACAAACAAGGCCCAGAAGCAAGAGGGCCGGACGGGGGCGGGGGGGTTCTGTTTGGATGCTGGCTGTAATGCACATAACACATAAGCTTGCAATATAAAGCTGGACAACACCTGTCCCCCTCCAGCTCGGCTGTGGGACCCTCATGTCCATGCTGTCTCTGGAGGAGCAGATAGGAGACAAGATCTCCTGTAGCTTAAGATGAACCAAAGCTTCCTCCCAGTTCCTCTTTCAGCTGAATTTAACATCAGTTTATCATCATGAAACAAAAGAATCAAGTGGAACAAGAACTTCTATCTTCTATTTCTCTCTCCTTTTAACTTCTCCGTGTCCCTAAATAAGAGACAGATTAAACAGTTTCCCTTCATGTAGGCTAGGAACATTTCACCTGCCGTGGCCCGACCGCTTCTGCTCCACATAAACTTTGTGCGTGATCAAATGTCTCTACAGGTGCTTTCTGAGCTGAAGAGACTATTCTGCCTCAGACTGGATGCATCATGCGTCTCCATATTAGAGACGGGAACAAGCGCTGTTCAGCCAAAGTTTAATAATCAGAACATTTATCCAAGTGACACATCCTTCAGAGAGACCGGCTTTCCAGACCGCTTCAGTGGGAGGAAATCTTACCGCACCGCCGTGGTTCTGCGCTGCAAACCCCTCTACAGATCTTCAGCCCACTGTCCACCGTGTGCGCTCTGAGCTGCGCTGAACACAGTGTCCAGTATAAAGCTCTGATGTTCTGATGGGAATCAAGTTACCTCCGCGATGTGTGTAACGATTAAAATGTCAGCTCATCTGTGTGTGCATCAGTGTGCGTCGGGGTAATTCTTTCAAAAACAACCAACATCCTTGAGTTTATCCGTCAAAATAAACAGTCAAAAGGAAATATCTGAAACCTGCCATTTAACTGTTTTGCCTTCTTGTGAAGATTGTTGCAAAGAGAAACAATTAAACCTGATTAACCCCAGAGCCGTGCGCACTGCGCTGTACTCCTGACTGTAAATGAGGGGGAAACGATTTAATCGGATCCTTTTCTTTTCAACATGGTTTAATGTAAAGTTTCATTCAGTACAAACTTTAGTTACACCAATCTAACGAGACAGAGCCTGGATTTGTATTCTGAACAGTTTAAACATGTTTAAAACGGAGACATGCGTGACGCGTCTAAAATTCGCACCTGCACCGCTATTATGGAAATTAAACTAACAAGGTGAATAACATGAACTTATTTTAGGCACAGACAACATCTCCCACACTTTTGAAAATCTTGCGACGCACCTGCGTCCGTGGTAGCACAGAGATTGCCCCTTCATACCGCCATCGCCTAATCTTTTGTAGAAAGAACACGATCACCCCAGTCTGACTACAGCCTGACATACTTCTCCGCCAGCTCTCTGAGGGAGAGACGCACTGACAGAAACGTTTTGCTTTAGACATCTGCATCATCTGGGGATAGCTGCAGAACAATTCCCCACCAGGACAACAGAGGGCGTAGCGCTGTTCTGAGGTATCCTGCCACCATCACAGTCACGTATCTGGACCACGACAGTGTATTGACTATTGTGTTAACATCGTTTTAATGCAATGTATGTGACAGTGTGAGCGTCCAGTCACAGTGTCCCGACTGATCATGCACCCTGGCTACTTGCACAAGGGGATGTCCCTTTGGCTGACTGGTTAGCGCGCGTGACTCTCCCGGGAGTCTGGGGATGGAATCCTGCCCAGGTCCTCGTTTCTCCACCTCGCCACATTTAGAAACCTTTTAACACAAACGAATGTGTCCCTCATCCCTCTCCACCTATCACTGCGATCGCCACCTCTTAACTCACGTTTCTCGTCTCCTCTGCCCATGAGTAAAGCGCATGCTGCAGATGTTTGTACTCCTTCAGTCACGGGTGAATGAGGTTCATATTTTCAGACCTTTCCCATAATGCATTCTTCAGTCTGTTCCGTGTCTGCCGCTAAATATCTTTTTATTTTTTGAAGCGGCAAATGCGGTGCTGTCGATGAATTTACAGGAAGCACCCGACCAATCACAAGCTTGCGGTGTCTGAAGTTAAAAGTTGGGGCATGTCTCCATCAGCCTCTGTGAGCACGTCAGAGAGCTCTTGCGTTGACCAGCGGCGTCGACGCACAATGGCGTTGCGTGTCTCAGATGGAGAAGTATAAAAAAGCCTCAAGGCTCCCTGACGCCGCCAGTGTTGCGGCAGATTGATGGCATTGTTTTGTAAAAACGCCTTAAGTTACTGGTTTTGTTTGTTATGAATATTTTTGATTTGGTGTAGAAGTGAGAGTCACCTGTTTGCTGGAAGCCATCAGCTTTTCTTCTTCTGCCTTGGTGGAGAACGTCAGGAGGTCCTGCAGGTTTTTGATGGAAAACAAAACATTAAATGAAGCTGTAGGACCTTTCTATGAAGACGTGTTTAGTGTTCACGTGTGAGTGAAAACGTCAGGAACAACCTTTAGATTAAAATATTAAAAAATCTGATACCAGGAATCAACATTTTTGTCTGATTCCTTCACATTTGAGTGTTTTTTTGTTGCATCGTGTTTTAATCAAATTTTTTCCCAGGATGCTTTTCTGTTTACCATGAACTCTGTGAGGAAGTAGAGCTGAGAGCGGTTGAGCCACTGGCTGCTCTCTTCGCTGCTCTCCAGCATCACCTCCCTCGGCGTGAAGACGGCGTGAATCACCCTCCCTGAGCACACGGCCTTCTGGGAAAACAGCGGCCGAGGATCGCTGGGCTTGAACACAAACACTGGAAACACAAAAACACAATGGCATCGTTTTTATGAACATGTGAAGATGAATGGCAAACACAGTGGCACATGATTTGGGACTAAGTTGCTAATAAGACAATTTGCCCTAGAAAACATAATTTATACTCAGTATTTGAGGATTCCCACACAGTTTCACATCTTCTGCTAGCTGCTAACAGCCACACCTGAGATACCAGCTGTTGTTGCACATCTATTTTGTATGTGATCAAAAATCCTGAAGCAAATGAGAGCTATCGCAAATGATTTGAGACATATTTGAAATTCTCTAAAACGTTTTTGCACCAGTAAGGTACTCAGGGTCACATGTTGAGCAGCTAATAAACATGAGCATTATTATTAACATGTTAAATAACCCGCCTCTACTGCTGGCATCAAGTCCAAACTCACAGTCTGTGGATCCGTCCTGACAGCAGAACGCAGCCATGTTCTCAGAGCGTGAATCAACCAGAAGCAGGCTGACATCCATGGAGGTGCTCCACTCCACTGAAACACCGAAAACAGCAGCTGATTTAATAACTAATTATATATCACAGCGAATCAGAAATAAACTAAAGAGCTGAAATCAGCACCGCGATCATCCCGCGTGTTCATCTGGTCAGATTTAAATCGGTGTGTTTGTTTACAAAGACTCCAGTCTAGTTAGATGTTAGAGCATGAGTGTTTCAGCTGAGGCTGTTCAGAAATGATTTATACCAGAAACACCCAGAAACAGGCAAAAACACCAGTAACGCGGTAGGATAATGAAGCTGGAACGTTCATACAGGAGCAGGTCAGGAGGTTCCAGCAGCAGACCATCTTCTTGTTGTTGCTTCCCAGCAGATATTTGGAACAGCTCAGCTGACCAAAACACAGATTCCTGATGACGGGAATAAAAGAAACGAGTCACTTTTCTGCAGGCTGCAACGTAAACTTCAACCACTCAGATCCTCACACCAAACGTATCTCAGGAGATTAACTTTTAATCTCCATGAGAAAAACGGAAAATTCACAGAGTCAAAAAGACAGAAAACTAAATTCTGGAGGAGAAATAAAAAATTATCCAGCTTTTAAAAGACGTCTCCTACAGGGTCTGGGGTTAAAAAGCTGTAACCAAACATTAATTAATCAGTGAAAAATACAGTGTGAAGTGGAGGAAACACGGAGCGGCTCGAGTTCACCGCCCTCCTCATCTATAGGCAGCGGTTATATAAAAGAGGCACCGCACAGCTGTAAAAACAGCTGATTACCGTCCTCCAGTTATTCTAATTCAGAACCAGAACTTACACAGAAAGTCTTTTCATCTGCCTCTCTGGGTGTTCTGAGGAAACTCGTCTGTTATTACTTGCATCAGAGGAAACTTTGACACATTTAAAAATAACCCAAATGCTCATTAAACAGAAAATCCGACGGTTTTGATATTTTAGATTTGAAATGATCTCCGTGTGTTTATAAATGAGTTTCAGGGATTTTCAAGTTTCAGTGGAGAAACTAGCAGGGACAGCAGCATGTCCTCGGTGACCCGAGAGCTTCTTCTGAGCAGAGCAACAGCTGCCAACATTTGTCCAGCGACGTTGCGAAACTTCAGCGTGTCTTTTTGTTCTGCTGGCTGACAGGAAGACCCGCTCAGTTCAGTTCAAACGTTATTAATCCATCAGGAGCTTTCACAGGAAAACAACACTGGTGCCAGAGTCTGGAGGATTTTAATGACCACACTAAACAAAGTGTGTGTGTGTGTGTGTGTGTGTGTGTGTGTGTGTGTGTGTGTGTGTGTGTGTGTGTGTGTGTGTGCGTGTGTGTGTGCGTGTAACTGTAAAGAACTGTCTATGCTGCAGCAGATGGAGCATCAGTCCACAGATACAGAAAACAAAAGTTCCCACGCTGTGTGTGATTCTGCAGTTAGAAGGTGTGACCTTTGACCTTTTTTTTCATAACCTCAAACTGATTGAAAGTAAAAACTCAAACTGTTCAACCAGAGAACAAATGGATGTCTCAGAACTGGAAACAAAAAGAGGAGAGCTTAATCTGAGTACATTTATTTGACATAACTTCTCTAGTACTACTAAGCTTTACTTACGTATCGCCTTCACACGGCCCAAGGACCAAACAACAGGAATGAACATAAAAAATTAAAAACAAATAAAACCATTTAAAAACCAACAAAAACATGTAGATAAAACTTAGGTGGGGGAGCAAAAAGTGCAAAGCCACCTGTTAACGAGACTCCTCTTGAGTAAAAGAATAAAAGTGTGTTTTCAGCTGGCTCTTAAACTTGCTGAGCGTGGTGGTCTGTTTGACCCAAGCAGGTAGCTCATTCCAGAGCCTCGGCCCCAGCACCGAGAAAGCACGACCCCCCCCCGAGATTCCAGTCTGTGTTTGGGAACGACCAGCAGTCCTGCTGTGCTGACCGAAGGTTCCTTGCAGGAACATAAGGATGGATCAGATCCGATAGATAACGTGGAGCCAACTCATTTAAAAACAAACACCAGAACTTTAAACGAAATTCTAAAGGAGACTGGAAGCCAGTGTAGGGATGCCAAGACGGGCTGATGTGTTCAGATCTCCTGGTACCAGTCAGTAACCTGGCTGCCGCGTTTGGGACCTTCTGTAGTTTCGCTATGGAGGCCTGCTTGATGCCTGCATGAAGCGAGTTACAGTAGTCCAGTCTGGTGGTAATGAAGGCGTGGATGAGCGTCTCCAGATGTCTGAGTGAAAGGAGAGGCTTAATCCTAGCTATTCTCCTGAGACCTGGCTGTCCAGTCTGAGCTCTACATCCAACTTCACCCCCAGGTTGGTGACCAGCCTTCTCAAAAGGTGCTCATGAAGGAGAGTCAGTCCCTTGGGCTCATCCATGTGTGTTTCTGAGCCGAACAGTATAGTCTCAGTTTTATTCTGGTTGAAGAACAGAAAATTCTGAGCCATCCATCACTTGACCTCCTCCAAGCAGTCCAAGAGTGGTTTAAAAGAACTTGAGTTATACTGGTAGATATCAATAATCCAGTTTAAAATCTGAAGCCTCCTTCCCCGAGTGGGCAAATTTATCTTTTTTTAAAGCAAGAATATAAATGATGAATAAAGAAAAAAAAAAACTAATGAAACACAACCTTCCTCCTCATTGAGGCCAGTAAACTAAAGGAGACATGAATTGTGTTTTTGATGCAGATCTTTGTGCTCTCTGACCTGACGTCTCCTGGTGGCTGAGACAGAGTCGTCAGGAGCTCCCAGGACGTGGGGTTCCACACGGTCACCACCTCCTGAAAGCCGACGGCCAACAGTGAGCCGTCAGCTGAGAAACAGCAGCACCTGGGCACCAGGCCGTGATAGGCTCCGACAAAATCACATGACCAGGAAGGCCCTTCATCTGCATTCAAAGAAAAACAAAAGCAGAAATTCAGATTAAAAACCAGTCTGATGAGGTTTCTTTGTTCCAGACTTATCCAGACCTGGAAAAGCTTTAAGATACATTCCTGCGTACCGTCTGTGTGGGCCGGCAACCCCAGCTGCCAAGCTTTAAAGTGCCCGTCTCTGCTGGCGGAGACCAGCGTGGTGGTCTGGCTGTCGGCTGCCTGGCTGAAGCACATGGCTGTAATCCGTGCCTCGTGGGGGGCCGAGACGGTTGTGTTCAGCACAAAACTGCAGGTCAAGGGTGTGGATGGAGATCCAGACCATCAGAACAAGAAGGTAAAACAGTCCAGCAGACTGAGGGAGAAGAGCCATACCTCTGAGTTTGTTCATCAAACGACCACAGCTTAAGGTTAAGCTCCAGCTCAGCAGATTTCTGCTTCCTTTCCTCCACTGTGGCCAACCAGAGACCAGAGGCATCGAACGCTGCTCTGACCACCTCGAACTGCTCCAGACCCGCCTCGTGGATGTACTCCTGCTGCACAATGTCCAGCTGCAGAGAACAGAGCCGGATGAACCTGCATTTCTGCAGCTTTGCACTCAACTATGTTGTGTGTGTGTGTGTGTGTGTGTGGGGGGGGGGGGGGGGGGGACAAGTGTATACATGCATGTGTGTATATATGTATATAACTTTATTCTTCTTTCTGTGTAACTTTTTTTCTCTTCATGGGTGGAGGTTGTGTCGGCCGACCAGTCCAGAAACTGGATTGTTCAAATGGATTAAGAACCATCCTGTTGTTTCATTTGTATTAATGCTGTTTTAGTTAAAAGGGGCAGATAACATACGTTTTTCTTCCTTCTGTCCCCTTTTCATTTTGGGTTTTAGTCATTTAGTTTTGTATTTAGAGTTTAATGTCAATAAATGAAAATAAAAGAAGAGGAAACTAAAGAACTAATCTTCTACAGAAAGAGAAAAACAATCCTACGTGGAACAGGAGTTTGTCCCTCTGTAGAGAGTAAAACTGGAGGTGTCCCGGTCTTCCATTCAGAACCAAAGCTTTGCTGCGTGGATCCACCAACAAGCCTGTTGTGACATTTTCCCCTACAGAAATAAATAAATACATAAATAAATAAATACAGTCTGACCTGCTTGAATCATCTCTGGATTATCCAATAACATGAAATATTTGGATCCATCCTTTATTTCTTTAGATGTTTCTTCCAGGTTGTTGGCGGCTCTAGGCCGGCTCTTTAAGCTTTTCTATCAGTTTCACTTTCCAAAAAATTAAAATGACTGTTTTTAAAATGTTTAATGGCGACTTTTACATTTTGAAACCTCCACATCATCAGAACGCTGTCTGTTTTCCCAGGAGCTTAAAGGTCATTTATGGGATGTAGTTTAAGTTTAGGAGGTGTTCCTGTAGGTGTTTGTTTAACTTACCTTTGACCAAACCCTGAATAACAGCTGATACTTTCACACAGCTCTGGATGATCGTAATCTCTGAACAAGGAACATAAACAGGTTAAATAATGTGGGACACTTATAAAGAAACAAGTCCTGACGTGGGGAAACCTGGATCCTTACTGTTGTCGCTGTGCGACGTACAAAAGAGCGCTCCGTCTGGTGACACGGTGACGTGTGTGATGGCGGCGCCCAGACGGGGCAGGAAGTCTTTCTGGTTCTCCTGGTTGTATCTCCACTGGACCAGCACCGACTCGACCCCTCCACTCAGCAGGTTGGTGCCTGATCAAACGACCCCGGGGAGGGTTAGGGTCAACCAGGCAACTAGATCACATATCAGCTAAAACAACACATCAGCAGGTTAGCTTTACCTTCAGGAGTGAAGCAGAGTGAGCTCACGGCGCTGTGGTGCCAGTGCAGGGTGGAGTAGGTGTACTCCTTCTTTTGTTTAAAGTTTCTCCTAAAACCATTCACAATATTTTTAAGTGGTGTTTTTGTAGAGCTTTACTGCAATAAACACACTGAGAGATGATTTTAAACAGAAGTACAGAACTAGGCTGATAAATTAAGTGATTTTTAAAGTGTTGAAGTAAAAATGATAAAAAAAAATTCCTACTCAACATTTAATGAAAGTAGAAGTGGAGATTAGTGGTGAAACAACAAGAACAGAGACCAGATCCTCTAACCACTTCTGATTCTACTATGTAGAACACAGCAAGCAGCTTCTTTTACTCATTTTTTACCCAACTATAACAAAGTGGTGCACAGCAGCGCACACATAAAAAAAAAGAAGTTTCAGGTCTAAAAACTGCAACGAAATCCATCAGAAGACCTGAAAGGTGCTTCATCCTTCAGTGTGTGTGCTCTCGTTGACTGACCACAGTCTAATTTTGCCGTCATCGTGTCCTGTAGCAACACAGTCGTCTTTTGGGTGACAGGCGATACACGTAAACGTGTTCTTGCCCCCGTTCTTGGTGTACTCTCTGAGGGAAAAACTATAAATGCACAAAAAGACTGGTGTTAAAAAACATATTACACAAAACACGAGTTTATTACTACCAGCATTACCAGATGATGACCAAACATAAGAGGACGCAACTATCCTGCTTCCTAACAGATGCAGTGATGTAATCTAAAACATGCAGGTGTGCTTTATGAATCATAAATAAAAAAAACACAAAACAAGTTCTGAATCTCCAAATATAAACTAATGACTTCAACATCTTCACGAGATCTGAATTAAGAAGATAACTGAACTTTTGGCAATGAGGGGTCCACCCACTTTGTTTTCTAAAGATTCCCATGAAATACTGATCGACCATACCAGCTTGTTTATTTCTACACATGAATGTTCTGTAGTATTAGTAGGGCTGGGCGATATGGCAAAAATAGAATATCACGATTTTTCCAATATTTTATCACGATTTCGATTTTATCACGATTTTTTATCCATGAATAGCATAACTTCAATTGCGTATTAAAGAAGAGAAACATTGAATAAATAAACATTTATTTATATTAGGGATAATCAACACAGTGCTAACACACTTATATTTTAAACTCACACCAGAGATGATAAAAGCCCTGAGAGAAACAATTACAAAAATCAGTTTTTCCCGTTTTTCAAGTAACTTAACATGAATTAAAATCGTAAACATATTTAAATTGCAAACATGTCAATTGCAAACGTATTGTGCAAACATTAACTTGTTCAAAATACTATGTAGCTCCCAGTTGCTCATGTAGTGGATAGTTAAGCTCAAATACAGCTCTGATGTGCGGCTGGACCAGAGATCGCTTGTGGTAGCAAAAAACTGCGCATTCTGAATATTTTCTGCAACAAGTCTCTAAATAAAGTAAAATTTTCCAGTGCAGATTGGAGACAACCCATAGAAGCACTGATTTGATCTCATTTCAGAGAAAAATAGAACAGGTCAGATGCACCTAATAAATAAAATTACTAACAAACTCAGGAATCTTTCTTTGCTTCACTGTTCTGGTGCTGAAAATATCACTAATGCGGATCAAAGGAGATACACAGATGAATGCACCTCTTATTATTTGGAGACTACATTTACTGCAGCTGGCAGAGGCAGAGATTGTTTCTATTGATACACGGATTTACAGAATCATTTTAAATTGTAATAGGGGAAGACTGCAGGAGGGAGCGGTAAAATACAGGGGGTCCCAGCAAAAACAAGAAACTACGAGTCTGATGAAACCCGCTGGTTTTCCATCAGGCAGTCACGGGGCAGCTCCAGCAACCGAGCTCAGTCCGGTACCGACACCGGCTCGGCAGAGGGTGGACGAGCCGAGGCGACATCGTGCTCTGCTTAAGAAGCGGTGTTATTTTCCTGCTTCAGAAGAAGCGTCCAACGTGTTTTTACGCTTTCTCCGAGACATGTCACGTCGCTAAGTTGTTAGCGCCGCGCGCTAAGGAAACCCTGCGTTCCTCTTCGGAACGAAAACCTCGTTGTCGCTCAGCCGCGGCCGAAGCCATGTTTGTTCACACACGAAGTGAAAAAACAAGCGGGGCACTAATATATTACCATGACTCACTCTGATTGGTTAAGGGTCAAACAAAGGTCATTCGCCTGGGGTAAGTTCCATTTTCATTCAGAGGCAGAAGTTTATTGGGGGATGATTTAACCCTCCCACTGTCCTAATGGGTGTGACCCCGCGAGGAAAGTTGACCAATGAACAGGGTTGATGGTTTATCCCTTGGGTAGGGCTGCTCAATTAATCAAATTTTAATCCCAATTACAATCTGAGTTTTGAACGAATTAAAAACAAAACAAGCAGATTATTTGCCCCTCCCACTTGCGCTGCCCTGAGTTGCAAATGAAGCGCTCCTTCTAGGGTGTTGCCAACTTGGCGACTTTGACGCTATTTCTAGCAGCTTTTCAGACCCCCTTATTGACTTTTTAAATCTTAAAAGTACCTAGCGAACACCTCAGAAACATCTCTGGTAACCCTTAGCTACTTTCTAGATAACTGTCGTCGACATTTCCTGCAGGTTAGCTAAACACTCCGCCTGCGCTCCGGACCGTTCTTCAGGACATTAGGAAAGGGAATGACGTAGTGATGTGTCAGTCGCTAAAGAAACGGCTCTCAGAGCCGGCTCCCTGATGGATTAACGAGAATGAGTGACACACACACCGTACCTGCGGGCTCCTGAGCCGCTAAAATGGCTAAATGTGCGCGTGCGGCGTGCTAAACACATGTGCAGCTTGCCCCTGATTGCTGTGAGACCGGGTTGGGGGGTGGGGGGTGCAGCTGTGGTTGGGACAATTATTACATTAACTGATGGACTTGTAAATAAATAGTTTATAAATAAGGTAGAAATAAGTTCCTCACGCTGATAAATAATAATAATCTCTCTGAGGACACGGTGCTAGTGCACGCTCCTACAGCACATTGACATGACTCAATAAATGTTATGCAACATTTTGTGAACATCAATTTATTTGCATTTATTTGTTATAAATGCCACTGTATAATTCTTACTGTCAGTATTTGCAAGATATTGGTATTTGGGTCTGTACTGGTTAGACTTAAATGAGTTAAACCAAGGTCTACAGCCCTTGGGTCATAGACTATGAACTGTAAGTATATTGGTCTTTTTGTACTGGGAATCAGGAGTTATTTTAGTGATCATCTTGTTTTTTTGTTTATTTTTGTCCTGATTGTGCCCTGAGCAATTTTATGACTGAATAAAAACAAATAAAATCAACATAAATTGAAAACTCGTCTTAAATAATCGAGATCTCAATTTCAGTCACAATAATCGTGATTATTATTTTTGCCATAATCGAGCAGCCCTACCCTTGGGTCCATGTGGCAGGGGTGAGGAGTAAGCACCACCTCACCCCTGCCACATGGACGTCAAGGGATAAACCATCAATACTTCTCAATGGTCAATTTTCCTTGCGGGGGTCACCCATAAAGACAGTGAGAGGGTTAAAGCATTTCAAATTCTTGCCGTTTTGTTTTTAAAGAGAGAAACAAAAGGTTCAAACCTGTAGGATTTGTTCTTCTTGAAAAAGTAAATTTCCATCTTCAGATTGTTGACTGAAGCCAGATATTCTCCCTGCGACAATGAGAGCTGATTATTACACAAACGAAGACTGAAAAAACACATGGAAAGTCAAACGAAACTGTAATAAACGTCTTGTGTGGCTGGATCTGTGATCTGTTGCACTGGGTGACACCTCTGACACAGAAGGTGTTTTGGTGGCAGAGCGTACCCCTCGACCAAAGGCGATGGTTGATGGGTTGGAGCTGACATCGCTGAGGACAGCAGAGAGATCTCGGGCTTCCACTAGCTGATCTGGAGTCTGGGGCAGATTAACTGCAACCAACTGGAATAACTCTGCAAAAACAAAAACACACACCTGTTTTACCACAAGTGTCCTGAATGTACCTTTTCTTCTGGATAAATAAAGACCGCTGGTGGAGATCCCGAGACATCAACCAAACCCAGCGGCGGTAACTTACCAGTTCTTTTGTCACTCTGCACGGGGGTAACAATAAAGACGACCTCTTTGTGATTTAGAGAGGCGTAGATGGAGTAAACTGGGTATCCAACAACATAAGTCTGAAAGAGATCAAGCAACTTGATAACTCGTCACACAGATGTGAGCCAATTTCTCAGCATTACAGATTCCTCTGCTTGATTTATTTCCTCCAACCATAAAATCAAAACCAAAAATAAACTCTCTACACTCCAAATAGTTACTGTGAGCAAAAAGAGAAAATATTATGTTGCTCTAATGCTAAAAAACAGCAAGAAGCTCATTTTTTACCCTGACGAGAATGCCATCTGTGAAGTCCCAAAGTCTCACGGTGCCATCTGTTGAGCAGGAGTAGACCTGCAACACAAACAAGTAGATTGTGCTTCGCTCTTTTAATCACCTGTACTGAGAACCTTTGACAACGCGTAAGTTCAGCTGTCATGTTACCAGAGACAGAAGGTTTAAACTAATCATCAAATGAAACAAACATTTCTCTAGAATATCAACCTCAAAATGATTTAGTTTGATCATCTGAGCTGAGAATGGAACAAATGCAGAAATTATCAAAAAAATCTTTCTATACGTTATTTTAAAAACTGTGCAAACCTATGGTTGATGGCTACTGATAAAAGCTCAGAGACATTATTACAGATAAAGATTTAGTTTCAAAGAAAGAGTGGAACATTTCAAATACTGACTTTTGACCTTGTAGCTACAAACAGTTGCATCAAATTTCACTATTTGTGTTAGTGCAACAATGCGCTTCAGTTTTTTTCTGTTTTCCAAGCAACATGTAAACAATTAAGACATTTCAATTTATGATAAAGCTGCTGTATGCTGACAAAACTTTCAGTAACGTGACACATAAACAGGAGCGACGTTACACGACTTCTCCTAATTGTAACCTGCAGACCAGAGGATTAAGGGTACCTGCAGATGATTGGAGGGTCTCAGAAGCACACCTGTCACCTGGCCGGTGTGTCCTCGCAGCTCATGGACACACTCCTCCGTGACGCTGCTGAACACCTTCACAGACTCACCAGAAGCGCACAGCAGAAACCTAAAGCCACAAACACAACCTTTAGTTTACACAAATAAAACATATAGTTTGGACGTGAAACAAACCAAGTTACAACAATAGTAATATAATTAACGACAAATATTAGCCTAAGTATGATAACGTTTAGCCCAAAATGCTAACAGTACCGTTATAAAGAGGCTAACACTAATAATCTCATCGCTTGCACTTAATTTTATTCTTTGCCGGACTGAAAACAAACCAACCTGGAATCGTTGCTTATAACCGGCTTCCTGAAATTAATTTTACTCCCTCCGCGGTAAACCACGCGGATATCCCCGTATTCCACCATGTTTTTACCGGAGTCACTTTTTCATTTTCCTGTTATTACTACGTCACTTCCGTGAAAAGGGTTTTGGCTGTACCGCCACCTGGTGGTGGTACTTCAAAACCCATCAACTACCCCTGACTGCATCCCGGAGATCGGGGCGGGGCTAAATGTGGGCGGGGTCAAACGTTTAGAGGTGGGCGGAGACAACTATTTGACTCCTGCGTCCTGCCCCACTCTCAATGGAACCAGGAAACCGCTATGCTATGTGTGTGTGCAATGCTGTGACAGGTGTCGGGACAGAGGGAAGTAGCTGCCAAAATGGAGGTAAGCTAGGATTTTTCTTTCACTGTTTTAACAATATCGAGGACCAATGTTGGGCGAACGTTTTATAAACTTGGAAATTAAAGTTTTTTTTCCCATTATGAGTTTTAGATGATACATATAGCCTATTTTACACATGCGGGGCGACTTACTTTTGAGGAGAAATGTTTACAGGGTTCCCACGGAGTCTTAAAAGCATTGAATTTATGAATTTGAAAGTAATACCTTTAAAAGACTGGAGAAACCCTTCAATTTTGGCATCTGGGTCTTAAAATTTGTGTTGGATGTAAGTTTTCTGTACTGCATTTTTCTTCTGAAGTTCATCAAAATATTCCAAACAAGTGATGACACCAAGAGAAGCACTATTTTTAGACATTTATTTCAATTTTGTGTCTTTACAGTTTGCACTGTTGCTTTTATACAATAGAAATACTGCAAGAAATTAGGGTAATAAAATTAGCAATAATAAAAAAAATGTCTTAAAATCAAACTAAAATATAGGCAACAAACATTATTAAGGTTCTAATGTCAAACCAGATCGGTTATATTTTTAACCATTTGTTTAAAAATATAACCGATCTTCTACCAAGTGCCCACCCAGTGTTTTGTCAAAATATATTGGTAAAGTTGTATAGATAAATAAATGAAATTAGTTCAATAATTTTATTTTATTTATTTACTTTTTTGCTGATAGTGCCGTGAAATAGGTATTAATTTTCCATATGGCTTTAGAAAGATCTTAAACAGACTTAAATTTAAGTTGAAGAAACCTGTAGGAACACTTTTATAGCTTTGGGGAGATATGTTGTGTAGTCATGATTACTTTTTGGTGGAAAATATATTTTACGGGGGGAAATATGTTAGTTTTTTAAGCTTTTTATGTTCGTATCTGAGTTCTACACCTTATGGGCTTTATTATTATGGTTAGAGTGCTAATCTGATATGTGTAATTATATAAACGTTTTGCTCAGTCAAGTGTCAACAGAATAACATGAATGTTTTCATAGTGAATGAATGTTGTCATTGTATCACCAAGGTCTGAGGAAGACAGAGTGCAGGCACGAAAAAGACGGAGAGAGGAAAGAGTAAAACAGGTGAGAGACAATTTGATTATTTCTTGTAGTTTAACTGTTGCTTGCAGACTGAAGCATAATTTCTTCACTTATTTCAGGGCCTGGAAGTGGTCCCTCCTAAGAAGTCCTGCCATACTGAATTAGTCTGTGCAGCATCAGGTATTGTTCAAACAAGTATTATTGTACACAACCCCCTAGGTTGTCGAAATGGGATGTGGGAATATTCAAGATTCAACCTTTTGTCATATGCACAGCTAGAAAAACACGCTTTCTGCACAATGAAATTGTTACTTTGCCAAGATTAGAAAATTAAGACCGTTCCAGACAGATCACTTTTTTTTTCAAAGCAAGTTTTTCAGTCATTTCTCTCTTTTCATTAAACCAGAATACTAAGCAACTGATCTTTTTTACAACTTGCATCGTTAATAGCTTTTTATGAACCACAATCTTTTTCCTTTCTAGCAGAGGCTGAGAACTTGCTGGAACTGTACTTTTCTTGTGTCATTGTTTCTTCTCCAACCTCTATTTTAATTAGAGGTGTCAAATAATTCCATTACTTGCATTTAATTTTTTACAGCCATGATTAACGTGTTATATATTTTAATTATGTTTATCATTTTTAATCTACTGCTTCTTTATGGGACTTTTAAATAAACCAATTTCTTTTCTTGTTCTTGAAGGGTTGATGTAAACTCATAAGTTGAAGGGTTGACGTTACAGTGACAAGACCGGTGAGAGATTAGCTGCAGCAGTGTTTATTTCAGCGACCTTGTTATCTTTACTCTGTTTTTTTCACCCTTCTTGCAACTTTTTCCAAAGTTATTGTTACCATTTGGATGTAATGGGTGTGTCGCTGAGTATCAAGGCTGCTGACAGCTTCTCTCCTGTATCAGACGCACCTCCGTGCTGCAGTTTGGAAAGACCACAGCATCAGCTGTTTGGCTAGCTGTTAGCATTGAAAATAAGGCTTATATTATGTACAGTTATTAGATTAAATTGAAAGATTAGATTACTTTCAGATCATACATAATTAATGTAAAATATGTTTTTAATCTCTTGACAGCAGTAATTTTAATATTGTCTTTATTTTTGATTAGGAGAATTCTCTGCTTGAGGACACCTTTGAGGCAGCAAGGTGGTGTACCACAAGGTCCTTCAAAGGAAGCCTTTCCCTTCCCCAGGTCATCACCATGGACAGGGAAGCTTGCCGGAGGGCAGTGGAGAGGTTATGCTTCTGTGATGGCCTAGATGAAGAGGAGATGAACGATTGCAGGGAACCGTTCCTGTTCATGTTTAGTTTTCAGTCAGACTATGAGGAGTTCTGCAGAGAAATTGAGGAAAAAAGGAAGATGAAGGTGTTTTCTGGTTTTGAAATGCCATAGTACAGCGGTGTCACAGTTTTTGCAATTCTTTTTCCTCCTCACATTGTTTTTTTGGAGGTTCTCTTGTTTTTTGTGTGCTTTTTGGTTCATTTGTTTGTACTTTTTTTTTATTCCTGTGTTGGCTGTTGTTTGCTCTATTAAATTTACCTTTTTTGAAAAATTTAGTCTGCATTCTTGGGTGTCTCATACAATGTCTCACCACCCCGCCTCAAACCCTGGCATGTTTTAAGAAGTATCAGCACAATTTAAGTCTCTGTTCCTCTTAATGTAGCTGATATAACTGAGTGTACAACAAATTTACCCGTGTCTGTCTATACTGTTTTACATTCTCTTGGGAAATGACTATTAAAATAAAGGCAGCATTGATAAAATCAACTATTAAAATGGTTTTGACAGGTTCAAAGAATAGTCTTATAAATGCTTGAACCTTTTATAGAGGTACCAAAAGTATAGCTAAAAGACACAAATACCTATGTGCTATAAATACACATACCATACAAAAGTAGAAAAAAGAATAAAAAAATCCGAACAGATTGGATCAAAAATGGCGCCTGTAATTATCTGCTCTTTAAAATTATCATGACATCCAGCAAACAAGTCATTTGATTACCAATGTTATGCTTTACATGGGTTTTGTGGGTTTTTAGGGCTTTCTAATCCTTAGAAAGGGGCTACTCGCAGTTTCCTGGTTCCATTGAGAGAGGGGCAGGAGTCAAATAGTTGTCTCCACCCACCTCTAAACGTTTAACCCCGCCCACATTTAGCCCCGCCCCGATCTCCGGGATGCAGCCAGGGGCTACTCAAACCCATTGGAAGAATTGCAGGACGTCGGCCAGCAAATGTTTTTTTTAATTGGCCTTCATTATGGTTAAGTTACAATTAATAAACAAAATCAGTTACATTTGGAATACGTTTTGGGAAAATTAAACGTTAATCGACAATTTGTTTTTTGTTTTTCTAAAAGAAACTTTTTTAAAGTCAAGTTACAGTTAAAGTCCCATAATTGTCGCACACTGGTGTGGTGAAAATTGGCCTCGGCCTTTCACCCGTAAACTGCAGCTACGGCCGCGCTCAGGAACTATTTGGTGATTTTGTTCCCTATACCCCACCCTAACCTTAAGGTTGGTGGGTTTAAATCATTAGTCTTTGGATGTATGCTACTAGTCTCCTACTCATTGTAAACCTGGAATCTAACCCTCACCCTTCACCCCACCCTAACCTTAAGGTCGGTGGATTTAATTCATTAGTATTTAGCTGTATGAAATAATGTTAGGGTTCCAAGCCCAAAGGGCATTGGAACCCTATTGTTTTTCTACGGATTTTTCATTATTCTTCTTCTCCGCTAATACTGTATGGGGGCAAGAGCCTGAAATTGCCAGGAAAAATCTGATATGGCAGTCTGATAGAAAATCCTGACCGCTACTCAGGTTAGAAAATTTGGACCCCGAGTCACCTAGGTGGCGCTATTGCGGAGGTGAATACGTTTGAGCTACTAGCTCCCAAACCATAGGCCCTACAGTCAAAAAACTTTATATGGACACGATCCTTGGATGATTCTGCATCTTTTTTGTACTGGCCACGCCCATTTCCGCCTAACTAGATTTTTTGCTAGATCTCAAAAAATGCAAAACTTAGTTTTAATCACCTATTTGTCATTTTTCGTCGAATCAACTTCAACCTTTGAACATATGATCTATGGAGGAAGAAAAGTTTTTGTGATGAAGAAAAACGCGGAATTATTGAAAATTGGGTTAATGACACCATGTCAAATTCAGTGCGCTAGCTAGCACATGTCCTAATTGATTATATCTTCAACAATTTTCAAGACAAAATGATGAGACTCTAGACCCTTACAAAGTATGAGCGGGAAACCCTATCTACGCAATTTTGTTTGGATTCACCAATAGGGGGCGCTAAAAATTCAAAAAGTTTGTTTCAGCAAAACGGCTTGATGGATTTCCACAAAACTTGGCAGATATGTTTATCATTGGACCCTTACGCTATATTTCGAAAATGATTAAAAAGTGGGTGTGGCTTATAGGCTATAAATAGGCTTTAAAAGTTTTCGCCCTTTTACTCATGAAATATATATATTCTGTACAGAAAGTTACAAATCAAATCAGTCATAGTGACATCTACAATCACAGAAAAAAATTAGAATTTTGTCCAATAGATGGCGCTGTTGTACCCCAAAAATGTTTATGGCATGTTTCTCCCCATTACATTCATAAAAAAACAAATGGTCTCATCCAGTATGTTCATTGATTCAGTCAAATTTAGATGAGTATTTTAAAAA